ACCGTGGTCCCTGCTGTGGAGGTTGAGAGAATCGAGAATCGAGAACAGAACAAACACACAAATTTAAAAAGGTCCCCGGCTACGCAGCATGTCGCAGCATGTCGCAACGGGAAAGGCGAGTGGGTAGTCTGGGAGAAAGGCAGGGAGATTGGAAGATTGAGAGATGAGAAGATTAGGATATTATGCGGAAGAACCAGCCAGAAAACACCCCGAGAAAAAAACACATGGTAGAGTGAAGATAAAATCATATATGAAATGCAAAGCCGCTAACAACACCACACCAAACCGTACCGTTTTCCTTATTTTTTTTATTTTTATTTTTGTATTTTTTAAGCTTTCCGTTTTTTACATGCCTTATACCGGCACCATGCTTATCGCTATCACTGTGGAGAGGAGACTCTATCCTTGTCCCTGTCCCGGCCCCGACGGCGTCGATGATGACTCAGTAGCTTGTCCTTGCTGTCCCTGCTGGCCCTGCTGGCCCTGCTGGCCCTGTGCGCTGCTGCCCGTACCTGTGCCGGCGCCAGCACCACCCATCATAAATCCAGGCGGGAACATAGGCATCCCCTGAAACGAGAACCCGAAGCCTGGCACCGCGGGCGGGACGCCGATTGCGTTGGCGTTATTGGCGCTCGCAGAGCCGTCACGGTCGTTTCGATCGCCCATGTTGCTACCGTTGCGTTCACCGTTGCCATTGCTGCCTGGTACTGCTGATGATGACGACATTTGTCCATGGCCGTAGCCGTGGCCGTGTGCGGGGCCATGTGCAGGACCGGGCCCGTGGCCATCATCCATTGCACCGCGGTTTTGCCGCCGGAAGCGTTCTGGTTCCGGTGCCGTTCGAGTAGATTGGGGACCACGCTTCCCACCTTGGTCGGTGGCCATGCGTCGGCTTATCGCTGTCGGGGTCGTGTTAGTATTGGCTACATTTCCGTTTCTCCCAGAAGGAAAGGGGGCGGGGGGGGGGAAAGGGGTGGGCATGTTTTGAATGACTGAAACGTACCTTTCGAAGACACGCCGGCCCCAATCTCAATGTCAGGTTCCTCCACCACCATAAAACTCTCAATTGGTTTTCCGCCGGTTCCGCCGTACTCGGCGTTGAGCATCCACTTGCGGTCTGCGTCCGTGAGCCGGTCGATGGGGATTACGCTGATGCCGGTTTGGTAATCGCTGCAGTCTCGAGGGCCGAAACCAACACCCCATCGTGTCTAGTGTGCGGATGTCAGTGGGAGGGGAAGAAATTGAATGAAGTGGGGAGAAAAAGGGGATACGGTGGTTGCTAGAACTTACTCGTAATTGCATGTCTCCAGACTTGTATTGCTCCATACCCTCGCGAGCAGTGACGGCATCATGTCTGTTGATCATCTTCACGAATGCATGGCGTTTGTCAATATTTACAATACATGTTTGAACAACGCCGTAACGGCCGAAAAGCGATCTTAAATGAGATTCGGACGAACTGTGTTCGATCATGTTAGTTCAACTACAGTTCAATATGAGGGGTTTAAAAATTCGAATTATATTTTTGCAGAAAATGAAATAACTCACGTCACACCGCCGACGAAAAGGGTCCTGCTGAGGACTGTATATTTAAAAAAAAAAAAAAGGTCATTATCCTGATCACAACACTCAGAGTAAAATTATAGTGAAGACATACCTTTGATGTTCCCCTGACCAATTGAATAATCCCACTCCAAGAACTTGGGTCCGGGAGGAGGAAGCGTAGCTTCTTTACGAGGAGGTGTCGGACTTCTACGACGTCTTCCAGGAGGACTGCGCTGGCGATATTCACCAGGCCGTCGTCCACGGGAGTCTCGAGTGTCTCGGTTCCTGCCAGGGGAGTCTCCATGGTATTCTCCATACACAGGGCTGTCGCGACGACGAGGGGGGGAAACTTCACGACGTCTATCCCACCCAGGCGACCTGGAGCGGCGTCGGTAACCCCCTGGCGGTGACCGAACATAGTCTTCTCTGTCATGCTCTCTACTACTCCGATGATCGCGATCTCGATCACGATCACGTGATAATGAGTCTGGTGCTGGGGTGCTCCAGGTATTTTGACTAGCGGCAGGCTGCTGGGCGAAGGCTGCTAACGCTGTGGCGGGGTTCATATTGACCATGCCGCTACTTGCAGTATTGGAAAGGCTTAGGATTTGCAGCGCTGTGGCCCACTGGTCTTGAGGAATACCCTGCGCAGCCATGAGCTGGAGCAGGCTTAATTGTTGTAATGTCTCTGGAGGCAAAGCACCTGCTTGTGGCATCAAGGCGGCAAGTGGGTTCTGTTGTGCAGCGGCGGCTACTGCTGCGAGAGGATTTGAAGCAGCAGCAGAAGCCTGGCCCTGGTTTGGGAAAATAGTTGGATTCTGAGCCATATTACTCAACCCCGCAAATTGATTTGCAAGATTTCCCGCAGCAGTAGCGGTAGCAAAGGGGTTTACAGCCTGCCCGTTGGGCTGTTGCGCAGCCGGGTCTACAGACGCGGGCATGGCTTGCAGAACTGGGTTTTGCGGATTAAATATACTATGGGGACTAGTTTGCGCTGGCACGCCTGAGGTTGCTGGGGTTGATGCTGTACTGTTTTTTGCCATATCTGCCAATGCCTTCAAGATGCTAGAAGTATCTGGTGCTGGTGGAGCTGGCTGACCGGAGCCTGCAATAGTAGAAGTAGTAGTAGTAGTAGCAGGAGCAGCAGATGATGATTGAGCTCCATGCTGGCCTCCAGCTAGGGAGATTAAATTGGGGGCCGGTGATCCATCGGGCGTAGTTGATTGCACGTCTAGAAGAAAAAATAATATCATACATCAGAAAACTGGTTTTCAACATACCCTACTATGCCTCTTCTCGTTCGTTGTCGACTGTACGTTTTGGTGATATGTGCGATGTTTAAAAAGAGGATAGGAAAATGACGAGAAGAGGCATTTGTTCTTTTGCGTTCGCTGTTCCTTATTCTGCACTCTAACCCAAGGGGGAAAATAAGGCTTACTTTGAGATACTGGCGCGTTTAGCTGTTCCTTCAAGGAAGCGAGAAGAGCCGCCGGGAAGGTGTATCCACGCTCCCAGATGTCTACCAGCTTTTTGATTTTGTCCTAGAAAGAGAAAACCGGGCATACGTAAGTGGGGATTGTTCAGTCACCGCATGAAATAAAAACAGAAAAGGAAAGAAAAGAAAGAGAGAACAGAAAAATGGAGGAAAAGGTGGATAATCGAAACCCAGAAGTGTAAGAATGAGACGAGTCTATAGCCAAGGCGGAAGAAAGACGTGGATATAATACCGCGGCTTTCGTGCTAAACGAAGGCAAAAAAAATATACGCGGGGGATATTGTTCTATGGGCAACAAAGCGAACGGCCATCCAAAAGCTGATGGGATAATGCCGTTGTGCACGTTGTCTTCTTTATGATATAAATTGCAGCCGGAAATGATTGTCTTTCTGTATCCGGCTGCTGGCTGTTTTGTGTCTAAGAGTACGCGTACCTTTTGATATTCAGGAGCATTGTTTATGATATCAGTCATCAAGACGGGAAGCAATTCAGTCACTCTGTTAACACCAGCTGCAAATGTTCCATCTGGCGCACCGCTACCAACAGTTTGACCGGCTTTCCGGGCTGATTCTACCCACTGTCGAGTTACAGAGTCTACGACATAGAGTACGCCCAGCTTGTGTGTTCCAGGGGCTCTTTTGAAGTGGGTATATATTTTTTGAACGAGGACGGATTCGGACTATAAAGTTGGAAAAATAAATGTTAGATATGGTTTTTCCTTTCCTTTCTTTATTTTTTATTTTTTATTTTTTATTTTTTATTTTTTTTTTTTTTTTAAAAATTTCTTCTGGGTTTCTTTCAGCATTTAGGGAGTCTAGAGATAAGCCATACCTGTACATTGGCGGCACATAACGAGGTGATGATGCTGATTTTGGAAGCTGATACTCCAGGTGGCTTAAGCGCCAACATGGATTGTAAATAGCCATCTAACTCCGCTACGGCAGACGACATGGCTTTAAACGAGGAGGGTTGCTTAAAGAGTTGCTACCAGTCAAAGGCAAGAAATGACCGCAGAAATATAAACAAGCTGTCGACTTGTCCCGTAATTTTATCCTTTGTCAGAAGAGAAATTTGTATTCCTTTTGATAATGGCCGTGTATAGATAGATGAATACGATGGATGGCAGCGCGGAGAGGATAAGGTTAAGACCGTCCCATGAAGCGGTTTTTTTTTTTCTCCTCTTAATCTACTGCTGCGAGAGACTTTTTGACGACAACTAGCATACGGCGAGTTCCAGGAAGTGTGGAAAGTGTCTAAGTAGATAAAATATATGACGATGCAGGCGACGTAGATACCTATTGGAACGAGTTGGATGAAGTCCTGATGACACTGTCGATGTCGTGCGAGCAAGACGGCACTACAAGGACCCAGAAAAAAAAAACCTTTGACCTACAGGCCGCGAGTCGAGGGCACGGCGGTGAACAGCAGGCTAAGAGAGATGAACACGGAGCAGTGAACACGAGTACAGTCGGTGCGGAGAGAGGGAGTAGAGAGGGCAAAGGGCCGTTGAAGAGAGGATGGTGTGAGTCTTGACGCGATGAGGTTGGTTGGTGAGGTCCGAAGAAGGTTCGAGGAGAAAAATTCCCTGTTTGAGAAACCGGCGCTAGCGCGATTGGAAAGCACGTGATGGGTCGCGTGTGCTGAGTCATCGTGTGACATCATTGCGCTAGTTACTTTTTTTGGCATCAAAATACTTCTAAAAGAGAAGGAAACGTATACTTGTTTTAAAAGGAATGCTGCCAAAGTGATGTTCTTTATTACGCGCCTTCGTCTTACCGGTCATCCACTCCTTGATCACAAGACCCGCGGCCATACCTACTCATTTACCTAGACCGATTGGCTCCTGTCCAATGATCAGATATGCAATTATGGGAGTGAAACTACGCCTTCCTCGGATTCCGATGTAAATGTATAAAGGAATTGAATGTAGAATACAGTAACCGTAAAACATGGAGATAAAAAATGATTGCGAGGGTGAGGGGGGAGGAAATGAAACGGCAAAAAAAAATTTTTAAAAATTTAAAAAAAATTGACACCCAAAAGAACCGTGGACGAATCGCCACAAACCCCGCCCTGCCTTTTCTCTATCCTTTACATTATCTTACAGTTGGGCACCAACAAGCTTGGCATATGACTCGGTGCTGAAACTCTTGGGTCGTTCGATGGGCATTCCCAGGGCGCGGTCAATGATCAGCTGTGGGAGCACACCAAGGGCTCGCGAAACACCAAACAACACGGTGTAATACTTGGCTTCTGTTAGGCCGTAGTATTGAAGGAGCACACCTGAGTGGCTGTCGACGTTGGGATATGGAGATTTGACCTTTAGTTTACGAATTTCGTCAGCATTGCGTCTGGTGGAATAGCGGGAAGCTTTGTAAAAAATGGGGAACTACATACCTTGCCGTGCTCGGTCAGAACGCCAGGAGCGATCTTGTAAACTTGGCTGACCAGCTTGAACATGGGATCATCAGGAAGCTTGCGGAGAGCAAATTCACGCTGGCAGGTGTAGCGTGGGTCGGTTTTGCGGAGGACGGCGTGGCCGTAGCCTGGAACAACTTGCCCGGCGTTCAGGGTGGACCACAGATAATCCTTAATGGCCTCGTCGCTGAGATCGTTGCCGATGACTTTCTTCATCTCCATCAGCCAGGTCAGGACTTCCTGGTTGGCTCTGTAGGAAGATATCGAATCAGTAACCGTTTGTCCATGTCTCGGCATATTTTAGTCACTTACAACCCGTGGAGAGGACCAGCAAGGCCGTTGAGACCCGCTGCAAGAGAGAGCATGGGGGAGCTCAATGCGCTTCCGACCAAGTGGGTTGTGTGTGCGCTGACGTTCCCTCCCTCGTGATCAGAGTGGATGGTCAGGTACAAGCGCATCAACTCGACAAAGTCATTATTATCACCATAGCCGAGCTGGTTGGCCAAGTTGAAGCCGTAATCCTTGTCCTTCTGAATTGGAGCAACCTTTCCATCCTTGAATACGTTGCGGTAGATCTTGGCTGCGATGGTAGGCAGTTTGGCTATCAAGTCCATGGAATCCTCGAAGGTGTACTGCCAGTACTCTTTCTTGTTGATGCCTTTAGCATAGGCCTTGGCGAAAACGGACTCGTGTTCGAGAGCGGTGATAGCGAGGGAGAATTGGGCCATAGGGTGCAGAGTGGAAGGGCAGCGATCGATCAGCTCCTCAATGAACTTGGGCAGATCGGAGCGAGCGGCCCAATCTGCAGAGAGGGCACGAACCTGTTGTTCGCTGGGGACTTCACCGGTCAAGAGCAGCCAGAAAAGACCTGTTGAGCTATTAGCATTAGGTCAACGGAATAGTAATGGAAACGTGTAGCACCTTCTGGTAGAGGCTCCTCTCCGCCGGGGGCCTTGGGAAGTAATTTCTGACATTCCGGAATCTAGGAGGCGAATAAGCAGACGGTCTGGAAGGGAAAAAAAAATCGCAATCTTGAAGGGAAACACCTACAGTCTTGCCCCGGAAGCGAATTCCCTCCTCGGGGTCAAGGACAGAACCCTTTCTCAAGCCATTAGCCTCTTGCTTGCATGCAGCACCCCAATACAGGGATTGATTCATACCTCCCAAACAAGGGATTTGATTCCCCGAGCACCTCCGTATACCTGGCCAAGAGTAACTTCACCAATGACCTTGTCTCCGTAGTCTCTATAACAAGAGTAGTCAGGTCAGATCTCTATACATACATGTATACACATACGTCTATCCGTATATATTAGGGAAGTTTCATCTCGTACTTTCTCAGCTTCTTGACCTTCTCGATCTCAGCCGGGAGTTTATCGGCGAAGGTATCTTTGAGGGACTGGCAGATGGACACGGGGCGTAGTCAGCGCATTGCTCGAATCATCCATGGCAGGTCAATTGGGTTAACAGGAGTTTTGCTAACCTTTGTTTTAGTGGAGGAATAGCATCGCAAGCCAGTGAAGGCCGCAGACTGGACAACGGGATTGGAAGCAAAGGAAGCGCGGAGAGCAGAGCTCCCCAGTCTGAGGGATGAAGCCATGGGAGTTGAAGGGGAATTGAAGGGAATTACAAAGGGATACCAAAGCAATTGACGAGAGATAGAATAAGGAGAATGGGAGGTTCCTATGAATGCACTATGGAAGGGGGGAGAGAGGTTGAGGGAGCATACAAAGGAAATCGAGCAAGAAATGGTGAATTGGTGATGGATACTCTCTGCCCAAAAAAAAAGGAAAAAAAGGAAAAAAGGAAAAAAAGAAAAAACAACCAATCACCAAGTCAATACGTATATGTTACGTATATCAAACCACATTACCGCCAAGAAATCCACCACACTCGCCAGTTTGACACCAAATCCAACAACACAGCCCTGTAACGCAATTACAGTTTCCCCCAACAACTTTTCTTCCTTCGCCTTGCTATCCGAGTAACTTTTTGTTATCTGCCATGAACGTACTGTACATGCCAGCCTAACAGTGGCCCAAATATACAAAGCTCCCGGTTTTCCAGGCCAAACTCGGAGAGATTCGCCGTCAAGAAGTCTCGCTGGTCATTCATGTGGATGTTCCTGGGCCGTGGTGAGAACGGTGGAGCTCGGCCGCGGCGGCGGTGCGTGATATCTCAGATCGCTCCATATCCGAGGCATTGATTGCTCGTGTAATACACAAGATAACCATGATAATGATGATAGCTACAATGAAATGGTCCCGTGGCGTTTGACTGACTGGGGCAATAACGACTGCGCTCTCTAGACAATCAATCAACTAACCTTCCAACCACATGCAATCATGCCACCATGCGTCCCTCCGGCATAACAGCACATTCTAAGGAATATATATTCAAAGGTTGTATTGTGAGAAGGACAAAAGAAACAAAAGAAAGGAACATGGGATCTAAAAAAAAAAAATCTCAAGCTGGTAAATTCTCACCATCGAAAGCGCATCAACACCTATTTGTGCGGAGACAAAGTAGCTAACTACTAGTTAGTACGTCACTTTGTTTATAACAGCATCAAAAGAAACCATGAAGCCCTGTTGATGATTTCCATTTCTGCTCTCCGATTACATACCACTCAACTAGTTTTTGACAGCTCCAGAATGTCGACTTCATCTCAACTGTCACCTGACTCACACGCCTTCATCAGGCGAGAGGACTCGCCTCCCTTTGAAGCTATGCTCGCGCGTCCGTACCGCCTGACTACCTCATCAACCCTGATGGTGCAGCCCATCCTATTTCTCCCGAGTATCCCGTCTACTGTTTTTTTAACAGCACTTTGGCGGCTGCTGCGACCTTCACGAGGATCCTAGACCTTGCAGAAGAACCAACAGTCAGAAGCGCCAAGATCATCGGTTACACTCTGGGCAAAGTGGGGAGGGAGTGTGAATCATGCATATATATATCTTGAGGAATAGGATGCTATTTTAAGGATTGATCCTTTTTGGCGTAACTAGTGGCAAAGCCTTCCTACAAGATTGCATGTTTTACAGGGTGAGTATCCTGCTTTGATCGACGGTGAGCCAGGGCAAGTTGTTTCCAGATCTGCGGATATTATGGAGTTCGAAGGGTCGGCTCAAAAACTCACTTACTACGAGATGAACGTGTGCAAGGTCGCTGCTTTGCTGGATTTTCTTTACAGACAATGAGTCGCTGGCAGAAGTACTACTATCTGGTATGACATTTAAGTACTAGTATTCTGGGGACCCGAAAACCCTCGCTGGAGCGACGATTAAATCGTCAACTTTGGACCTTGCAAATAGGGCGTAGCGTGGGATGAGTTTCTGTGGGAATGTTTTGAACATATTGAATGTATTTCTACATCTTATTGAATTGGCTCTACAGAATTAATAAACGAACAACGCTGGATATCCTAATGTGACACTGTAGGATAACTATAACTAGATATCTAGAAAACATGTGATGAGGTAAGAATGATGAACAGATGAATTAACCAGAAGGAATGCCCACTGTGTGCCAAGAAATATATACAAATATCTAACTATGCAAGATCTTTACAAGATATTTACACTTGGGAAATAATTTTCAGTCAAAGCTCTTGTGCGGTGATTTCTAGACCTCCTGCACAATGTCCCACTCCATCCCATCTCCTCCCCCCCCAAAGTATATATACATAACCAACGAATATAATCAGAATCAGTGAATAACTATGCTCTCATCTACAAGTTCCATAGGGATGGTGTCCCTCAAACATACAATGGAAACATCCAATAAACTTACAATTTGCATGGGTGCGGCATGAATACATCTTACAGTCTAGCCATCCTGGCGGCGGCTTCGGTGATGCAACCCGAGGCAGGTGCTGAGACTGCACCAGGTCGACGTGCCGCAACTCCCCTTTTTCGGCGTCTGGTGATAAGGAGCTGGCCTCGACGGCAGCCGCAAGAAGGTCGCTAGAGTAGGGGTCTTGATCCATGACCTCGAACTCTGACTTCAAGGAACGCAGGACGCTTTCCCCACCAACGTGGGAGAATTCCCGAGGATCCATGGGCAGGGGAATGTCCTCCATCAGCATGAGGTCAGATTTACGACCATTGCCGTTATCATAATCATCTTTGTTGGTCTTCCATACTGTCAGTTTGCATGTTTTCTTTTCCTCTTCCTCCTTTCTTCTTTTGCTTTCATTTGTTTGTTTTTTTATTATTACTTTCTACTTTGGATTTTCCATATTTCATTTTCTCTTATCACACAAGCTTTCTGTTTTGGGGGTGCTTATAAGCAAAGCAAAAGAATATATGAAATTTAGTTTGACTTACTTGGACTTGATACTCCGCACCAACAGCAACAGTTGCTATGACGAAGCTGAGTATGAGGTGAAGCAAAGAGAAGAATGAACTCCTCATGCTAGGTTTGCACTTGTGGCTGAAATGTTGTATGCTGTCAACAAGATATTGTTTCGAAAAAAAAAAAACAAAAAAAAAAACAAAACCTCATCATAGCATAGTAAAAATCACCACCACGCTTACTCGTACCGTTTGACAGGTATGAACCCTGGTCGTATAATCCAAACCAAGCCTCCAACACGACCGTAAGTTGGAATCGCTTTAGTAAGTCCTGTCGGCGCGGCATTTAGCACATATTGGAATCCGATTCCGGACAGCTTAGTTCCAAAATTAGATTATCGAATTAGGCGTGTAGATCTACTTTGATCACGAGCAAGGCTGTCGGACAGAACGAACTGGAAAAGATAAAAAAGAAGTGAAAAAAGTGAGGAGAGAATCGTTTGAATAAAGTTATCATGAACTTACCTCGGCGGTACTTATATTGACTTGCTGGACGGAATTTCATCCGGCCGCCCGTCAGTGAACTCATCCATTAGGCCGGCATGTGACCACTGCGGTCATGTGATTCACATTCACCTCCTTTGTACAGAACACCCAAAGAAGCGAGACAACAACAACAATAATTGTTAACGTACTTCACCACTTTTTGGGACACACCACTACACTAAATCACATGATATAAAACTCTGCCTTAGGGTACCTATTCCAGACTAGTGCACTTGCACTAGAGATCAATTTTGAGATGTTTAGATGTTACACATAGACTTGGTTAGCAATCAGATTGATCAACAAAGCCAGTTTAAAATATAGAGTAGTTACCACAAAGTATCTGTTCAGCCCATTAAAATTAAGCCAACTATAATCCATTTAAGGTGTAAACTGAGTACATCAGAATGATTCACTGACCCCTAGAAGTTTGGGCCAGCTGCTGGTTATATACATGTAGTGTGGTAGGGAGAAGATCGAACCTGATACGATGCTGATGGTGTCATACCGCATTTGATCCTGTGATGCCATGTCTTTGGGTAATTACCTGTTCTGGCCTAGCACTGGTGGCCATACTATGGGTCTCTTACTGTGCCATAAAAATAACTTACTTGGGGCAGTGCGAAGCCACATCTCTCTTCTCTCTCCTTATTCTAGAAAAACCAACTTTTCTGTGTAAAATGCACTGTAACATGAAATCACATGATATCATATACACTTCATCAAATTCATGGATGGGATTGAACAGCCAGCTTTGTGATCTGTACAACTCTGATATTAATATCATTGCTATATATCATTGCTAGCTATCATCACTAGATATCATTGCTAGATATTATCACTATATATCATTGCTGGCTATCATCAATATATACCATTGGTAGATATCATTCATTCAAGCAGGTGAGCAGATAAATAGACAGATAGAAATTATTCTCATAGAGATTGATTGGATATCGAGCAGGTAGGTAGGTACGTGGGCAGGTAGTGAGTGCGTTTGGCATGGTTACTGTGTCACTAGCGTCTCCAGCCCACTGCCTTGATACGGCAGGTATGTGACGCGGATTGACAATCTCGGGCTGATGGGAAATCATGAAGGTCGGCTACGGGCATACAGTTGAACATGGTTAGTTTTTCGGGCCGGAATAACCTTCGGTGTGGTTTTGACCTAAACCATGTCAACCCCCACATTAAAACTACATACACTAGTCATGTCTCATACATATCTCACACATCTTCAAATGCATTGGATACAGTGATTTTATCTTATTTCTCAGAGCTCTATTACTTAGCTAATCTAGATTCTAACTCTAGATCACTAATTCTAACTCATAACTACTTTTCAGATGTTGAAGAGTTCTGAATATTGATTCATTGAAGTGTAACAACTGATGAATAATTGATTAATAATATATACTGAGAGTGTAAAGGATGTTTAGTGTGTGTAGATTTTAGTCATAGTTTAGTTTTCAGACCCACTTTTTTTGAACCACATTCAACTTTTAATAAACCATATTCAACTGTAACCCTGGGATGTTATATATGGTTTATCGGTTGCTATAAACTGTGCAGGGCGCTAGTCCGCAGGAAGCCCCATCTTACCCGTATCCATCCCCGTCTCCCATCAAAATTCCACACGTATTCATCATACAAGGTTAGGTTGATACATACTCCTTGGGTAATCCATACAATAATGAGGAATAAAGTTTTTTTTTCAACGAAAATCAACAAACCATTTCCTGGTTTGTTGAGTAGCACAATCACGTGTTTCCACTAGCCCCAACCAACATAAACACTAGTACATATTTGGACTAGTGACGTATCCAACAGGCCTAATTAGGTTTAACACTGGAACTGGGTAGAAGAGCTATGGCTTACATAATGTATGTGGCCTTTCCGCATTCGGTAATCAACTTTGTCAAGGCTGAAGCAGCTTCGTCTTTTCTTCGTTTTCTTTTGCTGCTTTCTGATCACTTGTTTTATTGGAGGTTCAATCCGTGATATATTCGAAAAGGAACAACAGGAAGAAACAAACGAAGTATACCTTGGTAAAAGTGACTGCTTAACTCCCGTTGCTGCTGTTTCATTCCCGCCCTGGAGTGGCTGTAGCTAACCGTTGGCCTCGCAAGTTTTTCCCCCCTTTTGATCGATAAATCCAGCTCCATCCATTCGACTCGACATACAGCCGAAAGAACTCGATAATTTGATAAAATATCCCTCTCTCGCTCTCCATTCCCGCCCCTATCAGCTCCCTGGTCTAGTACCTTAGAAGCCAAGAAGCAAGGAAACTAGAGCTGTGTGTATTATTTGTCACAACTACATGTGACAAGCCGACATGACTCCACCTCTTGATTTTGATCCCCGTTCACAAGCTTCCCCTCTCCAGATCCACTGCTTTGAAAGAGAAGCTAACAAGACAGTTCGCTTTCCTTTCCTTTCTCCCCTTCCCCTCCGACGAATACGTCCCCTATTCCCTTGGTCAGGGCCCCTTTCAGTGACCCCAACGCATCCAATTGAAGCTCCCGCCAGCCATGTCTGTTACTCAAATCTCGCCCGCGGCGGGTGCGCCGAAACCACTCGAGAAAAAGCCCATCAAGTTTAGCAATCTGCTACGTGAGTTATACTCTCGCCTTGTTACTGTTACCTCTGGAAGAGGACGGAGGTTCATCGCACAGCGGGGCTAGTACGGATTATTAACTCACTGTCTTTATATCTGTAGTTGGTGCTGGTTTGAATATGTTCGAGTAAGTATTCTCCCTTTCCATTTCTTTCCGTTGGCTATTTTGCTAATGACCTTTCCAGGGTTACCACGTTGGGACAGGTAAATATTTCCCGACTTTGTCTGCCCCTTGGAAGCTCAGGGATCTGGATTCTAACACCCTGCAGCCTCTGGAAGTGATCAAGACGACCATGGCCGCCAACAGAAGCGATTCTTTCGCCGGTGCCATGCGTCGGATTTGGGGTCGTGGCGGTGTACTTGGCTGTTAGTTTCCTCGAAACCTACCATCTCTCACGTGGATCTTTTATCCTGTGCGCCATCATCTACTAAACTCATCTGGATATATGTAGACTACCAAGGCCTCATTCCATGGGCCTGGATTGAGGCGTCTACTAAAGGCGCAGTCCTCCTCTTCGTCGCATCCGAAGCCGAATTCTACGCCAAATCATTCGGAGCCAACGACTTCGTCGGCGGCATCAGCGGCGGCATGGCTGGCGGCATCGCCCAGGCCTACGCCACCATGGGCTTCTGCACATGCATGAAAACGGTTGAGATCACCAAACACAAGCTGGCGGCGTCGGGCGTGAAGCCTCCCGGCACCTTTGCGACGTTCATGGATATTTACCGCAAGGAGGGGATCAGGGGCATTAACAAGGGGGTTAATGCGGTGGCGATTCGACAGACGACGAATTGGGGCTCGCGGTTTGGGTTATCGAGGTTGGCGGAGACGGCGATCAGGAGGGTTACTGGGAAAGAGGAGAGTGACAAGCTCAGTGGGGTTGAGAAGGTGATTGCGTCGGGGCTTGGTGGTGGATTGTCGGCGTGGAATCAGCCGATCGAGGTTATTCGGGTGGAGATGCAGAGTAAGAAGGATGATCCCAACCGGCCCAAAAATTTGACGGTGGGGAAGACTTTGAAGTATATCTATGGCACCAATGGGCTGAAGGGACTGTATCGTGGCGTTACGCCGCGGATTGGGTTAGGCATTTGGCAGACTATCTGCATGGTTGCCTTGGGTGATATGTACGTGTCGCATACCCTGTTTTCATTCTTCACTCCCTTGCCCTAGTTTTGATTGATGATGATATTAACAGTTTTCTTCTACACAGGGCCAAGGAGACCGTCGAGAAACTGACTGGTGAACAGGTCACCGCCAAACACTAGAAGGTGGGACCATAAATACATGGACGGCGGCTGGCAAAAATCGTGGATTCGTGTGATATCCTCAAAGTCAAGCTCAGCTCACTTTGACATCCAACGCGCTGTATTTCCGCGATATCTTGAGCGTTGGATTATTGTATACACTACTTGTTACCAGCCCGCCTATTTTCCCACAACAGGGATTACTCCCACCATTTTAATATCGCCCATTCCTTGCTTTGATTTTCTGCCTGGAATTAACACCTGTATACATTTTTCCCCCCCATCTCTTTTTGTTTCTGTGTCAATCCCAGGCATGTTAAGTGCAATATGTATTACCCACAATAATGTTATAGATAGAATCGGTTCGTAGTTTCATTTCTATATCCTTGATGATAATGTGCATATATATATATATATATATATATATATCACGAGATCCAGGTAGTTTCAAAGTAATTGAATTTTCAGTAACCATCCGAATGAAATTGTTCCATCCACAGATATGATATATTTCCATGGTATGAAATCAGCTTCTCTGTGTCACATATGTATGTATATCTTTATAGTAGGATGCCGGTGGATAACTACACATAAAACCTATAACTAAGTCTATTTCGTACGCTGCCTGCTGGACTTCTGACTGTGCAACCCAATTAAAACTAAAGTGTCTGTAATGGAAAGCTTTACATGTCTATCCTTTTTGTTTATAATTTTCTTTCCCTTTCTCTTCCCTCCTGCCCTCTCTTGCTCGCGAACTAGCTATCGCATATATACATGGACGTTGATCTAATAGCGGGTTGAATTTGGCTGAAATACAATTTACCCGACAAGGATATAAAATTTGAGATGGAGGTGTGATGTTGGTGTTGGAAGTTTACACGAAACAAGTGGAAATTTTTAAGGACAAATCTGCGAATAATAATGCAAAAAATAAAATAAAATAAAATAGAAATAGAAAGAAAATGAATAAAAACTAAAATAAAGGGAGAGTAAGGTCAGGAGTTGGAGCTAGTTCTTTCTAAGTCGGGGTTGAATGGTTCATGGTTTTTGGGCCTAGTTCCTTATCGAAGATGGAGCCATTGAAAAAGGGAAAGCGGAAGATAAATGTGGGTAGATTTTAGGCTTCCCTAGTGTAACAGGATAGAAAAGGGGGAAATTGTCAATGGTACATTATATTGGCAATGATAACGGCAACAGAAGCAGAAAAACACCTTGTGTCTAGACAGTCAAACCGATATCTGTAGCGAAGGGAAGAACATGTAGATCGCCGACTGCGGAAACGGAGGCTTTGCCTGAGAGGAGAGATTTGGCAGCCTGTTTTAATATATTAGCTTTATTCAATAAAGGAAGAACAAAAAACATTGCAGAATTGAAGGGTGAGCCACGGGCGTGACTACACATACCGCGATAACCTGTTGTTCAGTCACCTTCTCGACGCTCTGACCAATCTCAGATAGCTGGACTATATTGACGCCATGGGCCAATCTGGATCCGACATATTCAAGGCCCACTGAAGAGCTATCCCCAGCCTCTAATGCGCGGAACTTTGCGAGGGCCGTTGCCTTTTTGATATCTTCACTGCTGACCTTGCCAGCCACTACTTTCTGGATAGTCTCGACAACGCTTTTGCTGGCGGCCGCAACACTGTGTGCTTTTCCAGAGACGGTGACATAGAAGAGACCCGCATCGGAGTACGCAGTATTAGAGGTCGACACGGATACATCAGCGAGTGTCTCAGTGGCCTTGGCGAGTAGGGAGGATCCAGAGGACCATTTGATGGTGGACTGGCCGCCGAGCAGCGCAGAAAGCACGGAGAGCTCTGGTTTGTAGCTAGCACCGCTGCCTGAGATACTGGACCCGGGGAATGCAATCACCATGGCATTGCCAGCCTTGCTTGAAATTCTTTCCTCGCCTCCATAGTACTTTGTTGGTACACTTGCCTTGAGGCTAAATGGTCCGGTTGTGCTTGATGCGGTTGGGACGTCACGGAAAAACTCGCCAACCCATTTGGACAGATCAGCAGTGTTGGCGCCACTTGCGACGACGGCAATGGACGGTTTCGAGTATGCACTCTCAGCAAACGCGGCAATTCCTTCCGCTTCAATATACTTTCCGAAGGGAGAAGAGGCCGAAGGAACCAAATTCTCTCCAAGACCGTGGTGGAAAGCAACGCTATGTGCGGAGTCTAATGCGTGAGCAGCTGGGTTCGCTACAAGGCCATTCTGGGAGTATTTGACAAGGTTCATGATGAGCTCATCGAGCTCATGTTCTGGTAAAAGAGACTGTTGTTAGACGACCAGCCTGACAGCGTTCATACCCAAGATTCAAAAAGCATTACTTACGTGAGTAATTAGTTTTTGTTATTACATCTGCAAGAAGCTCTGTGTAGTAAGGAAGATCTTTGCTGAGGAATTTGGCGGAAAGGACAACATTTTCTCTTGAGTAAGTCGCAGCCAATTCCCCACCAAGCAACTCAGACTCTCTGGTGATGCGCAGCGCTGACCGTTTGGACGTAGACTTATCAATTACACGTGTATGTCATCAGCAATCAAGCCGTATCTACTGCCAATGAAAGCCATGAATCTAGAACGCGAATGTTAGATGGCTGAGCAATTGACTCACTTTGAACGCAAATTTCTCCAGGAGATTGGAGTAGCCGGGGAAGGGTTGGTATCGCGAGCCGGCCTTCGCAACGAGCGACAAAGTGGTGGTAGGTGAGGTAAACTCTCTATTAGCGATCTTCACGCCAGAAGCCTCAGCAGACTCGAAGTCGAAGCCCTTGGCTGCAGCCGCAGCCATGCTGCGGCGAGAGGAGGGCTGGGGTTGGGCGATACATTGGTTTCGGAGACAGCGCCGCGCATTCCGGCCGAGAGCAGACCTCGAAAGCATGATCGCACGCACCTGGGAGCAGAGGAGCGTAATGGGTGAGAAGAAGGACGGGACAATTGAGGGCAATTGGCGATGTGAAGCGGAATTCACAGCGTTCTCTGTTGAAACTTCGGCGGTTTCGTCGAGATCCCCAATGGATAGACGATGAGGTTCAAAAAGCGGAAAATGCTGATTAAGCCGGAGGAGCTGATTTAGCGGATGCTGATTGGCTTCCGTGGCGAAGATTTGGCATTCGGGGACCGAATTTATCCGATATCATGTGATATTCGTAAGGCCTTGGGAATAATTAACCCGAAGAGGAATAGAGCCGACATTTTTCTGCCGAGAAGCATTTTCAACAGTCACGCATCACCACCACCACTACCACCTTTAGATATTTAAAAGATATGGAGAGGAAATAGGAAATACATATAGCTCTATCAATTCATCTTTCGCCACAAAGATATCGGCCATCCGTGTGTATACCGTCGATTATCTCGTATCAGTTTCGCCTGCACACCCATGAATGTTCAACGGTGACCTTGGGTCTCTTCTAGAGAAGCCAGCGCTTTCTCTAGAAGGTAGAACGGGCAACACGCATCATGTCTCAAGTGAGCTTCGAACCTTGTACCATCCTGCGGATATGTACTATGTATATGCTGATTGGATTGCTAGTATGCGGCAGAATTGTGCAAGCTGTTGATTACGGACAATTTCGGGGAGCTATATGCTGTATGTTTTTAACTTGTTTTGGACAAACTCGACAAGCAAAGTAGCGGGATTCTAACCTTGTCATTCTCGTTCTTCGCCTAGTTGATATTTTCCTATCTGCTATACCATGGCCGCCAACCTCTGCCTCGCATTGTCCAGAATACACGTCTGTCCCCCCGACAAGTTCGACACGGCCTAGCTGTGCTTATCCAGCAACGGCTCATCTACCACTATACATCGCTGGACGATGGTATCGCGTACTATGAAGCTAGCTGGATGACTGCATACAATCTGGTACGGTCAGGCAGGATTTTGCAATTGGTGGAAGAGAAGCTCGGGAAATATGTTGCAAAGGTGCTGTCAACAATCCTGTATCATGGCCATGTGAGGATCAGCTATTTGGAAACTCTACCAGAGCTACGACCTCAAGTCTCAAATAAAGCGGGGAAACTCGCAGCTGCAAACGGTTTAAATGGAATCCATAACGATGAGGAAGAAGAGGAGGATGCTCACGTTACTGACCAAGGGGAGCAGGAGGAATATGCGTCTGGAGGGCCGGAAAATAGCGTCGATAGCGATTACGGCAAGCGCTCAGCCTCGCAACTTCACCCTGCCCTACGTTCCCTTGCCGCCTACGGATATATTATGCGGGTGCGCGATGCTCATTTTCAGAGCCCGGCAGATCTTGTAGAGGACGCTGAAAGGGCTGTCAGTTCTCGATCTGACGTCCGTGGTCTAAAAGGGAAGAAATTTCAAGAGGCCATCGATGCTGGAGTGGAGACATATATTAAGGAGAAGACGGATGGAACTATTCCCCAAGGGCCACTGGCCGGCGCGCTATCCCGCGGCATTAAAAGACGCGCAGGACAATCGGCAACGAACTCGTCAAGCAAGAGGGTGAAGCTTGAGCATCTGCCGGAGGGCGACGAGGATGCCGACGACGATGATTTTTACGGTGATGACTATGTGGATGGTGATAACACCTTAATGGACGTGAGTTACGCATCTCTGGGGGGGCTTTGTATGACAAGAGCGCTAACATAGCGCAGCCCAACATGATCATCAGTGTCAACTATCAAAAGTTCGAAGTGGCATTACGAAATCGACGATTAGCAAGATTGGCTGAACAGTGCACTTCCAGAGTGACATCTCAGGTCTATGAGGCTCTCCTGGGGAGGATTGAGCTTAAAACTCCCGCGTGCCGGAAACAGCCGGAGCGTGTTCCCGAAGGGGAAGAAAACGAGCAGTACTCCGTTGCCATCCCACTACATACCATTTTGGATGACATAGACCCCGACTTAGACCTATCAGAGTCTATGGCTGGAGTGGACCCGGCCAACCTTCTTTCAAACGGACACATGGGTCTCAACGGAGACGGCGATGGTGATGACGACGATGACGAGGGCACTGGTGCGAGTACAGGTATTTGGAATCGCCGCAGGAACCGCGTCTACGAACTAGAACAGCACCTCTCCCTCCTCGCCCAGGAACCGAATATCTTCTCCACTCGCAACATGCAGTCCGGCATGATCGCCTGGGCAGTTGAATTCCGCCACCTCGCCCGCCGCCTCCGCCACCTCGAAATCGAACGCATCATCGAATCTCGTTTCGGCACCATTGCCGTCCGTGTCATCCGCGTCCTCGCCGCAAAGGGCAAACTGGACGAGAAGCGCCTGCAGGAAATCAGCCTGATGGCGTCCAAGGAACTTCGCCAGGTTCTCGCGCGTATGGAGGCGGCTGGTTTCGTCGATTTGCAGGAGGTCCCCCGCGATGCGCAGCGGCAACCCTCGCGGACGATGTATCTCTGGTTCTTCGATCCGGATCGCGTTGCGAGGATGGTGCTGGAAGATACGTACAAGTGCATGTCGCGCTGTCTGCAGCGGATTGGCGTTGAGAGAAATAAGCTGAAGCTCTTCCTGGAGAAGACGGAACGGACGGATGTTAAGGGAAATGAGGAGAAGTATTTATCGCCGGCTGAGTTGAAGACGTTGAAGGAGTGGCGGGATAAAGAGGCTCTGTTACTGGGGGAAGTAGGGAGGTTGGATGAGTTGGTTTCTGTTTTGAGAGACTATTGATGTTCTCCTGTTAGTTCCGATTATCTTTTTGTTTGGCTGAACCTTCTGGAATTGTTCTATTCTGGTCTTCATATCCTTTGCCTTTTTGACATCCTGTATAACGGTTTCTTACCCTTCAATATCTCTTTTGTTGCTACTTCTGGAATACAAGCAAAAAAAGGATAATCGGGACTAACACCATAAAAATGCGATGATTTTTCCTGTTTGAATTGGCAAATTTCTCATTGGGATATGTATTCTATTCGATAACCAAGTGCTTTGCAGAGCTATATATCGCTCCCTGGATATCTCTAGACAGGTGCCAAAGTCTTGAAGCGATTGCGACGCTGCTAGTTGTAAATAAGTATCTTATCACTGAACGCACGGATGAGTTTTATGACAGCAACATGCAGTGAGAATTGAGCACACATGCGCGGTAGAATCTTTGGATGAAGGAAGGAGGAAGAGACCATGTCCACATGTTCCTAGGTCAGGTGCGCTATAATCTGCTTAGCGGAATGGCCATCAAAGACAGTGGAGTTATGGAAAACAGTGATGAACTAGAAGCTGCGGGTGATGATTACTTCCAAGAGCCACCAACCTCTGCAGCAACAAAAAAGATATTGAGATACAAGGCTGACTGTTGTCGATTACAAGTTGCTCTTCGAGATTAATCTTTGTGGCACTACAGCCCTTTTGCACCATATAAAAGTCACACTCAGAGATGCTAATACAAGGGCCTTAAAAATTTAAATCCAAACAAATTCTAAGCCACAAATTAGAGCTACTTCTATCCCTTTGAAAGTCTCGGGTGAGGAGAAAAGATGTTGTGTCAGCCCGGAGCAGAAAAACGGGTCGGCTCAAGATGAATAGGGTTGGCACGTAAAATGGAACTGGATGCATCCAGTATGACCTAGCACACATGATAGCTAAAAGCCCACTGTTGTAAGGTATGCAAGCAACTTTTATTCGGGATCTCCTCGTAGGGAAGCATGCTGTTTCGATGTTAGGTGTTTGGGTCTCTAAAAGGAAAACAAAAAGCGGGCTCACGTCAGGTATCCGGTTCGGTCGCTTCTGGTCGAATCACAGCTGTTTTATACAAGGCAAATCTTTGTGGGGAGGGTCTCGTCCTAATTCCAGAGTATCCATCTGTCACCAGAGGGCGGGCGAGTTTCCTGCTTCTGGAGACGACCACGGGAAATCTACGCCATGGAAAGTGGGGGAGGCCTTTGTTGACGCCGAGCAGAACGAGAGCGAATGCGTTTGCAAGCGCTGAGCGTTCCCTGAGGGTCTCGCTGGACGTGGAAGGATATACATACCAGTATTTATATACAACACTCCTTATATTCCTACCGTATATATTGAAGATGCTTTCTACAGCCAATCAGGAGGCCTTGGAGGTTTAGCTCGGCTTGGATGTTACATAATCGCACTAAGTTCACGAACTAACTTAACTAAGTTAGGCACCCGGTTTTCCCTCCAAACCCAAACTTCCGCTCTATCTTCCAACTTCCTCTGTCTTTTTTCGCCCTCACCGCGAACAATCATGGCAAACCCCGCCGCTTACAGCCTTTCAAGGCTTTTCATCAATCCCTCGATTCGGGCACCCGATAGGTCCAGTGGAGATGTGACCCTTTTCTATGATAGCCCCAAAGGCGGGGTCCTGTCCAGTTAATCCATCCCGTTGTGTTGGCGTAGAGGCATTGTTGCTATTAACGTTGCCCCTGCGTTGCCCCGAACGCTCTCCCCAATTTCCCCATTTTACTGCCAGATATTGCTTTAGAAACTCCGATTAGGATTTTTTCCTAAATTTATAGAATCAGAAAAACTAGAAACAAAACAAATTTGAAAAAGTAACATTGCTCTCTTTTCTCTAATGTCCCCCTGTTACATGACTAATAAGAAAGCTTGGAGATAGATGACCAAAATACTGCTGGGCACACTTGCTACGGAGCTGTTGCTCCACATATTTCACTCCTGCAGCTCAGTCGCCGATGTTCTGAACCTCTCCTTAACCTGTCGTCGCCTGCATGATGTATTCTCTGCTTCGCAAAAGCTTCCCATACTTGCCAACGCCGTGGAGGCCGAGTTTGGACCCCTGGAAGATATAATACAACTGGTCACTCAAAATACCAGCCAGCCTACGCATGTATCTCGTGAGGCACCGATATCCCTCGCTTTGATCCAACAAGCTGTCGAAGTTGGCCGCGTGGCCAAGAAATGGGAGGTGATCTATCCAATCAAGAAGTGGAAGGTGGATTTTGAAAATCGTCGAGTCTTGGACACCCATGAATGTTTCGTGCTGCGTCGAGCCGCATACCGTCTTTGGCTGTACTCAAGGGCCTTCCACTGCCAATTATTTCCGCGAACCAGTCGCACTCTCCCTTCTGTCGTCCGTGAGCGGGCTGAACTCTTGCACAACTGGCCCACAAGCGAGCTAGCTGAGATCGAAGATTTTCGATTGGTTATGCGTGAGGTTGTACAGAGCCAGATCTGCCCGAGCAATGAGACGATCCAAAGAAAGTTTCAGAAAAGGTTCCCGGAGAACACACCGACATCAACTCATATCCACCTAAACTGTCGTTCACTGACACCGCCCCCCTTGTTCCCACTCCTCAACTTCCACGCCAAACCAGCACCTACCTTGTCGTCTATCGATAGGAATAATTGCCATTTCCACGCCCAGCCAACATCTCGCGACAAAAGCATAAACAGCAACAACATTGTCACCTCGACAGTTAACAAATACGCAATCAAATTCCGCTCCGATCTCTACCACGAGCCCGGAATGGAAGGCTGGGGCGACCAGATTCACCATTACTATGTCGTCGAGGACATGATGAAGCTGGACCCGTCACAGGTTCTATGGTTGAGAGAAAACGCCCCCCTCAAGGAACAGGTAGAAAGCTACGTTCGATCGATGGGCGACTGGTTCGACAATAATGGCGAGACATTCGGGCAAACGCTGGAATGGGTAATGGGTGAACGTGGAGGGGATTATATGGAGTTGCATTTTTCGATTGTTGATGGGGAAGCAGGTATTGCGAAAGTGAAAAGCTGACGGTAATCCTTGTTGATGTAGCATCCATCGTCTTCTCTCTTTATTATCTCCTCTGTTCTTAGCCTTAGATGTAGATATCTATATATCGTTCCGTTTGGTATATTTGGCTTTATTGCTGTTGTCCCCCTTTCCTGCTTTAGTTCGTTTTGTCGCTTGATTTACTTGTTTCGAGGTAATGTTTGGATTTTGAAGCTTAGTTTCTCCGAATGACAAGATCACATACCTATTAGGCGACGTTGATAGTGTGAACAAACTATTTTTTGCTTTTTGTTTTAAGTTGCTACGTGAAACGCCCCATCACGGGGCTGGCGCAGAACCTGCTTACAGCTTAAACCTTGGCTCTAACGGCAATTTTTTGACCAATCTAAAACACTCACTCTGCAGATACCAGTCGAAACGAAGTGGGAAAACAAGTGGGGAAAAAAGGAAACAAAGAAGAGAGATTTAGATTATTTGCAAAGAATAATTAGCAGCCATGGAAAGAAGGGGGCAAATCGAAGGGTTAAAATAAAGAATGTGGAATTGCAAGAACAAAAAAAAATATATAGAAGAAACAAAAAGGTGGGAAAAAGAGTGGGCAAAAAAAGAGAATGGAATGTTGGTGGTGAAAAGCCAAACGTGTAAAACAAATCAACAATGAGAGGAGGAACTTGAAGGCAAACGACAAAACTAAGCCCAACCCGCAAATCCCCCAAACCATTTATCCCATCCCGCGTGGCCAATAAACATTCAATTCCAGAAGCAGGACATCCATCATCAGAACTCCTTTGAGCTCTTCAGGTATCCCTTCCCGTGCTCATTAAATTTCACCTTTATAACGTTGGCTTTTTTTCTCATCACGCTGCTGTCCTGAGGCCGTAGAATGACAGAAAAGGAGAAGATGATTTGGGAAGCGGCGAAAATAAAATAAGAAAACAAAATGTGGGAGAAGTAAATACATGGACACGGCATGGCATGACACAAACAGAAAAAACGTCAGGTGGTTCTTCAAGTCAAATCGACCGTGGCGACCAGAGAAAGGAAAATAGAATAGAATAGAATAGAATAAAATGCAGCCGCCATCCGTCGAGATGAAGACCCCAACGTTATAAAAGCACCGGTTATTCTAAGTCTCGCCACCGCCAGCCTTTCCCGGGAGAAGGCGCTTTCTGCTAGAACAGTGATTCCAGAATGGTGTCTAAAGGGTCTGCATTCTTTTCTTTAGCAGCATTTCTGCTTCGCATCTGCATCCTGCGACTTCGTGATCTCTACCACCTTGCGGTCACCGAGAGGGTTCTGTCCTGAGTTACCATTCTCGAGGGCCTTGCTGGAAACGATGCGGTAGATTTCTTAAGACGCTCCGTTAGTTGTGTTTTGTCCGGTGGGGAAGAGGGAAATATGGAGTCGGTAGAGTAAATGATAGTTGGGTTACCTGTAAGAATATTTTGAAATGCGAGCTCAACATTCGTGGCGTCAAGGGCGGACGTTTCGATGAAGGACAACTTCCTTGCCTCTGTTTTATGGGTTAGATAACCAGGGGAATAAGACAGCCGCCAACTTAGGCTTGGGATGAAGGAGTGGCGTGGGAAGTAAGCGACAGCATACCAGCAAATTCCGCGCCTTGGTCAGTTTTAATAGCCCGGACATGTTTTTGATCGATCTTATTTCCGACGAGCATGATGACAATGTTCTTGTCGGCATGTTCCCGTAACTCCTTCAACCATCGCTCGCAGTTTGCGAAAGTCTGTTCTTTAGTCGTATCATATACAAGAAGGGCTCCCACTGCGCCACGGTAATATGCGGATGTAATAGCCCTGTACCGCTCCTGGCCTGCAGTATCCCAAATCTGAGCTTTGATCGTCTTGCCGTCTACCTGAATAGAGCGGGTTGCGAACTCGACACCGATGGTGGACTTCGAATCGAGGTTGAATTCATTCCGGGTGAATCGGCTTAACAGGTTGGATTTCCCGACACCGGAATCTCCGATAAGAACCACTGTGTTCCCCGAGTAAAGCAAAGATACTGGTCAGTTATACAGAACAATTTTGTGCTTCGTTGATAAGGTGTCAGGACATAGGAAGGAGCCCGGTGGTGGCGTCGTGGTGGAGTGTCGCAAAGCTGGTGAAGACCTTACCTTTGAAAAGGAACTGGAAGTTGCAGAACTGTTAGAGACTATCACACAACCAAATATAGTAGAGGAGGGCAAGGAGAATGACTTACATCATATTCGTCGTTAGCCATTAGGGAGGATGGAGAGGTGGAAGAGTCGAAGTCTCTCTTCAAGGGGAACGGGATTTAATAAGTGTGTGTCGTTTCTGCGTGATTAAAGTGACTTTAGACCACGATGAGCCGGAAGCAGGACGCTGGGGCGATAAAGGGGTACGGTTCGTCTGTCAGTCAATGACCGTCAAGAAGGATCAGTAAGTTGGATGGTGTGTTGACAAGAGAACCAGAAGAAGGCAACGAGATTATCCAATAGATGAAGCTGCGTTGGCTTGAAGTTCGAGGAGGGTGAGAGTGGCAGAAAGGAAAGGTAACCGGTACCTGACATTCCAGGTATATCTGGTGGTACTTTTGGTATCGGATACATATATTTTTTTTTTCGGGCGGAAACCTGGCTTCTTGCTGATTCAACACTTAGTCAGCCGCTTTGTTTGGCTTGCATTCGGCCAGGAATTAAATAAATCCATGGATGTGGATGGATGTCTTTGAGAACTTGGGGTTGATTGACTGACGGCGGAATGAAATTCACTCTCACAGGGCTCTAATCCAGTAACTGCCGTATGTCGCTTTCGTCGGCTCAAGGCCTTTGTCATTTCATTGAGAACCGCAATTTCACAGACACTACGGATGAGTACTTACATCTGTAGGCTATCGGAGAAGGGCCATTTATGCGATAATGATCGAAAACACGACGCAGTCAAGTCTATGATGTGGATTCTTCCATTCATCTGTTTCACTTTTTTTGACCTTGGTGTGGCTGGCAAGTTTTTTTTGCTATGACTTCCAAGATGGTGCCAACTGGAGCTACAAGTGATGAAGACGATGATATCTCAATTACTTCAACTGTTGGCAGTGAGCCGCAGTCTGAATATGAAGTGGAATCTATTCTTGCTCAAAAGAGCTTCCCAAATGGTGATGCGTATCTGGTAAAATGGGCTGGCTATCCGTTGGAGAGGGCAACATGGGAGCCGGAGGACTCCTTTTGTGATCCGAATATTTTGCTGGCATGGAGGAGGAAAATCGCATCTGGGGAGCATGAGTCGTTAGGTGTGGATGTGGATGACTTGGCACGCAGGATTGAGGAAATTGAAAGTGCAAAACTCGACAGGCGTCGCAGGCGTTGGGCAAAGCGCATTCGTCTCGGGATCCCGGCATCCCCTTTGACTGATGGTTCTGATGCCGTTTCTGCTGGCCAGGACAGCGACTCGAACCTTGATGACTTTATCATTGACGATGATGTTGATGTGGAGGGCGAAGATGAAGAAGAAGGGTGGCAGTCATTGCGGAGGAAACGACAACGCTCATCCAGCACCAAAACAACAACCCCCCGCGCAGGAATGGCTGCTTCTCCTTCGCTGCCCAGTGGCACCCCAAGCAAGCGTCAGATTCCGGCTTCAATAGCGCCATCATCGACTGGGTTTCCGAACAAAAGGAAGAAAATCGATACGACTTCGACAACCAGATCTCCTGCAACTAATAATCAATCCACACAGTCTTCAAAACCGACATCGTTAGTAAAGCAAAGACAAACTTCAAAGGACTCTCAGAATGCCCCTGCACGCCACCAAACGCGGCCAACTTTGAAGGTACAAACCTCATCCTCCACTAATCCTTCGTCCTCAGAACCTACACAATCTGCGAAGTCGACTGCGCAGGTCAAAGTGCCCTTGATCCCCACTGGGCCAGCGAACCGAACTGTTCCCGTCCTCACAAAAAAACAAAATGCGTCAAAGCCAAAACTCTTCCGCAATTTATCCTCTAAAAACAGATATGAGAAAACCATGCGGCGGGACGTAATACCAGATATAAGGCAACTGGATTTAAGACCACCAGGCAAATGGATTGCGTCCCAGAATGATAAAACTCCGCTATCTGCATCGCCGTCCCGACTGCATGCACCTCGCAATTCAGAAAGCTTCGTTGATCAAAACGGTCCCCACCGTGATGCTAACGATCATTCTCATTCTCAAGGCAGTCCAGGGGTAGATGGGCCAGTTGAGGCGAGGAGCAGTTGCCAGCCAGATCAGCTCCAACTCGCCTCGGTACAATCGCCATCAAAATCGCTTCATAAAGGCTCTCCTAGTAGTTGCAGTCCGGGAACATCTGTTCTCCCATCGGTATTTTCTCCAAGCAAAGCCAATTCCATAGAATTATATGATAAAGGTCCACCAAAGGGAATGAAAGGAACTGGCACCGGTTTCCAATCACAGGCAAAAGCCGTGGTCCACCTCCGATTTGGACCAACGGGCAAGGAAATAGGCGATGTCAGATTGGGAGGCCTGACAAGAAAAACGGTTCGGCAATTGTTACTCCTTAAATCACAAAACAAGATTGATATGCATTTTAAAGATGTGTGCAACCTTGACCAATACAGACAATTGTGTGACAGAGTAGGTTTCCCATTTCTTGACACAAACCAAAAATATTAATATTAAACCCTGACTGATTATACAGAGAAAAAACATAAAATACTGCAGCGGCTGGGTACTTGCGTCTGGCGATACTACCTTCGCAGTTAATGAACTAGCGAACTACTTGAGGGACAATGGGTTGGCTGCTTTATGGTACCACCCAAGTGAGGATGTCTCTTCGGTTATCATAGCCTTTGCTTTGGATTGTCCAGATTGGAATTTTTTAAACGGATCGAATGAGTATCCATCTGCGAGACTCCGGATTGCTGTACGGAGTGCTCTTGCTCTTGTTAGTAGCCTTCGGCCCATCGCTGCTAAGGAAGCACCATACCATGCCGGCGAACGCAACACGAGCAGGGAGGAAAGCCGCCTTTCCATGAACCTGCAGCCGGCGCACCCGGTAGAGCCGATGGCGAAGGAAGATGAAAAAAATACCTCACTATCGAAATGCTTAATTGCTGCCAACGGAGCTGTGGATATTGAATCCGTTTTCCGAGACCGGTTCAGCATCACGTATGATGAGCTGAGCGTTGTGAATACCATTAAGAAAGAACGCGCCGCGCGAGCCTTTTACTTACATTTCCCACTCGAGGTGGAAGATGAATTCCAACTGGTCTTGCGCTTCTTAAAACGTTATGATATGGTTGCATTCTCTAATCGCATTGAGGGCGATTGGGAAAAGTTTGTGAAGACTGCAACAACAGGCACTATTCTGGTGAGTTTTGTTTTGTTTTGTTTTTTTTTTTTTCTAATTACCAATGAAACATCAAATTTTACATCCCCACGCCAAATTAATCATTCTACTTGAAATGACAGTTCCATCAGAAATTCATTCATTATGAAAATATGCCGATGCTTGCGAAGCTTTTACGAGCTTCCGTGAACGTGTTCAATATCTCTCTTTCCGAGCCTATTAAATACCTTGATCATGACAGCCACCTCCAAAGACTGTTCCCACATGGAGGAATTATTCTAATGACCGAAGACTTCATATTGAAAGAATCAGAAGCGGCCTTAAAAGTTCTAAACTGGTTCGGAAATTTCATAGGGAGAAAGTTCCCTGGGACTTGGAAGATGTTTCTACGGCCGAACGTGCAGCACTGGCTGTTTGATCTTTGTGGAAGTTGGCCAGACGACACGTGGGTCACCTCGTTCTTTGCTCCCCCTTATTGGTTTTGTTTTTAGAGACTAATATTGACTTTGGTTTGTTTTTTCCCTTGTCTAGACTGTGGAAGATGTACCAGACGATCAAGAACCTCATTCCAGAATATCCCGTAGGACACTACAACACCTACCGGCGCGAGGGCTCGCCGGAATCATTAGACGGACTCACGGATGATGAGGGGCAGCATCACCCCTTCATCTCAACTCGCATGATACCGGATTACGGCTCACGTGGCGCGGACGACCACCCGAATATCCCCAAAGGACTAACGCAAAAAGAGAGAGATGCCGATCACCTCATCGAATATTTTGCGGGTTATGCGTTGATCAATGCGGAAAGATTTCGACGGTTTGTAGTGTTAACCACTTATAAGCCGCAGCCGCGATGGCAAGCGTGGACCCATGTATGTAACAACCAATATCTCCCCGGCAATCCGATTAACAACACTTGCGTGTGAAAGTGAGCAGGAATTTCAAGCTAACTTAATCCAAACCTCCCTCGGGCCTTTCCCTCCCATAAATCAGATCGAAATCATGGACTACCCAGAATTCAAGCGAGAACTCATGGCATCCCCTACACACAACGCCGGCAATAGCCAAAGTGGTAAAAATAATCAGAGCGGCAAATACACCCACCATTCCGTTCCCAGCTCCGGGCGTGGCGGTGGTCACGGGAACGACCGCGAGAAGGTCCCAACGACAGCCTCAGAGGCAGGGCCAATAGATGCTTCGCGCGGGAAATAGCAATCATGATACCAGCCCGTGTTACTCCCCTAGTCACATGTGAGAGTGCACGGAGCTGGTAAAAATGGTAAAGGGATGAAATTTCAATTGGATGAAATGGAAATGGGATATCATGATGCAGTGCCTGGGTATTCAGTGTTCTAATAAAGGGCCCCTACTTTCTAGATTCTATACTGCTGTTTTATTTTATTTTATTTTCCTGGTTACTAGCGGTTTTTGTGGTATGTTGTGCGCATTACGGGCTTATTTGCTGGGCCTATTTATGACATTTTTTTAATCCCCCCTTTCAAGATCTCGAATATACCCACCCCCTTTCGTTTCTTCGGCGAAATGCAGTTTTTTTTCCTTAAAAAGATAATATATCTTGCGTCCGAAATCTTCTTCCTCTATGCCACCATCGACTTATCTTCATCTTTCTCCTTAACGTTCCAATGTGTGGAATTACAACAATGATATGACAGCACATCTATGGTCGTAGTGAGAAAAGGCATCTGTATCTCTCAACTCCGCCACCATGGGCATCATACACTCGACTTGAAAGCCATAGATCATGGGCAAAAATCACGACACCTTATTCTTGCCAGAATGAATCCTGCTATTATTGTAGGCCTGAGCATGTATATCCACACGTGGTTATATCCACGTTTTCAGGGATATATTGCCGCCAGCTCGAATAAGAATAACTCCGGGCTAGTTGGTGGGCAGTCATAGTCCTACAGAGAGTGCGAGAATCCCTCCTATTTCACACTTGTTAAGGACCGGGGAAGGTGTTCTTAAAAAATTGATAACGGGGAGAAGAAAATATCCGTATGAAAATTGCAAGGAAGACATTCGAAGGAAGCAAGCAATATGGGAATAAGGGTAGAAGCAGCTATAATGACGATGCGGAAAAACAATTAGAAACCAACATTGGGCTGGCTGTGTGTTGGACCTTTCAACCCACCCAGCTGACTGCCTACATTCAGCGGAATAAAGTTGCATTGATTGATTGAAATACAACAAGCCAAATTTACCTACACCTGTTGACAATTTCACAGTTAAGTACCATATTAGAGTGGGGAAACAAGAAATGCTATCAGCGCAGCATTCCAATGGATAGTCTAGTTATGCAAGTAACTAGCTACTGTTCATGTTGAATTATGCTGAGCAAAAACAAATGCAGCTTAGTCGTGGAGTTCAAAAATAAGGATGGTAAACCAAGGGTAAGGAACGCAACCCGTGAACCGTGAAGGTTTAAAATGTGAAAGCGAAAGAGAACGAAAGAGAAAGAAACGAACGGAAAACGAAGCATTTGTCATGAACACATAAAACAACACGCCGATTATCCCATCGGAAGACGTAAAGTAAAGTAGTCATGAGGGGAGGGAAGGATTCGGAAAGGGAAAGAAACGGGAGAAACATAAATAGTGAGAAAATCACTCAAACGAAGCTCTCTGAGAAATCTTGAATGGGTGATCGATGAGGGATAAAATTAAACCACCAAGGGGACAAAGAGCATATGTATGCAACCCTTCGTACTGAGGAATGATGACTGGTTTGAGTCCCGGTTCAAAAAAGAAAAGACAAAAGGGGCCCTCCGATCTGAACATGGAATTCCACCCCGTCTTTCTTGTAGCAAAGAACCCAAGATCTTAGAGAGCAAGCAGTGATGTCTTCCCATAGCATAACCAACCCTTATAGAAAAGTATGTATCGTGTCGCCGTCCGTCATGAAAACCCCCCAACAGCGGTATCCGTTCTAGCACGCAGCCTCCACTGCTCAAAACTATTGTCATTATTCTTATTATCCCCGGCCCCCTCCTTCTGTTTCCTTATCTTCTCCTCCCACTCGCCTTCTTCTGCGGCGATCATCGCATGGAACTTGCCACCCTGACCACGGGCGAGGTATACGGCTTTCTCCTTTCGTGCAGCAACGGCCTCGGTAATGAGGACAAATTTCACGCTGGAGCCTGGTGCCTCGAACATGGCGTCGCCTAGGATCATCTCCATTTCCGTACGCAGCCCGCGTGCGCCCGTCGCCATTGACATGGCGTTACTCGCTATTTTGTGAAGGGCTGGCGTCGTGAATCGGAGTTCAATACCCGACAATGAGAAGAGTGTGGTGTATTGGGCGAGTAATGAGTTGCGCGGTTCTGTTAGGATGCGGAGCAGGAGGTGGTGGGTAAGCTGAGAAAGAGCTGTGATTACGGGAATGCGGCCAACAAGCTCTGGGATGAAGCCGTAGGTTTGGAGGTCGACGGGTGTAAGGAGGTCAAGCGGGTTAAAGTACGTCGGTTCTTCGTCAGGCGAACCTGACCCAGACGGTAACGGTGCAGGGGTAAAGAAAGGGAGATGCTTCTTATATAGGGCTTCCTCCTCAGAGCCGGGAAGGATTGGAATAGGTGCTGTAGAAACTGCATGCGAAGAATTGTGGGAACTAAACGAGTTTGATGATGCCCGTATAGGTTGGCCGAACCCAATGGAGCCACGCGATATCCGATCCATGATCATTTTGTTCAGGCCTACGAACGCACCCGAGAAAATGAAAAGGATGTTGTCTGTCCGCACATTGTAAACTTCAGGCTTGCCAGGGAGTCCTGGTGGGGCTGAAGAGAAGGACGATCCTCCAAAATTGCTACCGGTGGTGCTTGGGCTGGAATTGTGCGATCCACCGGAACGGGAAGCATTTCGCTCTGGCTTGGCTTGAATCTGAACAGTTGTGCCTTCAATGATCTTTAGCAAAGCTTGCTGGACTCCTTCGCCGCTCACATCTTTCCCGTGGCTAACTTTTGCAGCAGCGAGCTTGTCGACCTCGTCAAGGCAGATGATGCCCCATTCTGCCTGGGCTACATCGTAATTGGCAGCAGCTAGTAATCTATGGACGCATACATCCGCATCCTCTCCAATATATCCAGCTTGTGTAAATGGAGTGCAGTCAGATATGCTGAACGGTACAGACAGCACACGAGCTAAGGTTTTGGCCATCAGAGTCTTGCCTACGCCAGATGGGCCAAGCAATAGGATATTAGACTTCTCGAGCGTCAAGGGAGATGAGTCGATGGGGAGCGGTCCTGATCGCGCTATGTCATCATTGGTAGTTCTTTGGGTATGAATGGTCCGTTGCTGACCTGGAAATTCAGCTAGAGAGCCGAATCAAAAAGGAAAGTGAGTTAGCAGCAAGTTCAAATCTGGCTACCAATTGCCATCTGACAAGAAGTACGTAGAATGCAAGCTACATACTCTCTACAGGATGTCCCTCCACAGACTCACGACGTGCTTGTTGTGCCTTCAATTCCTCTTTCTCTTCCTCCTGCCTCTGTAACTCCTGCACCCGTTGATAGTGATTGTAAACAGCCACGCTCAACACCTTCTTAGCTCTATCCTGACCAACCACAAATTGATCCAGATGTTGTTTGAGTATTTTAGGAGTCAAGTGAGGTGCACCAAAGGAGGGTGCGGAGCCCAATGGGCCGGAAGTGGGGAGGCCCGGCTCATAGCTGCCAGTGAAAGGCTGGTTGGTGAAATCAGAGCGGTGGAATTGAGAAGGAGAAGAGCAACGGGGTGAGGTAAAGATATGACGGCGTATGGAGTAGAGGGCTAGATACGATAGTTGGACCCGCCGACGGACGGGGGAACTTGTCGTTGTCCAGTCGAGCGGCCGAAGCGGGGATCTGAAGGGGCGGAGAAAGCTCATCCAGCTAGCTTGAGCTGGGAAGCGGTGGGGTGAGTCGAAGATAAGAATAATTGAGGACTGACACACGGATGCCAGGAATAGAAAATACAGTAGATTAGCAGCGATCAAAGATAGCAGAGCAGAGCAGAGCAGACCGGAGCGGAGCAAACCGGACAGTAGAGGAGACGAAGTTGGAGATGTTGAGTTGGAGATGTTGCTTGTTTGCCGCTTTATGCTTTCCCCGCTAAGGCACGCACGTGAGCGATTACGTCAGTATCCCCTATGCGAGCAATGAAGCCGAGACTTCTCCGCAATTGATATACAGAGCAATCGCCTTGCTATATACGAGTAGACGACACCTGGGACGATGCCAATGTTCAAAGGCGGAGTCCAATTACCCCTAAGTGTGCCTCCACTCCATACAGTCTCCGGAGGGATTGTAACATATTATTCAGGAAAAGCAGAATCGACGTAGGGTGTCGAATTTGGGATCGACTCGGATATAGAGATGTGGCATGGATCCGCCATGGGAGATAACGTCACTGAATTTGGCTGACTTGGCTGGTGTGTCCTGGTCAAGTTGTGGATGGTTGGCTATTGATTTTACTACGTAGATAGATACTGCCGCAGGAATATATACAGCCGGACCAACAACCGTGAAGCATGCACGAAGGATTTTTTTTTTTCTCATCTTCCTTACCCCGGCCAGTTTCCAATATCTGCCCGCAGGCTGCAAAAGGCTGTGTGCTGACAAGTGCCTCCAGTGCTGGATGCGCTATCAGTTGTTCGATTATGAACACTCCCCCGTTCACTCCCCCACGCGTTTTCTACGAACTTGCTGCGTATCTCCTTTCAGCATATCTGAAAAATTGCTTCCTGCTGATGCTGCAGATGCCGTGGATACTGCACAGGGACAGGACGTCTATGAGACAGTCGTTGGCCACGCAAGATGCGAGGGCTTCACAGACATTTTGAACTGTCTCCGCGAGGTCGACTATGACAAAATCCTTCATGCCATAAACGCGGTTCCAGGGATCTTAAGTTATTCTTCCATAGCTTTGTCGACGGAATTACCCTCACCAAATCACCCGACGAGCTGCTTTTTAGCAGGCAAAATGACCACAGTCCCCTTCATCCTTGGCATCCAGGAAGACGAAGGAGCTCCCTTCGCCCTTTCCAATTCAACATCACCACCAAAGGCTGGCTGGCATTGTATCTCAAGACGAAACTCTTCCACAGCGCAGAATTGATCTCCAGTACAGGAAACCGCACACCACTGGTTTTCTGAACAATTGGCACCCGCAATTCAAACGCTCTGCTGCCATCCTGGCGACCTGACACTCACACTCTCTCGGCGCTCCGTGCTGACATTTCCCACACCGTCCACCCGGACGTGCCCATGTGGTGCAACTTCTCCTCCTATGAATATGGGTTGCCGATCTTAGGCACTATACACGGTGGCGATCTTATCCGGGTCCCTCTTTGGCAGTTTGCCTGATGACACCTCCAGGGCATTCCGCTAGTAATACTTATCTTTCGTCCACGGGCAGGACCCGAGCAATGAAACGGACTGGTCCAAGTCGCCCCGCTGGAGCAAGGCGAGGAAGTTGCTGAGTAGGTAGGACTGGAGCTCGAGGCTTATTCCGGACACCTTGTAGGAATGATGCTTATAAGTACATCCTAGAGAATGTGAGAAATTTCCATATTTAGGATTTCTTGGGTTATGTAGGCTATAAGCATGAAGGGCTTATGATTGGATATGCATGATGACTGTTAATATAGGGTGTGTATAAGGAATACATAAGAGAAACCAGGCTAGATTTTCTTTTTTTTGAAGTTTTGATCACTCTCGCCGGTTGCGAGGGCATCGAATTGGCGTATCTCACCATTATATTTTTGGATATCCGGAGACTGAAAATAAAAAAGCGTGTCTCCATCCCTAGGTACTGATGCAACCTTTTGGCAGTACTTGGGGACACGGTGATATCGCCGATTTGCTCCAGTAGCAGACATAAACATGGTCGTAAAGCCGAGAGGAAGGACCTAGATAGGGATGACCAGCGCCGGACCAGCTACTCCCCTGGAGCCCTCACTGCGGAGAATCCTGGGTTACTGAACTATACTCATCTCTTGATATACCCCTGAAGAGGACAGCGACTCGGGTGGAGGGGTCATCACGAATACAAATGAGTTTCAAAGGTTTTCTCGCCGTCCCCGTCCCCGTCCCCGCCCCCCATGGCTTCAGCGTTTTAAAGGTTCGTATCTCCTTCGGTAAGCCCCGAACCCGGGAGAAAAGGGCCTCCACGGTGTGATGACATGAAGGGGGAAGTTAGAGGAGAGATGTTGCTAGAGGAGAGATGTAAGGGAGTATCGGAACCTCCGAGAAATGGCCCCCATCGACTCCACTCAGGATTGATACCCCCATCGCCGAATAAGCCTGGGACCAACTTCCAAGCTGACGCCTTATGGAGACATCGAGGTAGCTTCGTGATCACGGTCCGAACAGGATGCCCCGAAACGTGTCTGTCCTTAACGCCGCCAACAGTCGGCCCTAATCATCCCGCAGTTTAGACATCGTCTTGCTGACTGCATGCGGGTAGCCGAGCCGAGCATTGGATAAATCAAAATTAAAATAGATTAAAACTACCTATCAAAGCTCAGCAACGCAGGGGACGACGAAGCTTAATAACTAGTGGGATGGGAGTGACAGCGGTCTCTGATATAATTACTACGGCGTAGTACACAGTTCGGAGTTGCAGTGCTTACCCCTCTCACCCCGCGCTTGTTGTTGTTGCGATATGTCTGCGTCCTGTAAGGTTCAACTACAGCGTTGAACCCTTGGAATTCTCCCTGGCGTTTCTCGCAAAGGCTAGATCGGTGCCAGAATGATCGAGGGCGTATTCTTGTGCGCTGACTGACTGACTTCGTCCTGGGTCTCTTCGAGTCTCCACCGATCACGCCATTTTGCCCGTTGCTTGGTAGTCAACTAATCAATCAATCAATCAATCAATTGATTCGCCTTTGTGCTTTTTTTGAAAATTTATCTTTTTTTCTTCTTCTCAACTTCGGCTCCCCGCAATTGAGGAAATAAATATGAGAGCGGCGGAATCCTCTTCTGTTCTCCTTCATTCATCTCCCCCCGCCTCTGCTGGAAAATCGCTGTCTCCCTTCGAATCAAGCCTCTAGCTATATACCCTTACCCAACATATCCCTGGCTGCTCATAGTTATCGTTTCATCGTATTGTCATATATTGCCCTATTTCCAACATGGCTGGCGACGAAATCACCCAGCGCTTTGAGACGCTGCAATTGCATGCTGGGTAAGCAACATTCGCACTTATGTATATTTACTGTCCCGACGTCGCTAACGAATGCCCGAATCCAGTTATGATCCAGATCCGGCCACCAATTCGCGAGCTGTTCCCATTTATGCTACCACAGTTGGTCTCTCTCAGAAACCCCCCACACACCCCTCCCTTCATTGCACCGTCCGTCACTCACTAACTTGCGGCGAAGTCCTTCACTTTCAATGATTCCGCCCATGGTGCTCGACTCTTCGGCCTCAAGGAATTTGGCAATATCTACTCCCGTCTTGCGAATGTGCGTTATATCCATACCTTGGCTCTTCACCAGTGCATAATGATAATGGCAATGAATAATAACGAGAACAGCCCACGGTCGAAGCCTTCGAGAAGCGCGTCGCTGCCCTAGAGGGTGGCGTGGCTGCAGTCGCCGCCTCCTCCGGCCAATCCGCCCAGTTCATGACCATTGCTGCCCTTGCTGCCGCCGGCGACAACATCGTTTCCACCACCAATCTCTACGGAGGGACCTATAACCAGTTCAAGATCTTCCTGCCGCGCCTTGGTATCACTACCAGGTTCGTCACGGGCGACGACCCTGATGAGCTGGCGTCGAAGATCGACGATAAGACCAAGGCCATCTACCTAGAGACGATTGGGAATCCGAGATACAACGTGCCGGACTTTGAGCGGATTGCGAAGGTTGCGCATGAGAAGGGGGTACCGTTGGTGGTATGTCTACAATGATCTATGGATCGATCGAAGAGATAGAAAGATAAAAAGGGGGAGGGAAAAAAAAGAAACCTCCATCCATGGATCCTCTGATTAGATAAGCTAACCCAGCAAACCAAACAGGTGGACAACACCTTCGGCGCAGGCGGATTCTTCACGCGCCCCATCGAGCACGGTGCCGACATCGTCGTGCACAGCGCTACGAAATGGATCGGCGGCCACGGCACCACCATCGCCGGCGTCGTCGTTGACAGCGGCAAGTTCGACTGGGGCAAACACGCCAAGCGGTTCCCGCAGTTCACCGAGCCATCCCCCGGCTACCACGGCCTGAAACTGTGGGAAGCTTTCGGCGCCGCCGCCTTCGCTACTAGCGTGCGCATCGACGTGCTCCGTGATCTCGGCAGCGCGCTGAATCCGTTTGCCGCGCAGCAGTTGCTGCTGGGCCTGGAGACCTTGTCGCTCCGCTGCGAGCGACATGCGAGCAATGCGATGGCGATGGCCAGGTGGCTGGAGAAGAATGAGAATGTCTCGTGGGTGTCGTATCCGGGATTGGAGAGCCATCCCAGCCATGAGACGGCGAAGAAGTACCTGAAGCGTGGGTTCGGAGGCGTGCTGTCGTTTGGTGTCAAGGGCGGTGCCGAGGCCGGCAGCCAGGTCGTCGACGGGTTTAAAATCATTTCAAACCTTGCCAAGTGCGTATCTCTCAACGTAACAGGATACCTCTCGAATAGGACATGATTGACTAACATACTCAACTCTTTGTTATAAACCCAATACAGTGTCGGTGACTGCAAATCCCTAGCCATCCACCCATGGTCAACGACGCATGAGCAACTTAGCGAGGAGGAGCGCATCGCGTCCGGCGTGACGGAGGATGCCATCCGCTTCTCTGTCGGCACCGAGCATATTGATGATATCATTGCGGATTTCGAGCAGTCATTTGCAGCCAGCAGCGCGCTGAGCGGCAAGGCCGATGAAAAATGATAGGCTTACGCCAGTGGCTCTGGCCCTGACTGTACCCACAGGCGAGTGCTGGTACCTAATCTAACAGGCAGACTGTGGTTATCCCACTTTGAATGAAAAACAGATAAAGTTGGACTGGTAAAGGGGTTCCGGTGCAGGGCTTCGGGAGCCTCTATATATCGTTCGGGTCTATATTCTTAGAGAGGTTTCAAACTGCAATTCAGGCTATAGGCAGGTAGTAAATAATCAACTACTACCTACGATGATATGAAGTGAAATGAAATGAATAATTCTTCTTTCTCTTTTTCCTCGTTCCTTTACCTTTTGCGTTCCCTTTTCCATCTCCTTTACTTTATACCTTCTTTCACCCGCTGCCCTTTTTCGTATCTTCTCTTTCTCGTTTTCTGGGCCATTGGCTCGGCCAAAAGGCCAAAAGCACGTATAGCGATTTCATGTCGCCGAGCACCACCAGGGAATACAGAAGAGAGCTTGACACTCCTCCACCATAATGGACATCCAATGCCACGTTCTTCTAGATGAAAACAAGATGCGCCAACCACACAGTGCTGAGGATAAAAGCCAGAACGATAGGGTTCTCGAGCTGGAGGGAGTTACGATGAGTGTCGGACGATTTTCGAGATTGTTCGCGCAAGTTGTTGGCCAGGCTGGACAAGACGTCCACGGCATGCGCTCCTAGGACTTCGGCTCCTTTCGTCCAACGGCGTTTTACTCCGTCTCTTCCCAGCGTGGGAGTACAAAGGGCTAGCGGCAAGCGGGTGCCCTGTTTGTGAACGACCGCAGGCATGTATTCATTCCTCACCAAGGCTGGTGACAACGGCGCTGAAGTTTTTGATGATGTTGAACATGCCTCCACTTCTGGGGCCTCAGCGGAGCCAAATGTTGGGAAACAGGAAATAAAAGCCACACAGCCGCACTCTGCCAATGGAATCCAGCACCGAATGTCTGGACAGCCCGTTCCGAATATCGACAGATTTTCTTGGTGGGTGAGATTCCTCATTGATCTCGAAGTATATCTAGTGTATACCACGATATAAGTTGCAGCGCCAGATCTATTCCCTACATGCTGACGCCCGCTATAAACGTCAATCCAGTCCACGGACGGCACACAGCTCCCAAGTCAAGGTAACGAGTCTCATCACGAATCATTGGGATGGACCAAGTCACGACAAAAACCTCCCACCCCCCGGCCCTGTATGCAGGCGAAATCGGCCGAATATCAAGGCAAATATGCTGGCTCCATTGGATTCCGGATGGGCTCCGCGCATACAGTCGATATAACAATTCCTCACAAACCATTGGCGTGCAGGTCGTAACATGGGTGGTTGGATTCGGTAGATAGGGAGTTTCAATGGTAACGGCTCCCCGTCACGTGCCACTAGTCTGCTGGGATCACCACGATGTTGGGACTGTTTCTACCTTTAACAACCCTCCATGAAGGAGAAAGTTACATTATGAGAGATGAAATGCAATTTTGTAAAACATGCAATCTTGTGATATGGGAATGACGATGATCTCGGGTTCCTCACTTGGCAACCCCAATATCATGATACGTTTAGAGATAAGTGTGCAACTCAGCCACAACCAATAAAAATAGTAAGCTTGTAATCAAGTTATTGGTGATGATGTCTCGGTAATCACGCTTGATCATCGTCATCAGACTCATCACCACCGAGATCTGGAAACAAAAATTGTGGCTGATAAGCTGCGCTTGCATCAGTTATTTGACCACACAGCGCATGCAAGAGCTGGCCCACTCATCCAGCCACACTCGGAAGCCCGATGAAGGGCGGATTCCTACTGGCAGCGGGGCTCCATCATGGCGCCAGCAAAGGGCCCGAACAGGCCAGGAAGTCCAGCCCCGTCCATCGCTTGGTTCGATCTCGAGGGCAGTCCACGGGGGCTCAAAGAGCCGCATGCAGCCTGCGAGGCGTTGGGATAGCGTGACAAAAATTCAACGAATGCCGGGCCGGCTGAACTGACCAAGGAATGGCGTTTCAATTTATGCATTTTTTTTTTCTCGAGTTAGGTAGTAAGTTATTTGATTTTTTTACGTGAGGTTTGGTCAGCAGCGAGTGAGTTAGTTTTCCTTGGCCTTTACACGGTCGCGAGAGGAAGAAGGTGATCCACAACCTGTGGCACGGAACAAAGACAGGACATCAGTGAGTGGGTTTGAAGGTGGAATATGGATGCCTCGCTGCTGAATTTAACCAAACGATGCTCGCGACCTCACGAAGCGAGTTGGAATCTTCAGCGAAGCTTTGGGTGAACGATCCTTGCTCCAGCCGCTGCTATCCCTGGGTCTCTGGATCGTTTCAACCGTGCGAGACAAAGCCGCGCCGCAGCGCACAGGAGATGTGCAGAGTATGCATGCACGCTAAGATGTGTAACTTGTCCTCAAGCTGTCAGCTGCAGCATGTCGGCGGCATGCTTGATCCTGATTGTCGCACTCCATCCTGCCGATTCTTTTTCCTGGCTGAAACTAACCCCAAGCAGAACATCGGGCGATACCTCCCTGGTCGAACCAGCACTTTTCCTGCCTAGGTTCGACTAGTTGGGCTTTTATCACGTTAGAGTCGATGGGTCCATGGTGGCGCACTTCCCAGCGGAGGGTTCCAATGAGATGCAGGCGTCCAATTCTTTGATGTCGAATTCTCGCCTCAGGATGGGGTTTTTGGAGGCAACGGTGCGGCGGGTCGACTTATTTTGGCGGCTCTGGGACGAGGGAGGAAAGCCATATCGTAGTACATTATTTTGTGATCAGTAGGCTAGTTGCGGCGGGACCCAGCAGTGTTGTCATTCGGTATCGTTGCTGCGGAATTGTGGTGGCAGTGACTTGGCGAGCACTTCTCGATGATGCGATACGAGGGTGGGCGAGCACGCTGCGGGCTTGGTGCCTTTGCTTTTTCTTTGGTGCGTTTGGTTTGAACCATTATGAATTGCTATCCTGGGATAAGAATATCAACGTGCTGCGGGCTAGCGAGTAGCCTGCTCTGCCCTCTGCCCGCTGTCCTCTGTCCTCTGTCCTCTGTCCTCGTTCCCAGGAAGTCTTCAATATCCCCATCTTCTCAACGCCATCCACTGCTCCCCACGTCATCGCCCGCCCAGCGACAGAACTAGTCCCAACGTAAAAGAACCAGCCAACTCTAATCCCCTGCCGGATCCTGGCCCTGGAGCTTATCCTGACCGTTTCTGCTCCCTTTAATTCCTGACGGGCGCCCATCACGATCGTCCGTCCAGTTGTGAATCACCACCCAGCCAGGTTTCGTCGTTCTTCTTTAAAACCCCTCCTGTCCGCCTCGTATTTCCGAGTTTTTGGCATTTTTGCACCTATTCTCGTCCATCCATCCATCCATCCCTCCGTTCATACGTTCGTTCGTCCGTCCGTTCGCTTGGTCGGTCGTTCAGCCTTACACACCACCAAATCCTCCGCTCGGCCACTATTCAAGATCGATCGGGAAAAATCCGATCGCGAAATCGATCACCCGTCCACAATTCCACAAGAACACAGGTCATCAACGTCGCCATGCAGAATATCGTGATGGGCCTGCGAGGCGTCCAGGTCGTCCTGGCCATCATCATCCTCGGCCTGACTGGATGGGGTATGTTAAACAAGATCTATTCCATCTTACTATCTATATTCACCACACCACTGCCTCATGCCAGAACGTTATACAGATCTGTACTTAGTTTCCTAAACACTAACACTAACCAACTCCTCCCAGCTGTCAACCGCACCCAGGGCTACTCCGACGAGACCAACTTCCTCCTCTTCGACGCCATTTGGACGTTCCTCGTCGCCGTCCCCTTCCTCGTGCTCACGCCGCTCTATCTGCAACAGTTCGCCCACAAGTACGCCCTCATCGCCGTCGAGGCCATCACGCTGCTGTTCTGGTTTGCCGGTTTCATCGCCGTCGCGGCTATACTGCCCCCGTCCGCGGCTTGCAGGCATTCCTCCGTCTGCAAGGGCCTGCAGGCCGCGACGGTCTTTGGCGCATTTGAATGGTTCGTTTTATTCATTTCTACTTCTATTTATTTCTATTTCTATTCCTGTGTTTATTATTTATTATTATATTTGGCTGACATCAATATATTCTAGGCTCCTCTTTGTCGCCACGACTGTCCTCGTCGTTGTCCTTCCCCTGATGCGAGGTGGTGGAGATAGCACCCCCAAGCCCGAACCTGCCGTCGACATGCAAGCGCATCCCGGCGTATAGAAAAATTCAATTCTCGGTCTTGACATTTCCTTTCTGCTTTCCCATTTTGGATTTTTTTTTTTTTTTTGCACCCTGTCGAAACTCCACCTTTGGACCCGTATTTCGCCGGTCTTGATTCCCCACTTCGCGTAATTTTTTTTTTTTCCTTTTCTTCCCTTGTGCCTTGTACGCCTTGATGGAGATGTTGAAGAAATGATCGGCTTTTTTGGCCTAGACATCGCGATCGCTGATTGGTGTGGGTGTTGTGCTGTGGAAATTGAGGGTAATATTGTGGATGTGGATGTGGATGTGAATACTGAATATGGGTGAACAGAAAACATAAAAGGAAAAAAACAAAAGAAAAAAAATCCATATTTTACATCTATGCTTCCTTTTTCCCCCTCTTGTCGATACCCCAGTTATGTTTTTTGCCTACTTGCTGTTTCATCAGTTCAGTTTCAGTTCAGTGCAGCTCAGCTCAGCGCTGTACAATCTAGTCCGCCTCTCTATATCTCAACTCCTGTGATGGCGTTATTTCTTCCATCAACTACATATATGTTTATCTCGTTGCGCGCCACCAAAAAATGACCCCTACATAATAATACTTACATTGGCCATCATCCTTCTCTCCCTCGCGCACTCTCGTCATCTACTTTGTTTGGTTTTGTGTGGTGACTTAACGTATATCCATATATATACTCCAAGGCTCGGGAGATCAAACGGAGGAAAGAGGAGGGAGTAATGAAGGAAAAAGGCATTCCAAACACATCGTAGCAAGTTACTTGCTCGATGTTCACAAGAGGCCGGCGGGGTGAGGCTGTTCATGTCCTAGGTGCCAGTATATACTGCCATTCCTTGGATGGCGCTTGTTGTGCTCCCGCTCTCTGCTCTTTACTGCATTGTGCGCCCACTACTATAGTGCGTTTGTTGAGTTAATCGGGGTTTTTACAGTGGAAGAGGGGGCGGATGTGTTTCGATGAAAAAAGCGAACTGATACTTATCATCTGGCGGTATAGCCTATAGCTGATCGAACTGAGCTATCTCTATTTTATTTATTTTATTTTATCTTATTTTACTTTACTATCTTCCTCTTGAAACGTGCTGCTGTATTTCCACGTACCAGCTCTTCCAGTTCACAATATATATACTGGGGACATGCAGTGTCGTCTTGTCTACCCACACACGTGCTGTATGTGCAATGCAAGGCAGCCATGCGAGGACCCTTTCGATCATCCATAAGTACAGTAGTCGTGCAAGTTGTAGGCGTGTAAGGTTATACAGTGATGATGAAGGTATTGAGGAAAGTTGATGCGCTACTCCCCGCCCTCTAATACCCACATAGCAGGTTTGTATGCCATGGAACAGTTATTTTTTACGTATTTATTAATCCTACCCTATTTCTTTTAATGGTCCTTGAAGCAGATAACAATAAGAATCTCTTTCCATGGTTGGAGCTGATGATATGACTACCATTTTCCTACACAATAATACAGAGTAGAAAAAGAAAGTCAAAAAAGGATAGGCTTTTTTTGGATTGGTGGGTGGGGAGACATTCTTTCTTCTTCTCTTACCTCCACAAAACAATAATCAACTCAATAAAAATTACTATATTTATTACACATCAGACAGCATATCTTCAATAAAGGATCTATCTCTCCCTCACATCCTCTTCTGCGCATCTCCATTTCCTGGGTTGCTTCCTTCGCAGCTGGCCCCGATGATCAACATGATAATAAACGTCCAGCTAAATGAGAACGTAATCTCAATCTCAATCCAAATCGAGACGCCGACCTAATTTGCCAGGCAATGAGGTCGGATTCATGGACATGCGCATCAACACTTATGACTTCGATGCGAGGAAATCGGCAGCCTATATCGCCGGAAAAACCACACTTAGCCATGTATCCAGCGGTGTGTTTTTTATATGGAAAAGAGTAAAAGCACCAATTTAGAGAATAATGCAGGGATGGAAAGGGGCATGGTTGTTGTTATTGTTGTCAACCCACCTTATCAAGATTATAATTAAATTTCTCCAGCGCCGCCAACGATTCGTCCCGTGGATATCCCATCCCTGTCAACCGCTGCAACATCATATCATCTTCGCCCGTAGGGGAATTCAGCGCCCATCCGGGAGGATTGGCCTTCTTGCCTGGTGGTTGTGGAAAGGAGGAGAGGGCTGCGGAATCAGATGGTGGCTGGTCTTCACTGGATGAGGCGGGTTTGTTCGTTTCGTTCGCAGATTGGGAGGCTTTCGAGGTGTCCAGGACGGAAAAGAGGGCGTCCCAATCCTGGGAAACTGTACCGGGAGAGATCGCTGATGGACCTGTTGAACCCGGTGTCTGCTGCGCGAAGGGAGACGTTGATTGTGGTTGATGTTGCTGGTTGTTACCGAAGGTGAAAACATCCGCGTTTGTTGTGTTGTTGCCGGAACTTGTGCCGGTATTGGCGCGGGCAATTGTGCTGGACTTAGACTGTGCGCCGGGTGAGTCGAATGTCATGTCGAAGTTCGACGAATCTTTGTTGAATGGCGATTCAAAGTCGTCATCGTCGTCGTCATCGTCATCGTCATCATCGTCTGCTTCTTTCGCGGGCGCGAGTTCCAAACCGGCAAATGCAGCTTCGAAGTCAGGTGTGGTGGGCTTCTTGCCTGGCGGCGCTGGTTGGAAGGCTCCGGTGCCGTTCTTGTCAACATGTGCCAACCCATTAGATGTAGTGGCTGTTACTTGGGATGTCTCCTTGGAAGGTTCCTGGCCATTCATCCCCGGCATCGATGTACCCTGCGTCGACGGAGGTGCGAACGTCTGAGGTGAGACAATGTCCGGGGAAGTTTGCTCATTTTTTCGTGGCGGTGAAACGGGAGAGAAGTCATCGTCGAATCCCTTGGCAGCTTCGCTATCTGTGCTATCCTCGTCGTCATCAAGCTCTCGAATCGGAGGGAACTCGCTGGGTACTGCCTTTGACTTTTCATCGGCTATTTCAGGGAACCCAGAGTCACCATTCCCATTTTTCAATTTCATAGCCGCAAAGGCCTCTTCAAAATCGTTGGCTTTTTGAGATGGGGACCGAGCATGCGTGATGCCGCCAAATAACTCGTCAAAGCTAATATCCTTCTTGGTAGATTCAGCTTGCGCCGAATCTGCGGGAAAAAAGCCGGGGGGATTGGACGCCCCAGGTTCTTGTCCAGTTTGGCTTGTGCTTTTCTCGGAATCGTTGGGCGATGTTTCCAGTTTCGTGTCTGGCTTCGGCTCCTCATTCTCAAAGGGGGATTTCGCTGACGGGCTTGTCCCAGGCTCTGAAGTTACGAAAGTCCCAAAGCGGCTAGCAGGCGGGGATGGCCTTACAGAAGAAGCCTCAGATGCTTGGTGTCCCTCAATAGGAAGTTGACTGGATGATAGCTGCCGAGATTGTGGGGGAGGGGGATGTTCAGTTGAGATGGGAGATGCAGATGGGGTCATTGTGCCGGACGTATCAGATGTCTTTGGGGGATCAGCCATCGCTGGTGAGGCTTGCTGAGCTGGAGACTCGGTTCGGAAAGTTGTCGGGGGTGGCGGGGTGGAGGCCGAAGGCACGGTAAAGGACGTCCCAAAAACATTGTCAAACACGCTCTGTGCATCCTTGGTGGGTTCTTGAGATGATGATGGCGGCGGAGGGGAACGTGTGTTGTCGGATACGCTTGCGGTTCGTCGGAAGAAGGGGTTTGTTTGGCTGGCAGTTGAAGGTGCCGGGCTAGTGACAGATGGGTATTGCGAAGCAGGAGACGATTCCTCAGATGCCTGACGCCGCAAGTCATCTACCTCTTTAGTGGTGGTATCGATTTCACCCTGGATTCGATCCCGTTCACCTTCAACAGTCGCGAGCTGTTTCTTGTTAATAGCCACCAGGCCCTTCTGTTGACGAGCTGCAGACCGAGCTTTGTCCAGAAGCGGTTTCAATTGACTGACTTGTGCGTTAGCCTGCCTGATTTGTTCCTTCAGGTTAGCATTTTCGCGTTGGTCGGCGTCCAGCGCAGCATTCACTTGGTTATACTGGTTTTGAAGATCCTGGCGACTGGCCTCGACGAGGGCAAAATCTTGCTGGAGCTTCCTTGTCTCGGCGCGAAGCGCTGCTAATCGTTCTTCTAGAGCCTTGAAATCCTTCGCTTCCTGCTCATACATTGTCCTTGCCTGCGCTAGGCGGGTCTCGAAATCCTTCTTCTGGTGGCTGTTCTGCGTCAAATCGTGTTCAGCAGCTGCACGTTTCCCTTGCACATTCTGCATCTCTCGTGACAGACTACCGATCTGATTCGAGAGATTGGCTAAGTCTACAGACTCTTGGGATACCTTCTTGCTCGCTTCGGCATCCACATCTGCCAACAGATCGTCCGCAGATGGTGGTGGTGGCGATCGTTGCTGGGCGGGTGCGTTTGACAAGCCGGTCGAATGTGGGGTAAGGCTCTGCCCAAAACTTGACGAAGGTACGAATGGTTTGAATGTTGACGTCGCACTCGCACTAAGCGGCGCCCGAGTGGGTGACGAGGGGGGCTGGATAGAAGGATTGGAGCCACCTGTAGTTTGTGCCACTTGAACTGGGGGCCCAAAGACATCGAGTCCAAATAAATCCTCCGCCGCTGATCGTTGGGCTGTATTCTGGGGGACAATTTGAGCAGCCGGAGCTGGCGGTTGAAGCTGACGTCGCATGCTTGGTGGAATCAAGACTGGGGGTAGCGCTTGCGGTAAGGCTTCTCGGGTAGTGCGCTGCTGTCGAACAAGGTACATCGCAACAGCAAATTCATCTTTGCTCAGCTGCCCGTCGGAATCGATATCCGCCAGATCCCAAATAGAAGCTAACGTTTCCTCCGGCAATTGCGCATTACTGAAGAATTCAACCGCTTGATCACCGGTGATGTATCCCACGTTCGCTTTATCAACAGTGGCGAACACGGTATCAAAGTGAGCTTTTTCTTGAGGGGTTATCGTCCAGTCACCGCCAGTGGGCTGAGAGGGGATGGTTGACTGGAACTGAGGTGGCCGATTGAGTGGGCTCTGAGCTCGTGGGGGTCCTGATCCACTGAACTGCTTGGGAATTGCGGGTACTGGAGGTATATCTGAAGATGACCGCGAGCCGGTCGATGTGCGGACCCCTCCACGTCGAGCGGCCGCCTCGTACAAACCCGGAGGCAGGGTTTGTGGTAGCACCCTCATCGTACCATTCCTGTACGCGCTTAGCAAATGCATGGCGATGATAAATTCCGTCGTATCCAACGCGCCTCGCTGTTTTGTATCAGCCAAATTCCAAATTCTACCCAAAATTTCGTTCGGTAATCGCGCTCGTTCGAATATCTGTTTGGCATTTTCACCTGTATTTGCGCGTATGTTATCAGCTTCTGTTTTTGGTATAGTCTAACCAGGGTAGATTTCGCAAAGAATATACCTGAGAGGAGTCCATTCTGGACTTCTGACCTCTCGAATAAGGAGGTGAATTTGGCAATATCATCAGGAACTAGCGGTGGGACTCTCACTGGGCCGTTTCCTGGAGGAGGACTCGATGCGACAGGCGGCGCTTGGGGAGTTGGCTCGGTAATATCTTTGCTCAAACCCGAAAACTTTGGCAGGGGCCCGGCTGAATTGTGCGAAGTAAAGTAAGTCTCAGAGCAGACAAGTTTAAACCGCGATGATTCATTCTGAAAACGAAATGGGGAAGGGTAAGAGGGAGGCTTCTTACGCTGCAAAGCCAACTCTTCCGTCGGGGCGCGACCCGCTTGGGCATGGCCGATCAATCTCATAACCACTCCAAACCCCGACGGGGTAAGAAGTCCACGATTCTGTGTATCCGCAATTTGCCATATCTACATCCCTCCCGTCAACAAACGGCCCAAAGGTATTCAGTCGCCAAGGTCTATAAGTAGTGCTGCTGTCATAGAAAAACTTACCAGACCCAGCGTCTCCGGGGGAAGACTGGTCTTCTCGAAGAAAGAAACCGCGACTTCGCCAGTAACAACGCCCAGATTCGTCTTATCTGCAGCCTGGAACAGTTTATAAAACACCCGCTTCTCCTCCGGCGTTAGGTTAAGGTTCGGATGGCCTAAACGTAATAGATACACAAATAATCAGGAGATTCGTCAGTACGCTGTAGGAAGCGCCGGATGTAAGATGTCGGCTGTAGATATAACTACGGACTGCAATGTGCCAACAACACGACGTCTATACTCGAAGAAGTATATGTGAAGGGACATTATGGGATCTCACCTCCGTCCGCCATGATGTGTCCAAATCAGCCCCCCTTAGCTGCCTTCTCTCCCATAAACAATATGTTTCCGCGCGTCTCTTTTTCGCCGCTGAAAAGATTTATTTTCGTATAAGCAACTTGAGAAGTAGAGCCCACGCTAGGCCGCAGAATTGATGGATGACATAAAAATAACTTGGACCGCGTAATGCGAATCAGGGGTTTGAGAAACACCCGGGACGAGATGGATGGAGGGTGGTGGTTGAGATGGATGGACGAGCGCAATGACAAAAACAAACACAATGATAAAGCAAGAAGATTACACCGTGTTGGCTCACCGATGGAAATGGAGCATCGGACTGTGATTGTTGATATCTCCTGCGAATCCCCAGCGAGGGAAGTAGACGGAGGATCGTCGTGCTACAAGCGTTGGACGTAAGCAATGAGGCAATGTTTTCGCGGCCCCGTATCGTTACCAGGACGCTGCCAATTTCGGCACATAAATGGCTGTATTTGGCTAACTATACCCGTAATTCTTGGTAACTATTGGTGGTCCATACCAATTACATAATTTTCCATTACGAATGCACCTCATTTTGGACTTTTGGACTTTGATATTTGATTTAAAATGGGATTAAAAAAAGGAGTGCTAATTATTAGTATGTAAAGTAGTGTAGATACCTATATAAAGGGGGGTGCATTTATTATTGACAAAAGCCTGGCCAGCGCAGCCCTGGCCTCGGCTTCGCTGAGATGAGCGATATATCTGTCCCTACGCTTTTTGGTCCTTGAGATCATGCTTAAAAGAAACGGGGTGGGTGGAACATATATAATAGTCTTGTCGGGACGTCAGCGTGAGTCTTTGTGCCTGCACTGAAGGGTATCGGTCAGGAACTCGTTTGGTATACTTGAAATCTCGGGGCCGCTCGAGCAAAACGGCCAAAGAATGTCTAAAGCAGGACAGCATAATTTTATAAGCTAGGCATTATCCTGTCTGTCCATGCCCGATATTGGCAGGAAACCCCAGTCCAGTTGGCTTCAGCTCTACAGCGTGCTAAAACGGGAGAAGGCAATTCGCCCCGGAAAATATTTTGGAAGGAATGAAATTTTGTTGGGAATGGATGGAATGGAACTTCTAGAGGAAGTCGTCGATTATGCGTTTCGGGAAGTGAGAGGTGAGGGGTATATTAAACAACAGCCACGTTACACACAAGAGCAAGCCATCGTCACATATCGAGGGAATATGTTTAATATTCGGGCTCAACCTCCTCTTCCAGAGAATCGCTGGCAACTTCCTCATAGTCCCGTTCCAACGCTGCAAGGTCCTCGCGAGCCTCGGAGAATTCACCCTCTTCCATGCCCTCACCCACGTACCAGTGGACGAATGCGCGCTTGGAATACATGAGGTCGAATTTGTGAGAAAGTGCCGTCCAGGCTTCGGAGATTGCGGTGGTGTTGGATAACATGCAACTGCATAATAGATTATATTAGCCCTCTGTTGCAAATCTATGTCGTTTGCTCCTGCAGCATGTTCGGGATAAACTTACACAGCGCGGTTGACTTTTGCAAGGTCGCCATTAGGCACCATTTGGGGAGGCTGGTAACAGATACCAATCTTGAAACCAGTAGGGCACCAGTCAACGAACTGGACGGTACGCTTCGTTTTCAGTGTCGCCACGGCACCATGAACATCCTTGGGCACGACATCTCCACGGTACAGCAGACAGGTTGCCATGTATTTGCCGTTACGAGGATCGCACTTGACCATCTGGTTATTAGGCTCGAAACAGGACATGGTTACCTCCATGACAGAGTTGGATTCATGGGACGCCTTTGCCGCAGATACGACCGGGGAGAACGCAACTAGCGGAAAGTGGATCCGGGGATAGGGTACCAAGTTGGTCTGGAACTCGTTCAGATCCACGTTCAAGGAGCCGTCAAATCGGAGAGAAGCAGTAATTGAGGAAACGACTAAATTTTCCGGTTTAATTACTCGGCAAACCTTGATAGAGCATGTATATTGGGAGACTAACCTTGAGCCATGAGGCGATTCAAGTTTTCGTAACTTGGTCTCTCGATACCCAAGTTCCGGCGGCAGATGTCGTAGATTGCTTCATTGTCCACCATAAAACTGCAATCAGAATGTTCCAGGGTGGTATGCGTTGTGAGAATCGAGTTGTAAGGTTCGACAACTGAAGTGGCATTCTGGGGCGCAGGGTAGACACAAAATTCCAGCTTTGTCTTTTTGCCGTAGTCCACGGATAGACGCTCCATCAGAAGTGCACCGAAGCCGGATCCCGTGCCACCTCCAAAGGAATGGAACACCAAAAAGCCCTGGAGACCGCTGCAGTTATCTGCCACCCGGCGGACTTTGTCAAGGACTTGGTCGATCATCTCCTTACCCACGGTATAATGACCACGAGCGTAGTTATTGGATGCATCCTCCTTTCCAGTGATCATCTGTTCTGGGTGGAAAAGCGCACGATATGGTCCGGTGCGGACTTCGTCCACGACATTTGGCTCAAGATCGCAGTAGATGGTTCGGGGAACGTATTTACCCTGGCCTAGAGATGGGAAGAGAGAAGCTTGGGTAAGTTTTCAAAACACAATTAAAAAATGATGTGTGTATATCTCTGCATTATGGGAAAAAGAGTCGCACCTGTTTCAGAAAAAAATGTATTAAATCCTTGATCAGGGTCGGCAGCTTTCCGTTCCTCAGTCAAGTATCCGTCGGGCTGCCGAGGAGGAACAGTTAGTCAAATTGGTCTCAAATCTCGAGTGTGCGTTAGGGCGCAGGTGGAATAGGCCGCATAGAATCCCATTGACCGGTCAGGGATATATATTTACCTGAATGCCATGTTCCAGGCAATACAACTATATAAAAGGTAAATCCAAGCCATTAGCATCAATAGAAATCTATATTGGCTCTTGTAACGGAGCTATATGGGAAAACAATAGTTCCCAGATAGGATTAAGTCATACCTCCCAGCACGAGTTTGCGATTTGGCAACCCGCCTGACCGACTGTTTACAGCAACTTCATCATCAGCAAGGACGGTACAGCGATAAACTGGGAGTCGAATTAGGGCATGAGGCCATCATACCGTTCAAGCTAACTACCTCTCTCATGATGGATGGTTGTGGTGGAGGCTTTGGCGAGTAACGTTTAGGTGGTGAGGATTGGGTGGAGAGATGAGGCCCAACGTAAGAACGGGGGGGAGTTCGCGAAGCTCGGACACAAGCAAAACCTGGAGCTGCTGCACTTCTGGTTAGAGCCGAACCTATCTCACACAAAGAAAGCAGACTGACGGTTAGAGCAGTTAGATGGGGGAATTACCCAAGCAAGTTTAGTGTTGAGAGCTAACTAACGTTGAAGCAAGATGGGGATTGAGATAGGAACAGCTGGGCCAAGGAATAAATAGACCTCGAGGTTTGTCTTGTTGGGCAAGTGGGTGGCGTAACGTGGGTGTACTCTGTATGGCATTGTATCCCGTAACGGAGCCAGAGTCCGGGGAACGCACGGGGTTGGCTGGACAGCAAGCTTCTGGCCAATCACCATGAAGAATTATGGTATTGTCACTGTGGTTCGTGTGTTGTTTTCCCATAGTACGCGGTATTTGGTTTGTTTTCCAAAGGTTCCAAAGTTACCAGAGCAGTTGACAGCTCACGTGGTGTTGGCATTTCCCATGTTGCATCAATAAATCGACGCAGTGGGCTTCGGGGACAGCAGAACTCAGCTATGCACCTGGCAGTCAAAGGGACGAACCACGCAATCCAGCCTCTGCAACAGAAACTTTCATATTCTGTTCATCGTCCAGAGGTCCATCCTGTTTTGTTGTGTGGCTTCTGCAACCAGTTCGTGAATGCTGGGCACTAGTTATTACCTTCCGTGCTTTGGAGCTGCGAGCTCTTCTACTTCATCATGATCATTCCCTCATCACATTCGATTCGTTCCCAGCTCGTTCACACACAGCAGCTGTTGAACGCCTCGCCCCGAATATTCACTAAATTATTCCAGATCTTCATCACTCGCAACATGAGCACTGCTCAATTGGCGTATCAACCCCCCTCTATCGATAATATTGAGGATGTTGAGAACTATCGAAAGGGTGGATTTCACCCTGTCCGACTTGGCGATGCTTTTTCTCATGGAAGATACCGTGTGCTGCACAAATTAGGCTTCGGAGGAAGCTCAACTGTGTGGTTGGCCCGGGATGAACTATCGCAACAACTTGTATCCCTGAAAATTCTTACAGCGGAGAGATCGAACGCCTGCCCTGAACCTGAAATCCTTCGCTATCTTCAAAACAATCCATCCCACACATCAGGCTGTGAATACATCTTGCCACTGCATGACTGCTTTCACACAGAGGGGCCTAATGGCCGTCATATCTGCCTTGTATCACTGTTTGCTGGCCCCAGTTTAAGCCAACTATCAGGATCACCCGGCCAGCCTGGAGGATGTCGTCGCCTGCGAGGCCATGCCGCACGCCAAATTGCAAAGCAGGTAGGGCTAGCTATAGAATTTTTACACTCTCAGGGTGTCGTTCATGGAGGTATCTACTACTAGGAGTCCACCATTATCCTACGAGTGCATGAACTAACCCCCACATGCTAGAGACCTCACCGCATCAAACATTCTTTTCCAGCTGGCCGATATCAAATGGTCAGATCAAGATATAACAAAGCAATTCGGGCCTCCAGTCACAGAGAGTCTACGCCCCCTTTCTGCAGAACAGAGTGTTTGCGCGCCGGAATTTTTGGTCGCGCCCCTTGGGATCTCAGACCTTGACACGCGCCATTTCACCGGGAACATTCAACTGATCGACTTCGGGGAATCTTTTCTATCAAACTTCCCCCCCGCCACGGGAGTCAGAACTCCATTCTCGTATCTTGCTCCCGAGGGCATATTTGATGCCAAGGCCAGCGTATGGACCGATCTCTGGGCGCTGGGATGCACCATCTACGAAATCCGCGCCGGGACACAGCTATTTGCTTCTTTTTTTGGCGGACCAGACGAGATACTTCGGCAGATCGTCCAGACGTTTGGAAAATTACCGGAGCCCTGGTGGAGTGCCTGGACAGCGCGCCAGACTTATTTCAACAACGATGATGGAAAGCCGAGGGATTCATGGCCGAATGGAATACCACTGGCAGTGGAGTATCCACTGGGCCAGCAGGTTAGGGATATTGGGGCGGAAGACGGACAGGTTGATCTGGACTCCTATTCGACACATAGCTGGCTTGAACCGCTGGGGACGCGCTTGACAGAAGCTGAGGCCAGTGAGCTTGAGGATTTGCTGTTTAAACTTCTTCAGTTTTCGCCGGAGAAACGCCTTTCTGCTGGCCAGGTTGTCAAACACCCTTGGCTTCAAGGTGTCGAATAATAAATTCTTCCCCCTCCAGTAGAAAGTGGTTAGCCCTCTCGTGTGCCCATGTTGACCAGTCGATCACCAAAGAATCGGTAGTGGAGCCTGGCTACACTGTTATAGACCTTACAATACTATAAAAGTAAATAATTGGAATGCTCTGTTTGGGGGCATTCAAGATCTACCCTTGCGACTTTCAGGTTTTAGTGCCAGGAGGTTCGTAGCGATTGTCGTGCTCAGAGCGGAAGAGCAACCTCTTCATCTGTCGTCCAGTTTGCCCTTTTTATTTCAAGCCAAATGGAGCCAGGCTATCATTCATGTCTTTCTTATTTAGCAATGGAACAGGGCAAGAGAAAAGCGCCAAGTCGTGCTGAGGCTTCAAGGTGGTGCAGTATCCATCGAGTTTGTGATAAGAGCGGAAGGAAGCTCAGTGCTTCTTAGCACAATGAGACCAAAACCCCATTAACTGACAAGAATGACCTTTCGTTGTCTGTGTAGTCGTAGTGGTTTGGCTTCAAAGACTTTCTCCTTTCTAAGCTCAGAATCGCTTCCTCTAGATGCCTAACCGTGGCTTCAGATTTTTCTCTAGATGCTTTCATCCTGCCACCATTGCTGTACCACCGTGCTAAACGTTGAAGTTCAAAGTCCCTCCTTCGGCGTTTAGTCGCAATAGTCAGCTCTTGAATAAACTCGGTGTGGCTAACGAGTTTCAGCCCGCGGGTCTCACCCACCCGATGTTGATAATACAGTGGGCGGAGCACTTCCCCCATGCCGCATTGGAATAGTTTTTGACCATAGAAGCACAAAGCCACCGAAACTAAACTTTTGGATGTCGAGACCCTATTCGCCCAAAGTCAGCGCCTTCAAGCTGTGCGAGTGAAGCAAGATACATACAATATTGAGTTCACAAGGCGGGTTGAACCCACTTCATGCGGTTCTGTAGATGGTATTCAAAGTGCCATCCCTTGGAACATTGATTAGTCATCCACGTCATGAACTTCATGTGATTTATCGTGTAGGAACATGTGATCTCTCATACATCAACTCCATCTCTCAGTCTTCTCTGACAGGGATCAGGCAAGATTTTGATCTTCTCTCAAATACTTTCGAGAATGATGTGGTTGTAAGTTAATGGTATGTACTACTTAGTTTTCCTTCTCTTGCAGCTGTCCCTGCTCAAGCGCCAGGATAAATGATCCACACAAAACATCCCTCATGGTCGTATTCTCTCCTATTGCACTGCATGGTGAGAGATTCGTCGATCTTCTAGAATATGAAGTCTTTGCTATATGGATTATTGACAGTCGTTGTCGATATAATCCCATTATTCTGGATTTAAATGACCTGAATCCGCTTTTTCTTTTTTTGTATGAAGTGCCTCTCAACAAATAAATGATCAATATTTGAACCCCCCCTTTTTCCCCTTTTTTTAATCCTTTCCTTTCCTTTCCTTTCCTTTTTTTTCTTTTCTTTTTTTTTGGCTGGATTATTTTTCGTATTTCCAGTGACTGTCTCGTTAGCTAGGCTTTTTAAAACTCCAGTACCTATGCTTCGCTGGCTAACTATGCTTCGCAGGGCACCAAAGTTGCTCATATCATCCGGAAATGGCAGAATGATTTGTTTTGTCTCCTCCGTGAACTATAAAGTATCAAGATCCAAGTGTTTATGCGCTCGACATCTGAGCGTCATTCGTGATCCTCCAAAAAGCCATGAGGTCGCTTCTTTGCTTGGGACCACTTCTTTTTCTGGTCATTGCTGTTTCTGCCAATGTGGAGAAGACCATATTCAAGGCACCCAAACCTAGCCTGCTGCAATCACATCAGGCCATGTTCGATGACTTGGAGATAGAGCGATTATCCCCAAAGACGCCATCCACCAGAACATATATCGCAGCTTCATTTCCGTCGGAAGAATCTCCCAAAGGGTTTGAAAGCTGGTTTTACCTTGACTCTTTGGAACCTGGTCAGCGATATGAGGTTCGCATTTGCTACCTCGCAACTGTAAGTCATTTGAGATATATATGCAATATATATAGATATATAGATAAGATATATCGACCTTGTTCCTTTCGTTCCTGCAAACCCCTCAATCACCTCGAACTCATGAACCACCAACTAAAACTGAAAATTTGAATTGAACTCAAGCAACCAACATCCTTCACTGTTACAACCCTCACCGTTTCCGAAATCCTTGACTCGCCTTCCTTAATCTCCAGCCTAACAACATTCGCAACATCACACTTCCCAACCCTCCTCGGACGGCTTCAAAGAGACTACCAACAAAGCCACGAGCACCAATCCAACAACCCTTTCGCCCTCCCGCCAAAACTCGGCAGCTCGGGAAGCCGGAACGCTCGTAACAGAACTCCCACCTCCGCCTTATTTCTGCAAGTCCATGCCGCCGCTGATTACTTCACAGTAGATAAGGGTCTAATGGAGAATGTGCCCCCAGTGCATGTTGATATCATTCTCGACCCTTTCATTTTTAATGTGTTTCCGAGATCGTTGTTGCCTACTGCCGCGTACATTCTTACTCTTGCGGTGGTGTCCTGGGTTATCTCTCGGTTTATATGGATTGGGGTTGAAGGTGTAGTGGACTTGTCTAAGAAGAAAGGAGATCGGGGAGATGAGCGGTGGAAGGATGGAGGCGCGGGGAAAAAGGATATATGAGCCAGATTCTTAAATATTTTCTGCGAAATGTGCTCAATTGATATCGGCATTCCCTGACGCATTATATATCGAAGTCTCATATTTCGACTCCGTTGCCCTGTTAAATCATTGGAACTCATGTCGTTGCGTTTGAAATAAACTACATGTAAAGATCCCGTGCTCTGCTATCTCTCTAACCTTATGTTTTGTCCGATACAACTTATGAAAAGATACGGAATACGCACGACATCTATTTTAACCCATAGGAGATCAAATGGGATTGGAGATGTCGGCTCGCCGTTGGAACTATCATCGTTGATGTTCAGCGATTCTGGACGGAGGGAAATGCTGCTTCAATAGATAGTGTTCATTGAACGATAACCAAAAACCCCAGCGCTTAATCTGCTTTCTCTATAATGTCAGAAGAGTATTCCTGAGATATGTTATGTTGACAAGGGTCCTACGCCAGGATTTATTTGAAGGATAAATTTGGACAAACGGAAAGTTGCATAGATATTCGCAAGAAGAGTTCTGTGGCTCTCCCTCTATTTATTTGAAGCGCAATTGGTTCTATATAACCGTCTCACAAGTGATCCAACTGAGGCGCTAGGCTAACTATCATTCTGTTTTACATTTTGCCTGGTTAACTAATTCTTCAGAATGCAAATCGTAGATTTATCGAGGCGTGCTCACCCGATATCCAGGGCTATTCCCGTCGTCCCCTATAAATATCACCTCTTGCGAACAACAGATGGTCTTATTTCTTCACTTTATTTCCTACCACGATATCACCTCGTGACATCAAAATTCGAGGTTGTTAGGAGGCTTCTTTCGACTGGTTTGCTCTGGGTCGGAATGCTAATCTGCGGATTGCATTTAATCCAATAGCTAAATGCTGACATGGAAGTTGTACGCTTTCTGCAAATTTTTCTCGATACCTTTTGCATATATCCTAAGTTTTCCACCAAAAACATATACAGTCTTTCTACAGAATCTGGCTTCAAGAAAGCAAATCGTGCCTGGTTGGGCAAGACATGAGAAAAAGAAAATACACTGCAGCTTGCTCGTATTTCGCTTTTTTTTTTTTCTTGCTTTGCTGTCTTCACATTCTTGATTGACTATTTGCAAGGCTGAGGCCAGTCCAGTCTGTAAGAAAACAGGTCCAGTAACATGCCATCATTTTCACGAATTGATGCAACTTGATGTGTTATCTTTCAGCCGCCACCGCGACTGCCTCCAATGGTTTTGCATCTCATTGGATTTTTCCTTCTCTTCCAGCCTACGGCCTGTCCGGGGAGTGTCCCACTACATTCCGCGTGTATTCTGTCATTATTCATGAGATCTCGTTGGATAGTTTGCTCTGTCGGTTGGGGATGTATCTTGAAGCATCTAGAGGCATCCGCCCATGCGGTAAAAGCCTTTTTTATATTCATCCTGGTGATCTGGTTCGTCTAGACTCTGTTGGGCGGAGCATACGTTGGGTTCTTGAATTTGGAGCGGAGGACCAATACCCGCCCTAGGAGTCCATACCATATCGCCTAGCCAGTTGAGATTGAAGTCGCAGGACGTGGGACGCATGGCGAGCTATGGGAAAGTTGAATATTTTACTTTCAACCAACTGGCTGGTGTAGCCATCGGCAAGGAGTATGCTAGTAATCCTCCACAGTTTCAAATGTGATCCAATATCTTGCTTTAGTGGGCATGATTGCGAGTCTATTAGCACATGAAATACAATTTTTCAAAGATGAACTGGGCTGTGTATGAAACTAATCTGAGAAATATATACCCATGAGATGGCCCCAGCTATATCCTCCTCTCTCAATTCAACTCTGACATTTGAGCCATTTTCAGGTTCTCCCTAAGTCCAGCGTCTGTTTCCTGGATGATTGAGCAAGCTTCATCAAATTGACCATTTAATTTCATCGCATAATCCACTTTACAATCTGTCGCTTTTCTATACAGAGCGGTTCCGGCTATAAAAAATTAAAGCATAAAAAGAACACCGAAAGATGACCCCCCTCACCATTTTGACCTCCCTCATTGCTATTGTTTCCGCCGCCCGCATCACACCGCAACACTATCAGCCTTGCGGCGGCTATGTCGTAAAACCCAAACCTTGCCAACGGGGCTTTATCTGCATCGACGACCCACGAAAGCCTGGCTGTGGTATGGCTTGCGATATTCCTGGCATCTGCATCAAGCCTGAGTTCTGCGGCGGGATTGCTGGTATCGCGTGCCCCGAAGGGAAGAAATGCTACGATAATCCAAGGGATAAATGTGATCCAAAGAAAGGGGGAGCCGATTGTGGAGGGATTTGTTTGTGAACAGCTCCAGAATCTGCAGCAGGCTATACCTCTCATCTTAGACGGGTTGGATGAATGAGTTGCAGTTGGAACTTTGAATTCGCGGTTGAATGTATCTGCGCACAATAATTTCTCAGTACTGTGCTTTGATGTTGGATGTTGCAAAGTTATAGTTGAGCTTACCTGAATGTCTGGAAACAAGCTCGCGGTAATCAGGGGTAAATGTTGTATATATATATACTATGTTATTGGCCCTGGCTGCAAAGTTGAGTGGCATACAGTATTCCCGGAGCTGCAGAGTTAATAGAATCTTGAATTTGATGCTAGGAAATGTCCAACAAAAGAAACCCAATAGCTTAGAACTAGACAAGGGCATTGTCCCAGACTAATTTATAAATCATCCAAACACCTCCTTCGTCTCCAACGGATCTCGCCTCCTATTTCCTCTCCCTTCCGTCGTGAGCCCTAACCCACTCCTCTTGATAGTTCTATCAGTCACCCCAACCTGCCTTGTCGCAAACCGCGATGCTTTCCGGAGGCGTATCTCTCGTCGCACCTGATTGGGGCTGACGAATTCTTTATTCTCATAAATTACTGGCCCACCGAAACTCCCCTCCAGTATCACAATGGGTGTCAGTACGAAGCGCGGGCCGATCTCGACCAAGGTGATATCAGGTGCGCTACCCTTGCCAACTCGTTTGGGTTTGTGCTTTGGTATCTCTGCATTATCTTGCTCCACTTCGTCGCCTGCCGCTTTTGTTGGCCCTACGCCCCCACCCTCCGACTCGCGAATTTCAAACACTCGTATCCAGATCTTCCCGTCAACACCAAACACGCCAATGATCCGATCGATAAAAGGCTTCATACCCCGCACCCCACGTCTCGGTACACTGAACACACTCCGCAGCATTTCCCTTATGAGGCCTCTGTACTCGTTCCCACTCCGCACCACAGCCGCCTCGTCGAACGTCTTATCAAAAACAACTACTCCACGTCCACCTTTGAGGCAATTGCCGGCAAACCCGGTCCCCATCTCGCCCATGGTGTGAAGACTGCTTACGGAGAATTTTATGGTGGGGCCATTTGGTGGTCGCGAAATCCATAGGTAGAGGTCCTGCCCGTGCTTCTTGGCTTCGAGGAAGAAGATTACATTACACGAGTGGAGGTCTGCAAGGGAGTTGAGGAGGAAATTGTAGCCGGCTGTTTTCTTTTTCGTGTCGAGTTTGCTTTCTTTGTGTGTGTGGGGGAGTAGGGAGGTGAGGTCTGAGAGAAGGTGACGGTGTCTGGAGTATTGATTTAGGGTTAGCTTTTTATCACATAGTCTTATGTATCTATGCATAGGCTTCAGCCATAGACATAACCCCGTAGGAACGAGACTCAATGGTTAACCATCCTGAATATCCCTTCACATACCGGTGCGTAACTCCTCTCGATGTCAGCATGAGCACTCGAGTCTTAGGCATATATCCGGACGGAACCGATTGCGACTTAGATTCTACACTACCCCCAACTCCATTATGTCTATACCGCTCGTCTTCGTTCTCGTAGTCATCGCTATCGCTGGTTTCGTCCGGATGGTCTGGCAGATCATCCATAGAGACATCGATATTTTCCGCATCATCGTGGCTGGCAGATACTTTGTTTTTCTTTTTAGATAGGGACTTGTATACAGAAGCCATTATGCGGGAAGGTTTTATGGGACCAAATTTTCAACAAAAAGAGTGACTGCAATTGAGGAGGAGTAGTAACTTAAGGATCACCAGACTTTGTCAACATTTTTAAGACCATTTTTTCGCGGCAGAATTATGTTTTCTGAACGAGAGTTCACCGCCTTTTATATCGCAACCTTAGAATCTTTGAAAACCAACACGTGACTTTACAATGTGTGATGTTATTCAAGTTCTCAGAAGAAGCATTTATTATATACTGCGTAGTATGCAATTGTACTAGTAACTAACCGCCAGCTAACCAATCCTGCATCCTGCACATCAAAGCCTGAAAATATGCGAATGGAAAAATCACTCAAAAAGGGCCAAATCCATGAGAAACCGGGAAAACGAAGGCGAAAACAAAATTTCATCCAATTGTGAAGGCCATAAAAAAAGGAGAATAATATCGTTCAACCCGGAACATGGGCGTTGCGTATACATGTCTCGGATGTAGTAGTTGAATCATAAATTATAGCGAGCGAATGCAAAAATTGTTAGGTCATAAAACATTTTTCAAAATCTGCCTCCTATTGCCCTCTAACCCCTGAATTTACCTGCCGTATCCGCCGCCATAGTGTTGCTGGGGATGAGCCGGCGGATATCGTTGGCCCACATGAGTGTCTGGAGGAGATGGCGCCGACCCAGGATGCCCATGCCAAGACTGACCACTGCCCTGGCTAGTTTGACGCTGGAATCCACGGTCATCATGCATATTCGGTGGCAGCATTTGACCATATGGCGGATTCACCCTCGGGTCATATGCGTAATTCGGTTGGCCCGGGCGGCTTCCGTACACATTGTAGTTTTGGGGTGGCGGGCCCATATTCGGTTGGTACATGCCCTCCGGCGGGTATGGGGGCTGTTGGCTGCGTGGTATGCTTGCTGGAGGGGGATGAGAGCTTGGGGACGGACCTGGATGTCCGCCGGAATAGTGGGAACTGTACTGTGGCTGCGCGACGGATGGACGTGAGTTATAGTGCGGCGCTGGGTGTGGTGGATAGTTCCTTGGGGGTGTTGTCATGTTCGAGCGTGAGCTGTGTGGCTGTCGTGGGCCCCCTCGATGGGGGTTGGGGAATAGAGGAGGCGCATTTGGATCTGGGTGGATGATCGTGATTGGGTTGTTTTCAGGCTGAGGGTTTTGCACGGGTCTCGGGGCGAATTGACCGGATTGCGATTGGTGCATTGGTAGCTGTTCGTTTGAGTGCTGTAGTTGGCCGCCATAGGTATTCGGTGATACATGTTGGACATTGGTTTGCTCGTAATGATACTGGCTATTCATATTTAAAGCAGGGGCGGCTTGTTGGTCCGTGTAAGCTTGATGAATCCGCATATCGACGTCTGTGTGGTAAGCAGATGAAGAGTCTTGCTGACTCTGGTAGGGTGCTGCTGTGTTCGAGCTCACGTCTTGCATTTGCACGTTTCCTTGGTCTAGCTGATCATCTTGATGGAACTGAGTGGATCCAGACATGAATTGAGACTTCAAGTTCGGGTAAGGACTCGCTTGATCCGTAGGTGAATAGCGGACCTGGTTCTGTTCCTGTTTTGGAGATGTTAGTTTGTTAAAAATCAGTACGCTTGCAGGAGGATTCAGGGAAGGAGGAAATTAACGCAATTCACCGTTTGCTGGTTCGATTGGGATTCACTGGCATTCTGGCTGGCGACGCGGTGGGCAAGATCTGAAGCAACCTGACCTAGTATTCCCTGACTCGGGGAGCGGGACTGCTGTTGCCGCTGTTGTTGTTGTTGTTGTTGTTGTTGTTGTTGAGAGCTGGAAACTCCGCCAACCGGTGTGCTTTGCGTTCCTGCAGATGGAATTTGTTGATATTCTTGTCCTGACTGTGGAGTAGTCTGTGAAGTATCATATGGGGTGGTCTGGAGGCGGTTTTACGTATTATTAGACGCAATTTTTTTGCTTGTGTGGAAGAAGAAACGGAAATGTCAAGCAACAAACATACGGGAAAGCTTCCACCTGACTGTCTCAAATTGCCTCCACGAAGGTTCAGCAACTCCCTTGTTGCTTCAGTCGTATCCTGTGCTGGTATGTTGCCCGTAATGGGTGGATGATACGGTCCAGGGCTGGCCACAGACTGAGGGGTCGATGAGGGTGTCGGGATAAAGGGCTCGGTGGGAACTTCCCATTGCGATCTGCCTGTTGCGCGCTGTACGTAATACCATTTTCTCGAAACGCCCTCCCACTGTGCAAGCCTTATTCGGTTGAGAGACAATTTGACAGTATCAGCAAGAACCTCTCAATAAGCGTTGAGGGATGGCTAGGAAAAGATGCATACCAGCCTTCAGGCAGCGTCGGAGGAGGCGAAGATGGACCGCCGCTGTCTGTAGGGGTCAGGATGCGCGATGACTGTGCGCTCATACTGATGATATGGATATGTCTATTTGTAAAGTCCTCGTCAAATCCACAACCACAAGATTTGTTTCCGCTCCCTGTAGATGTACCAAAAGGACCTGAAGTCAACAAATATTTATGGTTTAATCGCAAATACAAATGCAAATGAAAGGGGGAAAAAAGAAGGAAATGAGCAGATCGGCATAGGAAATGTTCTTGGAACGCTTCGGCTCTGTTGAGTCCAGTTGTGGAGGACGCAGCAGCAAATCAAAGCGCATCAGAGCACATTGACAGAAGCTAGCGAGCATGAGTCGAGCAAAACCATGCCACGATAGTAGTTGCAGGGAACTTATCGACAGCACACCGGTGTACAACACACAAAGGACACACATTAAAGAAAAGGGCTGGAAGGCGGAAGGATGGGATATCGGGGAGGTTTGGAGATATCGTCCCGTCGGAAAAAAACATACGTTTTGTATTGGAACTAACTGATAGATGGAGATGGGTATGTAGCTATGTCACCATGTAGTTAGCTACTGACGGTTAGCTAAGTACGTGTACATACTTGCTGGGTTTGATTGGGAAAATGACGGGTTGTATTAGGAGAGTCTTGTAGGCAACCTAATATGAGCGAGAGAGATGAGAGGACTGAGGGTCGTAACCCACCAGGCTGGCCCGCCTTTACATACAGTGGGCAGGTGGGTAGAATTCCGCGGGTTCAAAGACAGCAATGAGTTGAATATCAGGCGATTTCTCTCAAGCTTGCAATGGCCAACAGCCAACCTCCCAGGGAATCCGCGGGCACTGTAAAGAGGGGCGGGAATAGCTGGCACAAGAAGATTCGCCGGACTATGGGTAGACCGGACAGGATATCTCAAGCCCGCAGTGATCAGCAGCAAGCAGGGCTCGATACTGGCTAGAGAATGACTTTATGTAGCTGAGAGGAGGATGAAGACGTTTCCTTTGTTCTCAACATTTGGTCTGTCCAAGGCTAACTGCCGGTGCGAGGTTGCTAGCTTGGTTCTTTAGTTCACTGAGATTGCGTCCACGTGCATGCTGCATCAATAACGCCTCACAACTTGAGTAATTATTCTGATGACATCCATTGTTCCCTATCTCGGCGAACGCCTCCCTGACTGTCATTGTGCTCAGTACGAATGGTGTGTTGAAAATCCGAAGGGAATAAGTTGCTAGAAAAATAACTTAAATAGTTATTATAGTTATAGACGCCTCAGTATCACGATTGACTTGCCCACTCACCAGCCGACCCTTATATCTTTCATATTGCATGGTTCGAATGCATTTTCCTTTACCGTCAACCTGTGTTACTTGCACTCGCACTTCAAAAACATCCATTGAACCAATATTGTTACATTGGGAGAATAATTGGGCCCCTGGTTGAGTACACAGTGGGGCTCAATATTATATTACCACAAAAAAGCTGGGGCAAAAAATCTGCAAAGAAATCATGCGCAGTACAGAATAGAACAGATCGAAGGATTTTTTCTTTTTCAATCCCCCGACGCTAAATGAACTCCGATGTCCCTGTTCCGTATTCAGACTGCCTGCTCCTGTTTTTTTTTTTTTTCAGTGTCGCATCCAACCCATCCTAACGCCAGAGCTTGCCCATTGATACCGAAACCAAGAACCAGCTATTCGCCCAGAGTATCCTATATTGGTACAGAAAGATAATAAACAAGATTTTAAATGAATAGATCAGGCGAAAAGCGTAAGCGAACAAACTATAAAATACGACTTCGACGAGATGTGGGCAGCAATTTGGGCAGTCATGGTTTACCAAGCATAAAGTTCCACGTCCTCGGCGTCCCGTCCGTTCCAGTCCTCGTCATCGGTATCGTCGTCCACAACGTTATCGTTCGTCAGGAGATGGTCAGCGGGCCGTAAATTGTCCACACGTATCTCTACCACATCACACATGCCGTGAATGAACTCTCCTCTATCACCTGAATTGGGTTGAGCATTGCTATGTTTGGTGATTGTCCGTCGCTCGTCGTCGCTGGATTCGACGGATTGCTGGCGGGCAATTCGTGTACTCTGCCTCCGCCATTGAGGAGCTGGTGCTTCTCTCTCAGTGCTAGAATACGATCCAGAAAACGCCTCACGGGTATATCCCACGGCATGGTGTTTTCTGGGAATCGATTTACAACACTGATTGGGCGGTGGTGACCTCCTACGATATGTCCTTTCTAATTTGCTTACCCATTCTCTGCGGAAGGATGCCCTGTCACGCCATCCGATTTCAAGGATAGCTGATAATATGAGGACCCTCAGGTTGGGTAAATACGGTGCCGAACGGATCAAAGAGTCGAAGAATAGCATGGCTGTGGACATCTCCCATTTTCGCAACCGCTCCAGTTTCAGGATCTGTAGCGAAGCTGGCCACGATGGAACTTCCGAGTCGTGGAGAAGTTCATCAAAGTATGGAACGACATCATGGGCAAATGAGACTGGTGAGGTGAAATTCAAGTCTAGAGTGAATACTTCTAGATGTGGACATGATGTGGCCAAGTCAACCATGAAGGACATGTTGAGATGCCGGTTATGTTCGAGCACCAGTTCACAAAGGCTCTGGCCGCGACGGACGAGGAAGGTGCGAAGGTTTGCAGATGTAACATTTTCGCAGTTGACTAGTTTTAGTGACCTGAGGTTCAGGTCGAGAAATGATAATAGATTATCATCGACATTGTAACATCGATTGAATTCTAGCTCTTGCAACCCCGGGAGCAACGATAGGGCAGTTACGAAGTGGTTTCCCGGTTTTGCTTCGGCCTCACCTGAAGCATTTCCATCAGTATTGTCGTTTATTGAGGAGATGGGAGGCAGGTTGAGGAGCTGTAAACTCCTCAAGCTCGTAAATGCTGGACGACGGTGGACCGCTGCTATCTCCTGTGGCTGGAAGCGTGGTGATGACAACAAGAATTCTCCATTCCAAGCCCAACTGCGAAGACGGATATTGCTTGCATCTAGAGCATCAAGAAAATTTCCCCACGTATTTAAGCGCTGCTTCGCATTCATGAGAGGGGGTAGTGCAAATTGTGTGGTATCGTGGAGCCGTATGTGCTGGAGTTGAGGCGTGAGAGCAATCAGTTGTCCGAGGTTAACATGGCGGACGTGATAATGGCGAAATAGGATGTCAAGCCGTTTGATTTTGTTTCTATAGTTTGTAAAAAGATTTTCCTGTGGTTGCTCCAACAAATGGACCAAGCCCGCCAACCTGGATGGAGGGAAAAGAGGCGGCGAATAGTAGAGAGCTGCCATGGCAGGCTCAAAAAACTTTCGACAGAGACGCGACGTGCTTAATAGCCATCGAACTGACTTGGTGGCATCAGATAATGCCTGAGAGCTAATCGGGGGGAAAGCATGATTGAAAATACTGAGAAGAACATGATAGGGGAGATATTGCCAAGGTGGAATCACCCCAGATGACGCTATTTGTGTTTCATCAACCTCCGCATGGCGCCTCTGCTTCTTGGGCGTTGGGATTTTCGGAGTTCGCTGAGAGCTTCTGGAAATCAGTGAGCTTTTACGGCGAGAAGATGGTATTCGCGACTCGATTCTGGGCAGCAGCTGTACGGTGGAGCCGCTTTCAATTGTAGCATTAGATGGTTGATGAGAATCATAGTTGGCCAAGTCTTCACGGTAGGCTGGCCGACGAATGGACAAGTGGAATGCATCTGAGCCATCATCATCCGTTTCATCAAGGAAAGACAAATCATCGTCGGAGCTATTCTCACGATACGTTTTTACCCTCTTTCGGCTTGAGCGAACCGGGCGCGATGAGAGCTCCCGCGGACTAGGGGGAAGCGGTCGAAGTGTGGGAGCCATAGGCACAATAAAGGAAATTCAAATCTTGAAACCAATGAGACTGCATTGATTAGGGATATCCTAGTCTTGATCTGATTCAAGCCTGTGGTAGCATGTTTGGCACATCCAGTGAATTCCAAGCAGAGGGCACAGATAGTCCCTCCAATAACAACAATATTATGATTCTACCCGGCATACAGTTGAACGGTGTTCTAAAAAAGCTGAATGGGGTTCAAATTTTCAGCTGGTAAAGCCTCAGGTTGGGAGTTTGAACCAACACCAGAGAGTCCATGACAGGCTTCAAAGTTGAGTGAGGCTCAAAAATTGCACGCTGTAATTTTGACCTCATTCAACTCTAGTGTGGTCTGAACTAGATTCCTATAGCCATAATCTCAATCATTTTAAATCTTTTTCCAGAAAATACTTTTTCTATATTTCTCAGACTCTAATAGCTAACTCTAGTCTCCACTAATATAATTCTATCTTTATTCTGCATTGAGAGTGATGAGAGGTGTTTGCTCGTGAAAAAAACCAAAATTTCTTGGCAAAAACCCGGACTGTTAAGATGTTGACTCCGCTTGATACGATCGCCAACCTCCTCAATAATGGCCAAGTTAAGCAGGCTTCGAAGCTTCAACGCCGCACGTTATTTCAAGGTCTCGTTGGGCGAATTTACTACGAACCGCCCCCTCTCCTCTCCGACACCGTGACTGAGCTTATACTGGAAAGAGATATAGTAGCAATAGCAACACGGCAAAATGGTAATTTCAGATTGGATGGCGCCTCTTGCTTTGTTTTTGGAGGTTTAGCGATGAACAGCCAATACCGGATGTGGGAATCTCGGCCGGAGTATTGATCGGATCTACATCGAGGGGATATGACACGAGTATATCCTCAAGACAGTTAATCTTCCTCTTTACGAACCGCGCGACACCAATGTCTCTCGAAGGGAGCTTCGAGTACTTTGCAACTGGTGGGGGTTGCGGTATCTACAAATCCTCATGTGACTTCGGGTGGTGGTGATGGACCACTGGTGGTGAAATAGTATTCTACTCGAGGCATATCCTGGAGGATAATTGCGGTAGGTGCTTTCCGAAAACCATGTTGCAGAGTATGTTTGGGAGAAATGCCCCCTTCATATCGGAACTGCTCTGAATCGCTTTCATGAGGCAAAGAAAACTCAATGGATATGAAATCCTTGAATATCGTTTTTGACGGCGAAGGGAATGCGGTGGTTATCGACATCAGCGGCTTTGGCGGGGTAACTCACCAATATTGTTCCCCGGGGGTTTCAAGATGAGATGTCTTCCTTGGTCTTCCGTTCAACAACGTTGACTTAACATGGATAGACAATAGGCTGATTGCATAGCGGTTGGATGTTGGCATGTAAACTATCAAGTAATCAAGTATCGTGGCCAAATAGGTTACCCCGCAAATTGAGTGCCCCTATTGGAAACGGCATTGCTCCAAGAGGCCAAATACCAAATTTAGTACGATAAAAAGTAGATATTTAGCTTCTTTTGAAAATCGTAGATATTATTTTATCACTCTAGTACTAGTTGTATTTATATATTGTTCGAGTGTGAATCCATGGGCTACAAGATATCAACCAATCATGTAAACACCATTTAAAAGGTAAAAGGAAGAAAAAAACTAGAAACTATAAGTTCAAAAACACAATGCTACTTGGGATATTTGTAGAGTACACTAAAACACAGACATCCATTACTCAGTCCAACATATCCGAAAGAAATCCCCTCATATTAGTGGCACGCTTTCCCATATCTGCGTAGTCTGATATAATTATATGGAAGCGGTGCAAGAAAGCCTGCGGCCATAGAAACCAGAGCAGCACCCCAAAAATTGGGGTCAGATAAGGAGACAACACCTCCAGTCAAATGATAGTCCACTACATTTTGGACTGCTTCCATGCTAGCCATCGAAATCATACTCATCCCTGCAGCTGTTTTAAGAGCCTGCAACCAGCCCAGTTTATCGCGTCCAAAGTGGAGCAGAACAGTTTCAACAGTCATGGAACTTGCAACGCCAGCCGCCACTAGCGAAAAATTGTCAGTATGTGCTACAACGAGACCCAAATGTGTCGAGAAAGAAAGGAAGGTAAAACAGGGCAAGACATACTAGATGCCCCCATAACGTAGCCGACGGCGATGTACGGATGATATGCCTGTAAAAACCACATACAAGAAAAGTCACCTATCGTACAGCCAATTAAGCAGCGCAGTGTGTTGAATACGGCTCTTTTCCAAACAGGCCTCGATTTCCAAAAATTTAAGGTAAGTGGGGATGGCAAAAGGGCTGGTGGCGAGCGATGGCACTGTCGGTTTACCTTTGATGATGTCGTTGCTATTCCCAGCGGCGTGCTGGGAATATGGTGTTTTGACCGGAATTTACAGACAACATTCCTCAAAGACGTGAGACGGTTACCAGATTGTTCGCCATGCAAAACATGGACCCCAAATAACAATTCATGGGTGACCCTCGTCCTGCTCGTATACCTTAACGCCCACATGGTTAAAAGGTGTGATAGGACAAAAGAATAGCGAAATCAATATATGGTAATTCGATTATCAGTGACAGCTATGGTGCGGTGTCCCTGGATTTTTATGTTGCTTCGCAAAGTTTGAAAGACGAGGCAACGCTAGGAGGAACCCAGATATAGCAATACGGTAGAAGGTGCGGCGATCTAGGCCGTTTCGCCTTATGCTTTCAGTGAGGATAAGCAGGGTAATCCAGAAGAAGACGGGCCGGAGGGACTGAAGTTGGGATGCGGAAGCAGATCCAAGGGAAAAAAAGTCAAGTAGGGTCTTAATAATTTCGAATGATGTAGTATTAGCATCGATGCAGAAGACACATGGTTAATCCAGGAGGATTGAAAAGATGAAGTAGGGATAGTTTACCGGAAGCCAGCAGCAGGAGCTATGAAGGAGAGCAGATGCAACGGGTGAAATCAGCGAAAACCGCGATGAACCAGCGAGATTTGACTTTGGACTAGTTTTGGAGTCTGCGGAAGCCTTTTGCTCATTGTCTGAATCACAACAGGATGCCATAGGTATGGTTCAACGGGAGATTGCTGGCTGTGTCAAGGAATCAATATCAGGGGGTATCAAGAGCTTATAAACAGGATCCAGGACCTATGCCGACAATAGAGCAATCTCGCAAAAACCACGCAATTATTGCTGTCTGGACTTCAAATGGTTATGGATTAGATCAGAAACTGAGAAAGCAATGAGCGATTTGTGCGGGTGAACATGTTTCTGGTTGTAAATGGAGCCGCCGAGTCGCCGCCCAATTTATTTAGTCTCAGTCCCACGCATGCTAACACAGCCAACATCGTTACGCTCGCAGTAAACCCTTCGAAATGAATTTCAATAATCAACTTCATCTACTCAACATTTCTATATCATGAGAGGTGATAGATATATTGATACCACTGATTTTTATTTCTATATCTCTACTTTTTTCTCTAATCTAAATTCAATCGAGGGTATAAAATTTATAAAGAGCGGAATATAAGCTGATCATGAAGAAAGGTTTCTGGGCTCCAAAGCTTTTAAACTACACCCAACTCCAGTAATACCAGCTAAAACACACCCACACCATTCAGAGTCACATACAAATGCACGCTCACCACCTCGATACAGAGTTAGAGGCTATAGGATTAGAATTAGCTAAGGGGTTAGAGCCTGAGAAATATGATTCAAGTCATTGCATTGAGAGGAGTACATTAGTTAACTAAGTAAGTTAGTTATTCAGAGGTGTGGATTAATAATCTTTCATGGTACATTTTAGTTGAGTCGATCTTGATTGCGATTTTAAGCCACGCCGAAGGTTTTTCCGGCCGAGATTTTTAAAACGACTGTTTTGCCAAATGCACAAACATGTCCATGGTTTCAACCACTGTCCAACAGCACTCAATGTTGAACTTCCGAGCAAGCCAACGAATTAGCATTCCTTTGGCCTAACCATCTTAAATTTCCCATTTTCACGCAATGTCCACCAATGAGCCTCATGGTGAACCCGTTCTCCCCAGCTCCAGTAGGGCTCCCTGCACCAGTAGATGAGCATGCAGCAAGGCTCAGACTATCAACCTACAAGCCACAAACATCTGGAGATCAGACAAGCAAAATTCTTGAAAGCTTTCTCGACCATCTACCTTACGAGGGAAAACAAAATATCATACCTTTCATTACAAACTGTGATGATGATAATCGTCTCTTTGAGCTTTCAGAGCACCTGCAAGCAACCATTCTAACTAAACGTAGATGTCCGCTATGAAATCCATGCTAAGCCAGTTTTGTCTTACTGACATTTCTACATCAGTGAGAGTACGATTTACCCCGACAATCACTCCATCACCCCTTCCAGAAGCAGAATATCGAACCATGGAAGTTGCAGCTCATATGATTGCGCGTAGTCCACGATACTCTCAATCAAAGCTGAAGCATGATTGTTTCAAGAGAGATAATTACCGGTGTATGATCACCGGGGTATATGACTATAGACACGCGCCTGGGAATGTTCCAGACAGTATAATTCAAAAAACAGGCGCTACCGATCTAGTTCACATACTTCCCTTCGCTCTAGGCAATTACCAAACTAAAATTCAGGTTAGTGTTGCATCTTGCTACTCGAGTATCAATACCTAACCTCAGCTACAGGAACAACAATTGGCTAGAGTATGGGAGAGTCTAAACACCTGTTTCCCTGGCATCCGCTCTCACACCAATTTGTCTGCAGATACGATAAATGACTATAGCAATTTGATGACTCTTGAGGCTTCACTACATACGGTATTCGGCAACTTTGAGATAGCTCTTGACCCAACGGTACGTAGCACTCAGAGAATATGTTGGCTGATAGAACAAACTAACCATACGCCGTAGAGTGAGGAAAACAGCTATCGGATGATGATCTACCGTCCCATTCCTACACTTCTGCTCGAGATCCTTCCTCAGCCGAATGAGAACAATGAACGTATCATCAAGTTTGAGAAACATGCCGACTACGAACTGCCTAATCGCGTGTTACTCGGTACGCATGCCGCAGTTGCGAAGATACTACATGCAACCGGAATGGCCGAGACAATTGAGAAGATCTTGCGTGATCGAGAAGAACTTCTCTTCCTTGCTGAAGATGGAAGTACAGACTTAAAGCGGCTTTTATTACTAGCATATTAAATGAAAGGAGATATTACAATAGCGGTGTATCGCTACGTGTCGCTCTTTCTCTATTCCTAGACCAACGACGCGGAATTCTGTGCTCAGAGACGGTGTTTGTCAATGTCGATGAAAAATTAGTCAAGCGATACGTTAGAAGCATATGTCATTTCTGCTGGACGACTGAGTAGTTGTATTAGATGCTAGCTACTGTGGGTTAAATGCTGTGCCTTTAGGCAGAAGTTATCTTTAGGAATGAAGTGCTATGCACTTCATCTAGTTTCTAAACACCAGTCCAGATCGTTCATGAACTCAAAACCTTCGCCCATTCTCTTCCACCTCAAACACATAGTGCAGCTCATATTGGTCAATATTTCTGTTCGATCCCGAATATTTAACCTTTCAACCCTCATTTCAACGCCCAATCACCAATTTTTGGACCCACAGATTTTGTCCGCCAAATGCGGATGACCCGGGGTAGTCCTACGGATGTGAAGGTATGTGATGTGACAAGAGTTGCAATTGAGTCGTTTCAAGATATTACATCTAACATTGTTCAAACCCCTCAGGCGAATCCCCAAGTACGCTAAGCCTGGAGAGATAGGCTACCAAGAGCTAGCAGCATATATGGGAAATGCTAAGCAGGAGTATCATAGCCGAGTTTTCAAGTTGTATGACAAGGAAGGAGTTTCGTGAAAATTTAAATGTAACCCAGAGGTAGAGATACATAGACTAACATTTCTCCAGGATGCACCGCGATGGCCATCAAAACGTATTCAAACGCCTAATCGAATCATCTACTTGCCGATTTCAAGGCAAAGTAAAAAGTTTCTGAGAGGATTAGCCAGCGTGTCGACCAACGACACAACCTTTGATAGAAATTTAGGTTCATGCGCTCTAGAAACAAAAAACACAGGGAGGTGACTCAAGACAATGATGAAGTGAAGCTTCAATTTACAGCTCTCCAACTAAGAGATCAAAACCCGAAAAATGTAGGGAGATCAAGTTGGAACCTATTAATGCGACAGTTACGACTGCGTGTAAATTTTGAGTGATAGAGATGATTTCCTTACAATGTCTTCCAGTATGGAAATGTCTCTGGGTATTTCCTTTCTTGTTCTCAACCTTAAAAGGGTTGAGATGTTGATGCTTTGGAGAATATCAAGGATGGAGACCAGAATCAACTGTGCTATGCATTTGCATTGTGTCTGGATAATGACCAGCTCCCAAGCTATTGGAATGAAATACTGCCTAAGAGGGAATCGATTTCTCATTATATATAGTGTCACAGTTGCTTATTAGCTGTCGAATCACCGTGGAAATTACAACACCAACAGTTTGCCATAAAGGAAGGCAAACGGTGAATGCACAACTTCACCCTTGTTTGAGCCCCTAATAACACTTTCGAAGAAAAGGATATATCTTTTCTACTGCATCTCAAAAATTTCTATTTTGTTTCTATATCACTTTCTAAGAAGACTCCTGCAGTACATCCGTCAAGATTTCGAGTTACAACAGTTCAAACCCTGTCCCCGAGCCGAATCCGAAGATGGGCGCTGAAAGTGGTACTATGAAGCTGAAGTGGGATCACGCAACAGAAGTGAAGGTAAATATAGTAAACAAATTGTCAAGCTATGGCAATTTCCCCACTGAACTATACCTCTTCTACTTCCACGTATTACTTTTGTTTGCAAAATAATGATTTACATAATTTTTAGCTCCTCATGCAAATCATTAAAAACGCAAAACTGGGGAAGAAAGATCATGAAGAGCTCGCGGAGTATATGGGTAAGTCATCCGCTACAACTCCCTTTACGCGAGTTTACTGTTGAGATAATTCCTCAAAAATAACCCATACAGTATTGCTATATGACGCATTTAATAACATAGAGCAGGATGTACTCCAAAAGCAATTAAAGAACATCTATTTTTCATGCGGAAGGCCTCCCTCAAGGCAGAATCTAGCGGTTCTGGACCCTCCACCCCCGAGAAAGGGACAGGTGCAAAGCCCACCCCTGAAAAACGTACGCCAGCGAGTGGCAAGCTTGGAAGTAAGAAACGAAAGAGTGCAGGCGATGATGACAGCAAGACTCTAGTGGATGAATCCCCTGTAAAGCAAGTCAAAACCGAATACTTAAACGGGATCGAAATCAAGGATTTATGCAAGGATGCCAGAGTTTAAATCCTGGGTTTAAATTCAGAAGGAACAACTTGTTCGGGGCGCCTAGAAGACAAGTCGTTGAAGCATGTATTAGAAATAGTGTACTCATACATGAGCGGATAATGGGAGAGTCAATGCAGAGGAGGCGTTAGTGCTCGAGGACATTTGAGGTGGTCCAGGGGAATGTTAAAAAGTACAACAATCCGAATCTGAATTATTTCTCCTACAAATGTTGGAAGGTTAGTGATGAGAGTAGAGTAGGATGTGATGCATTCATGGCAACCGGTAGGCATCCAGGTCCATTCCTATCTAGAAGGGATAATGTGCTTGATTTCCTGGAGCTTATTCTTGGACGCAAGTTATTTTTCTATGCTATAAGCTTTTCCAATTGCCATAGGAGTGTGAAGCCCGTGAAAAGATGCAGTGAACCAATAACATTGTGCATAAGAAAATCATAAATCAGCGCCACACTAAGAGCAGGATAAGAAACTTAACCAGATCCATTAAGCCTTCCACCGCAAGAACAAGCGGAAGGGAGCAATTATTGAAGAGAAGAAAAAAAAGTAAAAACTCCAGAAAAAGCAGGTGCCACGTCATTTTCAGAACCAAGCAGCGAAATTCCATAAAACGTATAAGATCAGAAAGCTGCTGCTATTCTCCAGTATACCACTCGCGGCCCGCACTCCTGGAGAGCTGTTGCGTTAAGCATACTCCGTGGCGCCAACTGCTTCACTGTCGTTAACGTGAATTTTGCCATAACCATCGGCTAGCTCCGCCGTCGTAGAGTTCATGAATTCACTGTCACTGCTTTCGTGTTGAGCCTCGTCATCTGTACGCTCCTTGTAAGTAATCTTGTCATGTGGGAGAGGAAGGACAGCTCCCGCACATTTAGATAGGGTACGCATGGTCATAGGAACCACCATCCCATCAATTGGGGAATCAGCGTAATCGTTGTATTCGTGTTTAATAGTTTGTATATTCGAAGTGGGAGAAATGTAAGCCTCAGTTTTGATATCTTTTTTGCCGGTCAAAGTGGCATTCCCGCGTTTGCGTTTTGCGGACGTGCGGTTACGGGGGCTCGGTGTGGCCAGCTTTGTTGGAGTGGAAGTAGGAGTTGCACTTTTGCCATTTTTGATGCGCGACTTGATTTTGACCAGACGCTCAGTAATAGCCCGAGGAGTGGGCTTAGCCTTCGGGTCGTCGCCGGCTGTCTGGAATTAGCATGTGAAAGTAAAGAAGGTATATAAAAAGTGAGCAATTCATACGCCATGCTTCGGACACGCTTGTTGCATCCACGCTTAGTTCGTGAGTCTCCAAAATTTTCAGCAACAGCTTGAGGTAAAATTGTCAGTAAAGATTGCAAAGCGTAGATATAAAAACAATGAAAGTTTTCATTTAGAGATAAATTTGAGTAAAGTAGGCCATATAAATCAATGGACTGAGGAGGAGTGAAGGATTGATTGGTATTCTGGTGAGTTAACAAACAACTCTTACTTGCTGGTCCATCTCTGGGGTCCATTTTACCATTTTCGTAAGATGGGAAGAGTATGAACACGGTGAATGTTCGAAAGATTTGTATAAAATGAGTCCACTAAAGCTCAGAGGAAAGGATATGTAAAAAGTAGAGACGACGGGTGGATTAGAAAGAGAGCTGGAGGTTGTGGAATGTTATCATCAAGGCTTAGCACGAGATGAGTATTGTAGCTTTACTGAGGAACAAAGGGAGGTAGGTTAAAAGAAAAGAGAGAGAGGAACAGAGTGAAAGGTGTTTCTAAAGTAAACAGAAGAAGAAATTGTCGGAACATAAAGTTGTGATTTGAAAGGTCAGTGAATAAAGCTTGCATGTGTTATTGTCAAGGCTGGCAGGATGGAGAAAAAACTTTCAGTGAGAGGAAGCTCATAAGAGCTTGAAAGTAACAATATTACGAGAAAGGAATAAAAGAGGGTTGAAAGCTGAGAGTATCGATATTCACCTTTCCAGGTATTTTCATAGGAGCTCTAACCGTCTCAAAAGCCTGGCTGAAGGCAACTGATCCCATCTGTTGGATTCCAAGGCATGTAATTAGGGGTGTAGCATAATTACTTCTAACTTCAAATGAAAGATCTTGCAGACTCTATTCCACGGGTTTGAGTAGGGGATCCATGAAACACAACGCGGTTCCACTACAGCCTGCAAGCTTTTCATCCGGGAAGTTCCTCAATCCCACATTAAGGTTTTGATGGATCCACATTCTTATTTCCCGCTCCCGTCTTGGCAAAACCCTACTTCAACCCCATCCCATCATCGTTCTTTTTCGTCTGATTGAAAGCTGAAGCCGCGTGCAAGGGAAGTCAACGGTGGCGTCTTTTACAGACATTGATCCCGCACAAACCAAGTTTCATCAATGATCTATCCTATAAACTTGACATGTTCTTTGTTACATCACCCATCAACTATTCACTTGCTACATTCCTCTCCGCCTGTTCCTCGAAGTTCATGTTTGCCTAAAAGGAGCCATCTGCTTTTTAGGGCTCGCATATCTCAAAACTTATTATTGACGTTAATCAGCTACTTTTTGACTTCCTGTTAGTTGATATTTTCGTAGAAGTTTTATATGCAAAGCATGTGATAACTATATCTTGCAAAACCCGAATTACCAGTCTCATTAAATACTGCTAAATTAACGGAGTTGCTCACTACAAACGCAGCCAAAATATCCTATTCTTACATCATCTTAGCGTGTTGTCCGCGCACAATTTCGCAAACCAGGTGACCCTCATGCCCCAGTTTTCACATCGCCAGGTCGTCATTGAATTTCTATTTCTGCTTCTGAAGATTGTAGTACAATTTCGATGCATTTATCTCAACCCTCATTTGACAACATCATTGGTATTGCGGGCTTCTACCAGCATTGTATCAAGCTATGGGAAGCTTTTAAAATTCTCCTCGTACCGCATGATTGCAAAAGCCAATTCAAGACCTATCAGTGGCATGGTGCAACAAAAATATAGTTTTCTCTAATGTGGAATGACAATCTTTAAGTGGCAGTTCATGTATGCTTCACATTGCATGCCATAGTTTGTATAACACATGAACATTATTCACTTCACATTGGCCTTGTTGTTTCCACTCACTCTTCACTTAGATGTCAAGTCACAGCCTGATTAAATTTCAGTTTATAACTGGCATTGTCGACGAAACGTGCTTCCTATTAGCTTAAAGTCTCAATATTTTCCGAGATCCATTCCTTCTCTTGGATCCAAAACACCTCACTTTTAAGGTCTCAGGTATGGCTTTCTATCGCTCGGCCATATTATCCAGTCGGGCTTGAACTAACCGTGGAAGAACTTTTGTAGGTTCTTGCCGAACTCCACAAAATGGGCATAAATTGGAATAAGGACGCAATCGAGCGCATCATCGGTGCGTTACTGGCAGCGCATCCAGGATTTACCGTAAGATCTATATAACTGGCAGTCGTTTCTTCCCGATTATTTATCTATCTTATACTAAATCAATACATTAGCCGGATTACAAAACAATGGCAGTCCATTTTGGCCAAGGTGCCACCTACGACTCCATGCAAGGTCGTTTCCGCGAGTATCGTAAAATTGCACAGAGCATGCGTCAGGACAACCAAGAACCAGCTAATTCTCGAACTCCAATCCGCCGCACTACTAGCGGTGGCCGCATTAGCAAACCGAGCTCTGCAGCTAAAAGCGGCCGGATGCAAACGCCCTTGACCCCGACTAAACTGGGCAAAGTGAAAACCGAGAACGGATTTGCCAACCCTATCCTGATCAACGAAGGATTGGATTATTTCGTCAAAAGCAATAGCGACGCCAGTATTCCTTATGAAGAAAGCCCAGCAAATAGCGCACCATCCCCGAAGGCAAAAATTCAGAACCATTTCATTGAGATAGGCAATTTGAAAAACGAGTACGAATCCAACAATAGCTTCTCAAGGGGATGTGAGAATGTGGCGGTCAATATAGGCCAAGAGCTAGCAGAGGCGGTGGGATATTCTAGTGGAGACGCGACATATGCTGAATACGATGATACTGTCTAAATTGGGCTTCTCGCTTCGTCTTATAGGTGACCTATTTGTCCCTCTTGATAAAGTTGCACCCAGAGCGTGGATTTTTTAAATATGCTTCCAGAACGGTGTAGTAGGATCTTGGGATTAGGTTCGGGATGTTTGGATGAATCAAAGATTAACTGTAGGAAACTAGGCTTCATCTAATAACCATAAAGGAAATGAATTGATGTTCGCTCAGAGTCCTCCAAAATATGTCTATTCATTGGGTGTAACATTTCGCAATACAAGCCCCCAAACCAGTTTCCAGTATCGTTCAGGCTCAGACCTCATGTGTCCGACATGCGGACCATTAAATAATTCAGCCGACACCTCCCAGCCCCTCGACTTTGCCTGAGCCACATTCTCTTCCACATGCTTCCAGTCAACCAGTTCATCAGTTTTCGAGTATATATAGCATCTCTTCGCTCCCAAATCAATGAGGGTAGGGTCATTTATCTCATCCCCCGCAAGATCAATCGCATTTGTTTCTCTCCTAAGCTTACAAGCCAGCCAATGAGATATTAATACAGCCCAAATAACACAGAGCCCCACCATCCGAAAGAGGAAAAACTGAGGGAGCCCGTATGAAAACGCCCTGGCGGTGGCAAGGAGGGCGTGTCGGCCAGGAGCGCTATCGAAAATTAGCGATTTGGTAGGGAGAGGCTTGCCCGTGGACGTGCGATACTCGGCGGCAACGTGATGTAATGAAAAAACCCCGCCATTGGAGAAGACGTGGAAGTGCATTGGGCCATCTGAGGCACACAACGCGCTTACCAACGGGACGACACGCAGACGGTGAGATTTTTTCGAGCCTCTGAACATCAAATCGGTGGAGAGAGTTCTCATGCAAATGATGCGCGCATTCGGGAGGACTTTAATGTATTCGTTGATATATTTCGCAGTGTGGCGGGGTGCTGCGTCCATCCAGAATAGGAGACATATTGTCTCCCTTGGCGATTCAGGGGATGGGGACGCTGATGTCGGTTTGTCACGTATATATATAGTGGGTGACAGTTTTGTAAATGAAGAAAATATTTCGTCGAAGCGCTCTGGCGATGAGCCGGACGTTGTGTTCGAAGCCATAGCAATAATTGCTTCTGGATATGCAATCCCTTCGCGGGTCGTCTGTCAACATCAACAGCTGGCGGCGGGATTCATGTACTTAAAATAAATATGCCCTGGATGAATAGCCTCGGTATCAACCGGGCCAGGTTCTGGAAATTCGGGATGCTCCACCAAATCCACCACTAAAAGCGCCGCTCATTAGAAATAAGTGACAAAATTGTCCGGTATCTTCTATTACCATCCATGTACAGTCAACTATTCAATGATTAATTTTTAACTACGAGTAACTAACCACTGTGAATTTTGGGGTGGGGAAAGTTATCCTACTCACGAGTACGGCGGATCCTCTCAAACAGTTTTGATTATTCAGGTGCCACAGGCATTAACCACTCTTAGAGCCCTGTTGCGACTCTTGTTAAGATATGGAATGGAAACACTCAATGCTGGTTGCAATATTACAGCTTAAATTCTTAGCGCCGTCGTTGACAAGTAACTAGCTATTACTAGTGGTGAATGATACAGGATCCCTCCACTCACTCTCAGCCATCCCGCTTATCATCTGCTTCTTGAGCTTACTACCACGCTAGTAGCAGCCCAATCCTCAGCGATGCTCAGCTAACTATGTCCGTTTTCCCTCGTATTCCTGTGCCTCGCAGGCAACGGGAAACCTTTCGCGAACACAGAGGGGGTTAGGAAAACTCAAATTTGATCCTTCTATTGCTGAAATGGTTGAAGATGAAGCGGCATGAGAGTTTTGTATTCTTTGGGGCCAACTGACACCATGTTTTTCTTCTCAATGTTGCATTAGTTAGTTACTCTGTGCCACCCCAGTCCGTGACTCTGGCAAGCTCCTTAGAATTCTCCGTATCGGATTGAGTCAACCCTTGCCCCAGTTTGCACTTGTCAAGTGTTGCTTCTGTAAACTTTCAGCTTCCAAAACCACATTATTGGTTATTAAATCTCAACCGCCTGCCATGTGGAATATTTTGGCCATAGCTCGACGCCTGATAAGACGCATTTTCTTAAACCGTATTTTGAGGGCGCGATCGCCACCTAATCCTTGCTAGTGTGGTATATGTACGTATTCTAGATATACTCCCCCAGCCCCGAAGTAGCAATCATTCGGAAGTCAAATGTAAAAGGAGATGTAGATTGTGACATCCACCTGATTCCGTTTGTCTAGATATTCTATAGTTATCTTATTGGCTCCTGTAATCCATGGTTGTGCCAAGCCTTCCCATTCCAAGAAACTTCTTCGTCAAAGGAAAGGAAAAAAAGTAAAATAAACATCACGTTGTTGTCCTAGCTATGCTAAAACGAAACAAGCAAAGTCCAACTACATTGGGCGATTGGATCTATGCCCGAGCGTTCGACCCGGGCTCCGTGCTTTCGGATCACTTTTGCTCTCATTATCGCTGGTAGACACGGGAGTTGATGGGTCTCCAGTACTTGCCCCTTTTCTTTTGGCGACTCCACGCAATGTTTGGCCAACCCCATTGAATTTTGGCTGCCCATCCTCCACTTTCTCTTTCGCATCTCGCTTCTTCACTGGTTTAAGCGCATAGCCAAAAAACAGCTTACCAGGCTGTAAACGGAGTGGTTGAGGCCCATTCATCCCGGGATTGGGCAGAGGAAGTTGTGAAGCATTAGAAGATGCGCCAGACACTGGAGTGGACGCTGTTGGAGTTGATCCTTTGCTTCCCTTCTTAGTATTCAGCCGTTGCCCACCGATAAGGAAGTTAGAAGATATAGCCTTGGCTCCCTTTGTCGCGTCCATTAACTCAGGCGCAATGGCGGAGTAATTTATTGACTGTGCCATTGTGCCGTGAGAATGAAGCATGCCACCAGCCGGAAGACTTCCGCCAATTGCACTCTGCGGCTTGCTCGGTTCGTTGATTCGTTTTGGTTCTTCGTATCCCACAGGGGTAGCAAAGTCTACTTCGAGGTCTGTTTCCAAAACCGAGATAGCATTTTTGGAGTGCTGTGGTTTTGTCTCGAGCACCGCCATTTCGTAGGTGTGGTCATTATATGAGAAGGTAAAAATGTCATCTTTAGAAAGGCAAGAGAAGTTGCGGAAGGCATTCTCTAGGACAGCCTTGGGGTCGCTAATATCGAGGAACGACGTTGACTGCGCTTGCAGTTTGATGTACTGACCTGGCGGAAGATCTGTTGATTTAATTTGCAAGAGATCTCCAGGTTCAAGAAGAAGGGTTTGCATAATCTAGAAATTTCGCAGAGCATACAGTTAGCAAGTTACCATATACATATTCCTTGTTTCCAGGACTGAAAGTTCAACAGTAGCAAAGCACACCCAGAATGGCAGATATATCTTTCCCTCCTCAGCAATAAACTCCAGAACTCCAGCGTGCGTAGTCCGGTCTTTCACTCGATTGTGAAGCTCAAAAAGCATGGGATATGTAATGTGAAGCCGTGTGAGCTTGTCCAGCGCACTTGGCGGCATGATGACTTTTCCGCCATGGTTAACATTTTCTCGTTCTGGTCCGGGAAGCATGGCCACGGGGTAGCATCTATAAAACTCATCAAACCGCCTAGGTATGTATCCTGGATGTCGCATCATAGACGGATGTAGTACTCCGTCCATCGGGTCCTCCCCCTCGTAAAAGCCCCCCTGAAACTGTTTGGTTTGAAATGTCAGCTCTCCGCAAATATAAACCGGATTTATGAAATATAGACAACGAGCTTACCATTCCCGCTACAGCAAGTATTGACGTCGCGTTAGCGGAGCTGTAAATAGAAGTTACAACTATATTTTTATTTACTGAGAGGGGATCTGGACAGAAAGTGGGTGGATTACCGCCGAGACAATAAAACCCGATGGTTGGTTCAACGTGACCGAACTCGGATATCAGGGAAAAGGGCGCCAAAGAAATCTAATAGGAAGAGAAAGATGTTGTAGAAACACGGGCAAGGATGCTGTAGTTCTTGCTGAAGGTTGACCGTGAACGCTGAGTGCTTTACACTAGTGGCAGGAGGCAAAGTAGGAATAGACTGACTAAGCAGCTAACTACAGTGACGCAACCTCAATCACGGAGGGACATTATTCCGACCAGCAGTTCAACTCTAAGACCATGCAATTGTTCCTAGCGTATGACGTTGGTTGACGCGTTGAATCAAGAATTTATCATCATGGCAGTTAGGTATTCACTACTCCAAGAATCCGCAATGGCATCGATCTCCGGTCGACCAAAGCGAGCCGGGGAAGACTTTATCCCCACAAACCATAACAACGCTGATTCTGATGAGAACGGGCCGACATCTTCAAAAAGAGTTCGGTTTGACCCTCGAAATCCGTCCGCATTAGCCCCAGACGCCTTAGAGGAGGACGCGGTCCTGGATGCCGACGAAATTGGTCATCGAGGACGCCGAGTGCGGCGTAACGCAGTCAACATTGAGGGCTATGATTCTGACAGTGACAATGGGGGGTTTGATGCCCGCGTAGAGGCTAAATCTAGAGCTAATATGAAAAATGCCTCTGGAGATACAGATGATATGTTCGCAGAGTTAGAAGAGGACTTTGCTACTGGTAGATCAGACGATGTTACAACCCCGGGTAACAAGAAGCAAGTCCGTTTCCTACAGGATGATGAGATTGAGGGACAGGTACATGATTCTCGCGCCGGGGGAACTGTTACTCTTGATCTGGATAGTCACGGCAAAATGATTCAAGTGTCACTAGGTGAGGAAGGAGAGAGTGAAAGCGAAGTCGACGAACAAGAACGCGCCAGGGTCGGGTCAGACGTGGACGAAGAGCTGGGGGCTGGCGGAAAAAAAACACACGTGCCACTATTAGATGCCTTCAATATGCGAGCGGAGCAGGAGGGAGGGGCGCTTTGACGAGGCCGGAAACTTTGTTCGCAAAGCTGCAGATCCAGATGCTATTCATGATACCTGGCTGGAAGGTGTGTCGAGAAAAGACATGCGGAAGGCTAGGGAGGCGGCAGAGAAGAGGGAAGAGGAACGGCGAAAGATACAACTTGAACAGGATAGTGTCCTCACAGCAGATGTCTTGCACACATTAATCAGAAATTTGGGACCGGGGGTGAGACAATCTTAGAGTCACTCGCAAGGCTGGGAAAATGTGTCAGGACAGAAGCCTAAGTGGCAGAACAGAAATAGAAACCGACAGAGGGGTAGCAAGAACGGCACGGAAGATGAAGAAATGGGCGAAGATGATCCAGCTGAAATAGCTCGCAAGCGTGTTATCGAGGATGTCACTGGGGCTGCAGATATCCTGCTCAGCCGTGGCCAGTCCGAGATATATGACACCGAACGAGAGCTATTAATGAGGCAATACAAGCGAGAAACAGGGGAAGACTGGGTGGACTCCGCGCGAGCGGAAGATGCTCCATCGAAAATAGAGACAGATGCGTCTCCGCTGTGGGAATATCGCTGGTCCGATTTACGTGATGGAGGAGCGGCTCATGGTCCCTATGATGGTGCTATGATGGAGTCTTGGCATGCGGCTGGCTATTTTGGCGAAGGCGTTGAATTTCGGAAAGTTGGTACGACTGGAGAGTGGAGCTCCAGAGCAAGTTTTACGTGATATATTGATTGCTTATCGATTTCATTTGACGAAACTTGAACTGGTAAAATGGTGACTTGCCAGGATAAGGTTAGTGTATATAGTATTTGAAGACGAATTTACAGAATATATATCTACAACTAAAGTGGTATATCCGGTTTGGAAGAGCGTTCCTATACTCTTCAAAAAGATCTCTGACTCGTAGACATTATTGCATTACGCTATATTACTGATATACAAAGGCCATAAAATTTTGATCTCGGATCCTACACTCCAAAATCAACCACAAATCGCAAGCCCAGAAGAAAGTAGAAAAGGGAAAATCGCAAGGAAAACAATTGTCACGAAAGCAAGGTTCTTAAGAAATTTCCATGGCATCGCCATTGACATAAGAGAAGGTAACATCCCCCTCTTCACCAATAAACCGTTTCTCAAACTCTTTTACGAATTTGACACTTCTAGGTGGGTCGAGAAAAAGGTGAAAACTTCGTTGTACATCCTCTATCCCGACCTCTTTGGATTTGCGCTTTTGGCTCAATAAGGTGGACGTCGCGATAATGTTGCTGGCATATCTCAGGCCTGATTCTTGGCCAATCTTGGTCAACAGGGCTAGCGCGTCTGGGGACAGATCGATCTCTTCCTCTTGAGCACGGATGGCTAATATTTGCTGGATATCCTCCTTGGTGTATGGCTGTGTGCTGACGATGACGACTCTGTCAAGGAAGTCCAGGGGTAACCCATGTGGTGACCTGTACGATGTGCCCCGTATTCTTGCATTTCCACGATTACTCGCCATGATCACGATGGGTGCCAATTCAGCTTCCAGCGCTCTGTTGATGTATGAAAAACACTCGATGTCAAGCATGTGGACTTCATCAATGAACAACACGCCGGGTATGATTTCTGCTTTGCCTTCTTCTTTCCATTCTCCAACTTTTGTATTGATCTGATCTCTGACTTCACTTCGAATTTCGCCAGTGTCCCCGGAAAACAGTGCCAAAAAGCCTTGCGTTCTTGAATTGATCACGTCAATCTCGTGGAGACTGACCGTGTGTACTATTTCCTTTCGGACTTGCAACTCTCCGTCCGGACATTGTACAAATTTTGTATCCGCTCCCATCGCATCGTAATCTCGAGAGCGGGCGTATGAGCGGCCAAGTCTGGTTATTTTACCCGAAGCCTTATCAATAGAAATTACATCTCCAGCCACAACACGCTCCTTTGTCATTGAATCGATCATTTTTGTGCCCATATCGTAGATAGTTTCCATATCCGTGGTTTTTATAGTAAGTTTTCCTTGCTTGTTGCCCTACAATACAACAGTTAGTCTTATCTCCCTAGATAAATAGATCAACCAAGAAAAAAAACCCCCTTATTGCTATTGGTAGGGACGTACGCCAGTCAGAGTTCGATCAATCTGGATTTCAACAACCTCGCCTTCGATTATCTCGCTCTCCTCCTTTATTCTGACTCCGATTGATTTGCGGAACGCTTGCGTCAACGCTTCTGTCTTTGACATTTCCAGCGAGAAGATTTCCGACGATGCAACCATGGTAAACGGGACATCTGCACCAAGCGATTGCGCCATCCCCATAGCGATTGCAGTCTTTCCGGTGCTGGGCGGTCCGGCAATCAAGACTGCACGGCCTGCAATCTTTCCATCCTTTACCATCTGTAGAATGACTGCAGCCGCCTTGCGCGCCTTCTCTTGGCCAACAAGGCCTTGTGAGGAATGGCGTGGTTCAAGCGTGTCCGCATCAACGCCGAGGCCTCTAATATGAGAGTGTGCCGCAATCAGGTTGAGGCCTCTGACTTCCTTGCTCTCCGCGATCGTGGATATAGCCTATGAAAAGGCAAAGCATGAGATAAATGTGGTCTGAGTGGATTGGTCGTTTAGCTGAGAGAACTTACTGCCATGGCAGGCGAGAGAGTACTGCAGAAGTACCCAATCGACTTGGGATTCCCAGGATATCAGTCGGACGTATTCCTTTTATATAAGTTACTTCTATCGTGCAGCAGGGGTGGTAACTGAGAATGCGGACTTTAGTCAATTGCACTCCACGAAGTTGGAGCTAAGCCTTTCTAAATCATTGGCTTGGCAGCACGCATAAATATTATTCCGTTTCCGCCCGCTTCAACTTCTTTGGTGTCATTGCTCTCCCATTCACACCCCCAGGTCACCCGCTCATCCCAGGTTGAGTTGATATCTGTTTCCTCAAGCCCATTCTGCCAAGGTGAGTTGTTTCAGTTCTCAGTGGTCTTCCACTCCATGATTAATTGATTCAGTCTTGCACAGTTGCTTATGAGATCCTATGTTTTGATTCCATAGAAGCACAATGCCTTCGCCGCAAATCTCCCCCACAAGCAGTCCCTTCGGCGGGCCTAACCACGATGAGTCATTATCGAGGGATCCCCGCAAGTCAAGCCCTGATTCACTGAAATTTGATCTTGCGCGCTCTCTTGGAGAATTTGCTTCACACGTGGCATCCATTGCAGCTATCTCTGTCAAGCGAGAAAGGCTCAAAAAGCGGTCGCAAGCGGAGTCGACTGACCTACGCAAGGCCAGTGATCGCAATTTCCAATACCCGTCCGTTGCGAAACGCCTCAAAACCGGAAAAGAGGAGCTCGATAATGAGCTTGTTAGGGTTGATGAAAAACTTAAAATTCATCAGAAAATGCAACAAGAGCTTATCAAAGGTCTAGCCGCCAATTTCATCTCCAGTCAACAACAGGCTCAAAATCGGGTTGAACTTGAAGGTATGAAGAATGACCTGCGCGAGATTAAGTCTGAGCTGCATCGTGTCACAAACTTGCAAGCCGGTATTACGCCTACTCTGGATTCACTGAAAAGTTCGATTCAAAGTAATGACAACAAAATCGCCTATATTGAACAGTGGAAAAGCTCGATAGAGATGGAGCTTAAAAACGTCAGATCTGAACTTTCTACCAAGCAAAACGATCACAAGAATGTCACTGAATCTGTGGTTACAAGTCAGAGCAAGTCTATTGAACAAAAAGAGTGTCAGCAACAGCAAACTTTAGACTCTGATTTGAAATTAACTAGGCATGAGCCCAAGTTGATGGAGCCCTCTGCAAAAGTTCATGAGAGGGATTCCTCGAAACGCCTTGACGCGCTTGAACGTGTGGTTTCTGAGCATGTGAAGACAGGCAGTGAGGTAAGCGAAGGCGCAGAGTCTCTTATGTACTCCCACTCGGAACCAATCACAGATGGATGCCCTCAGTTTGGTACCCCTGCGGAAGTCATGATTCAGCTCCAGAATCTCCGGCAAATTCAAGATGCGAAGGATGAGGCTATAGCGGACGAGCTTGATAAATATGAATCGAGAATTGCTTGTCTAGAAGAGGTGATGAGCAAATTGAAACAAATGGATGGACGGAACGAAACGAACAGTCAAACAGTCAGCACTAGCATGCACCAAATGAACGCTGAACTTGAACGGCTACGTCAGGCAATAAACGGGCTAAGTCAACATGTGGACAATCGATTTCAGCTTGTTGAAAACCAGTCGCGAACTCTACAGGCTCATCAAATTGCTCTGAATTCCCTTGAAACACGGTATAACCACTTGTCTACGGAGCCAATTGTTAAGCAGATGGTTATAGCGATGCAAGAAATGTATCCCCATGCCAGCCTCGTGCAGCAGGAGATCCCAATCATCCACGACAAAATAAACAGACTTACATCTGCTCTCAACTCTGTGCGCGGCGATATCAGTGCTGCCGAAAATACACGATCGGCTTTGATCAGCGACATGACTGCGGAAAGAGATCGAATGACCCAAGAAATAATATCTCTTACTTCCAAGATAGAGGAACTCGGAAGCATACGGTCAAAGCTAAACGGAATCGAGAACGTTTTAAGGTCAAGAATGGATGAGGTTGAAAATGTCGTAGCTACCAATCTCGCATCTGTAATGCTCAACCATGACAAGCGGCTACCACCTCAAAACCCATGATGCAATGTTGTCAGACTGGAACCTCTGAAATTTTTCTGGATCGCAAATGTATGCAGATTTGTAGAATAACTTGGATGTCACTGGAATCTTAACTGGCTCAAGTTTGATACAAATTGATACAAGTTGCCGCATGTGGTGAGTCAATCTGCATTAGTCCTAATATTTTTTATCAAATTGCAATACTCATACCATTCTAAATTTTTCACAATTCTCAAGGGTAATTATTATACACTGCCATACCATAATTACGACGATGAAACCTGGCGTGGGGGTTATGGATTTTCTAGGTCTAAGTTATTTTCAATGCAAATATCGCAAACCGATCACAGAGCATGTAGAGCATCCCAAGTTTTCTCCTCCACTCAGCTTCTTGTCCGTAAAGGGGCAAGTGTGCAATGATGCGTTTCGTGGGCAAACCATTTTCTTCTCAGGATCACATTAACACATTACCTGGGGTGGTCTGGAACTTTAGGTGCCTTGTTTTCATGCAAAATTCCAGTGTTGGTCAACATGAATTCCAGTGGGTAGCCGATATAATTGACAATAACAGAGCTCGCTTTGTTTCCTGAATGGATGAACTCAGACATTAAGGGGGTCTAAGAAGCCGTCAATTTTTGAAGTATTTTCGCTATCCTCCCACAGTACCAGTGGTCTGTCTTCCTCATAATTGATTTTCTTGATCACTGCGACTTGCATCTTTTTGCGATGCATTAGAAATTCAAGAACCTCTTCTCAGCACCCATTTCATGACAGGACAGTCGATTGTGACCATTCTACATTCTATCTCAAGTTATATATTCAGCCATCTACAGTGGCTGCGATGGCCAGCCTCAAGCGAAGCAAAACGATGCCCGCGGATGGACAAACAGCCAAATTCCTGTATACAATCCTGAAGCAGCTCGATCTCAAATCGGTAAGCATGGTGCCCATTTCTGCCCTCTCGGCTCTCTTTACTCTTTTAAATTACAAGATTACAAGCTACTTGCTGACTCGTATGCCAGATCGACTGGAATCTTGTAGCATCCCAACTAGAAATTTCAAATGGCCATGCAGCACGAATGCGCTTTTCTAGGTTCCGCCAACACATGGAAGGAATCACGACAAACAACCGTACTCCGCGCCCCAAGAACAAAAACGTCGACAAAGCGCATTTGAAAAAGAACCGATTTAGCGAGGCCAAGCCAGAACCCATGCTAAAAACGGAGCATACGGTCAAGCAAGAACAAGACATGGATCTCCAGCCAGCAAATGCAAAGTTCATGCCAGTGGACATGACGCTGAAACCACCCCCCCCGGTGCAACAGCCCTACTTGGTGACAACGGTTGCGCCAGCTGATCTTGCGCTCTCGTTTCCCTCCAGTCACCCAGTCGCTGGGTTTCCAAGCCGTCCGCCAACAGTCAAAGAATGGAGTCGAATCAAGATTGAAACGTGTGAGGGCGCGGCTACCACCAGGCCTGATGGACTTGTAAAACGGGAATGAGGCCATGCATGGCTAAACGGGGGAATAGAAATGTCAGTTGAGATAAGGGAGGAGGCGGGGAAATTCCTAGCAGCACAGCAACATGCATGGCATACATGTCTGTGGGTCTACTGTCTTTCAGTCCACTAACAGAGAAACACCATAAACACATTACCCCCATTGCCTAGCGTTGCATCAGAAATCCAAACATAGTAGCACCCCCTATTGTTCATCTCGGATACTCAAAAACAACCTTTCATTCTTCTACTAGCCTCCTGCTACGCGCCTTGTGGCCGTTGTACTCGTGCATTTAGTACCAAATTGGTAACTCCTACTCCGAGCTAGTTGCGCCTGGTTTTTTCCTTTATTTATTTAGGCTTTTTTCTTCCCTGTATCTTGTACAGGGATACCTTCGAAACGTCTTTCGGACCGAAGGTGACGTCTCTCTCAATGACATGCCATGGGGTTGATCATACAATCTAAACATGAAAATCGTTTGACCGTGGCCTGGTGTGTATTTGAATACCAACCTTTTGTTCACCATATCCCAGAATCCTTCCAAAACGTACCTACACCTCAGAAATCTACCTCCGATACTGCTAAAGCTCCTGACACTTAGTCATTACCTCAGTTTCAATATATGTTCCAAACTCCGATTCATCGCGTGATACTTCTATTTCTGTCACAACTGGGAAGTTGAAGGTTGTATTCATCTAATAAATTATTGCCACCCATTGTTGCTGGGGAGTGACTGTGTTCGTTGTTCACTTCGCAACCAGCAATAACACATTCTTCCCCTCAGTTCCATATCTGGTCTTCCTCTCTATTTTTTCTTTCTTGTTTATTTTGAGCTTTCAACGCATCTCGTCTATTTTCTCTCACCTCTCCAAATAATTTGGCATTTTCTCTAAATAACCACCACTCCTATCCCTTCAAGATTTGCTTCTATTAGGATACCTCCAAGGCACTTTCATACCACCAGTTCTTCTCAAACCCAGCACATCATGGCAGATACCAATGACAGTGCAGGTGATGTCGCAGACTCCAAGGGGAAAGCATCTGACGCCATTTTTATGATGGAGTGCTTGAAACATCTACAGACTCCAGCTACCGTGCGTTCCCTCTGACAGACCAATATCGTATTCCTGAACCCTTTCAAGATTTGCTAAAATTCTTCTCAGATCGATGTCAGCGCTGTAGCGAAAGCACTTAAGTACAAAAATCCCATGTCAGTTGCGAACCGCATACGTGAGATTCGAAAGCAGTTCAATTTGCAGCAGCACTTAACCTGCTCCGCAAATTCTGCCAACGGTGGTACAGCTACACCTCGCAAGGGAGCAAAGGCCTCCACCGGACCCATCAAAGCCAAGGTGGAAATTCCCGAAGAAGGGACCGAAGGCGCGAAAGCCGAAAAGGCAAAGCCAGGGCGGAAGCCAGGGGCAAAGCGTGGACGTAAACCAAAAATTGCTGCCGCTGAGGATAACGCGATCAAACACACCGCAAGTAATGACAATAATGAAGCCATTGGTGCTGCCACGGAAGATACCGCTTGATCTCTACGCCTGATCATGCTGCTAGGTACGTTTGATTGTTTTGTAGGCTCAATGGGTTAGCCAACTTACACTTTCCACGCACCAGGTCTTCTCACACATGTGTCGCTCATATCCAGATCACGTACAAGTATGGCCATAACGGATATTAGGGTTTATGGGAAAGGGGGTTTCGTTTTTATGTTCCTTGGGCCCTTTTCCTAAAGGTGATTCTCGATGACGGGTTGCTTTCCAATGTATTTGATATTCGGTCGTTATTCCCAACTTGGCCATACCCTCTTTATGTTTCGGCTCCTAATGTTCAATTGCTCACTATTTTGTCGAGCTTTCGTTGTTAGTGGGTGGTTGATCTCCTGCCTCCAATACCCCATTTTCATACAAGCGGCAGATTTCCATCTGAGGGAGAACAATTATGTGGGTAGGGTAGCTTTCACAATACAAACATCGCGTTTTTAGCATGCCTTTCTAACCCAATAGACTCTATAAGAGATAATAGATTCATGACCTCAGGTTGAAAAATTGCCATGGCCTAGCTGATAGCTACGAATTTATCTCCGGTAATACCAATATAGCTCAAGCTCAATCCCACTTCAAAGCATTTTGGTGAGTTATATATGAATCCCATTATTCACAAAAATACGGGACACATATGTGTTCATCCATTGTGTTATAACTATGTGTGTCTCGAGTGTCATATTTGCCTTTCTTTCAACTTCTGCCTGTTGCCATCTCTTCATTCACCGCACTTGTACCAACCTGTTGGTCTTCTCCTCCCCCCAAAGAACAATTCCTTTAACCCATCGACTGTTCACCACATTTACCAAGACCTATTCATATGTCTCCTCTGTTGCCAACAGGTCATGTCAATTATTCTCCTTGCTGAGTGAGAGTCAATGGCAGGTATGAGATGTTGCTTCAGCATTATAGTCTCAGGTCCTGTGCTGACATTTGCCTCTGATAAGATTTCATTTAGACAACCGTCACTCTTCTCTCACTCCCTGGTCACGTATAGCGAACTGATCTAAACCTAAGACCTCATCCACAAATTTAACTCGTATAATTTCTTTCTTGCCATTGCAGTATCATCTTTCAAATAAACGGAGTGTCTTCAAAATGCCTGCTGCCACCAGTGATGAACAACTTCATTTCTTGCTGAAATGTGTCAAGTACTCGAATAGTGGAAAGGTAACTTTCCATTCGCTTCATAGGTTTCATTTCATCGTATTATCAGACACTATATGCTGGCCTCAGAGTATTTGTGTACTTGCTCACGATGGAGAAATCTTTAGGTGGACTTCGATGAAGTTGCCAGGGAGTGCAACATTGTCAGTAAAGGTGCAGCGTAAGTTATAGTTAGGAACATGCACAGACTTACCATATCATACATTTTCTCATACCTTGCCATTCGATGCACACTCCTTCTCGGTCCCGCTATCTTGTCAAACCCTACTCCTTCGTCATCATGTCACAATGTGACCTGCAATGAGTGCTGACCATCAAACCACAGAGCCAAGCGCTACGAGCGCCTGGTGAAAGCCAACGGCATCAACCCAAATGGGAATCCAACACCAGGAACTGGAACTTCGTCTCTGCAGGAAGCCGGCAACAATGGGCCTACTCCTAAAAAGCCGAGCCCCAAAACTCCCACTAAAGTAAAATGCACGTTTGGCATCAAGACCCTCTCTACCCGGAAGCGCAAGCCTACAGACAGAACCAATAGCACCTCGAAGAGAACCAAGAATGAGATGATAATTGTAGATTCAGAGGACTCCAGCTGGGGCGCCGGCAGTATGGTGAATGTCAAAAGTGAAGATAGTGACGATAATACCCTCGATGCAGATCGCAGAACACCGATGAAATTCCGCAACGACCCATTTTTGTCCCAAGGTTCCGGGGTTGGGGAGGGGAGTATCCACCGTGAGGATGGAGAGTTGTATAGTGAATTTTGCGCCATAAATTCCACAACTAAGAAATGTGTTTCAGGGGAACCGGGTGAGAATGGGTTAGACGCGCATGGTGGCAGTGAGTGCGATATTGCTGAAAATGGAGTATTTGGAATGCTGGGCTGCAGCGACGAGGCGTGAGGTGGAGGTTAACAAACGTGGTGTATTATACAGGCAAGAGGTAGCTTTTCTCGCAGCGGGAGTCCTAGGCAGTTTGATCAAATTGGAGAAGATTGGGGGCTTGCTTTCATATTGCTTTATGATGATTCCACCTGGTATAATACAGGTTGGGACAAGGAAAAAAAATTTTTGTTGGTTCTGGAATCGGGTTGAAAATCGCGAACGCGGAGATATGTGATCTAGGAAAGGGAGTGACGGAAATGGATTTTGGGCATGGAGCTTGATAGGAATATGGATTCATGGTGCTGAGAGGAATTGAAAACAGAGTAGATGTCTGGAAATTGGTCATTAAATCAAAAGGACATCCTCCAATTCTCTCCACTGCTGACATTTGAAGGGCGAGGCCAAATGGAATTGCGAATTTGCTGCAGGAGGGACGCCGCTTTGCACTGCTATCAGAGCTCTAAGAGAAGCAATATTTTATCGTCAGAAAGATGGATTAACTCAAATCTTGTCATTGACCTTTTTATGGCGAGGCCAAATCTTATCGGTTTTATTCCTTATAAATACAACTATTTTTTCATGTAATTAGCTGGAATAGCTAACGTATTTTACCACGACCTTGCGCACACCACGACCTTGCGCAGAAACTGTCGCAACAGCACGCAGCATGAGGATATTTTGGGTTAGAGCATGTTTGTAACCCCAAATTAACCTGGTTATTTGTGGAGGCTCAGTCACTCAGTCATCTCAGTCACTGCAGATAATCTACTTATTTCCTGAGATACATATTTTATATTCTATCTCAGACTAACTAGTTATTTTAATACAGATTACAAATTCATTCAGAACTAGCACCCTACTGCGGACTATCAACCAATCACAGCACAGCAGGAACTTCTATAACGACTTAAAGTTCACAAATATCTAAATATCTCCCTTTCCATGTATTGGCTTCCTGTAACCCAGTATGCTTTTCACTGCCCGCAGCTCATTACTCCGCTCTTGTAGTCTCCGTCCGCCATCTTTCGAATTGCAAGGGCTGTTTTCTCACTCATCGTGTACCCAGTGTGGCAGCATGTCAACTGCTACAAGTGGATTATATGAATGTGCCATTGATGTCGAGGATCCAAACGGTTATCACACGGGTCGCTACTTTTCAGTGACATTGGGGAATGAGTTTAAGGGTGGTAGATATCGTGTTCTGCATAAACTTGGGTGGGGTGGATTCGCAACTGTTTGGCTAGCGAGAGATAACCTGTATAGCTGATTCCGTCTTCGTAACTGGAATGACAAAGCTGGTGCTAAATGACAAATAGGACCTACTCCAATGTGGCCCTGAAGATTATCAATGTGAATGATAGCTCCCATGAGTTCAAAGTTCTACACCACCTCCAACATTCCAGCGTTGCCCAGGCAAATGTTGGCCACCCAGGTCGTGCTTCAGTGCTCCAGCTCCTTGACCACTTTGAGCTCGCAACTCCCCACATGGGTTTGATATTCCCGGTCATGGGTATGGACCTTCGTTCTCGGATAGACGCCCAACACGGGCAACGCTTGCCAAAGCAGGTTGCGCTAAACGTCTGTTCCCGAGTAGCCCTCGGTTTGGATTATCTCTGGAAATGCGGCATTGCACATGGAGGTAAGCAAGCAGCGATCTAATGACATGAAGAGTGCCATTGCTCAGAGATATGAAGATTTATATTCTAAAAATGTCCTCTACTCTGCCCCTGCCGTATCTCAACTATCGGAAGATGAGATTATGCGTTCCTTGGGGAAACCAGTGACTGGCAGGGTTCGAATGAAAGACGGTCAAAGCTCTTCGCCTTCGATGCCTCCTTACTTGGTCCGACCAGTTTCAATCCGCGGTGACGATAGGGAGGTTAGAATTGCTGACTTTGGGAATGGTAAATATTCTAACTTGCCAAAGGGTTTTTCACACTACTAACATGCATATAGCATTCTTTCACGAAAACCCACCAAGTCACTTATCCACTCCTTGGCATGTGCGCGCACCCGAGTCAGTCTATATGCAACCTTTGGATAAGAATGTCGATATGTGGAGCGTTAGCTGTTTGGTCAGTATCCATCCGCGTCAAAAGGTGTCAGAAAACTGCTGACAGAAATTACAAGAATTTCGAAATTATTACAGGAAGGACATTCATGGATTCTTTCTTGGCAGACCGGATGGACATGATTGTTGGCTTGAAACGAGTCCTTGGACAACCACCATCAAAGTGGCGTGACGGCTTGGAAAGCAATGTTCGAGATATACTTGATAGTACCCCCGCCAGAGATATGGGATTCTACCAATATCTTGAACTTAACTACAACCAGGATGATGTTAAGCTCTTAGCTCTTGACGGCTATGAAGACGAAGAAGGAATTCCTATCGAAGAATCTGAGAAGCTGCCACCAGAGTTTACTGAGATGGACCTGGTGTCTTTGACAGAGATTTTATCTGGACTGCTCAGTTACGAACCCCAAGGGAGAGGTACACCATCCTCGCTACTCAGAGCTCTTTCTCGTCTGGATAAGTCATATGATTGATTGGCGAAGGCTCTTAGTATGGGAGCGAGTCGAGTGGTTCGCCATGTGGATGTTGGGGATGAAGGCTTTCCGAAATGTGGTTTATAAGGTAATGCTTTTAAATAATATGAGTGTAGTGCGAGGGCTCCTGATTTCAAGTAACCGAGCTGCGTAGGTGAAGACAGGAAGCCAGCAAACTCGTCTTCGTATAACTAATGCAGTAAATATCCAGAGCCAATGCAAAGACAATCAGACAACTCTCATTGAAGGTTCTTCTCCTCAATGATCTCAATTACTCAATTTGTTCTCCAGACTCGCCATCTGTCACCTTTTCTGGTCTCTCGTCGAAAATTTTGAATGATTCATACTCCTCTCCCTTGTCATCTTTTGAGTAAATATGGACTGGGCGAACTGTTCCTTTGGCTATCATTTCTGCCGTTTTTATATGCAGGGTGATATGGTCCGATGGTCTGTGTGGCTAGTATGCACCGTGTTCCTTCAGAATGTCAGTTCGCAATATATCCACTTTCCATTTGGGATACAGACTTGATAACACCCCAGATGAAGGAACCGTAAGTTGAGAGACTTGAATCTTCAGTGAAGCTGCTGACGGTGACTCGCGTGTTTCTCCGTTTAACCGGGTTGTTCTTTGGCGCTTGGCCTTTTGCCCATCGTATCGCTTGCGTCAAGGCATTCATCGTGAGGCTCCTAAACCCTTCAGAATTCCGAACTCTGTGAGCAAGAGAGAATGCTTCATATACCTGGTTGTATCTTCCCTGCCTTCAAAGGTTGTCCGTAAAATCGGCTGGCCCAGTATTCCGAGAATCACAACGGCGATGCACTAGATAAGTCTGCTCACAGCGCCTTGAGAAGATGACAAAGGATGCAAAGGGAACCAAAGCGTAGGATTTTACCTATAAACGAGGCAACAACAGCCATGTTACCCCGCTTGTGTTGGCGGCAGTGAGCAGCCTAGAACGTGCAGGCGTGGCTTTCAAGTTTTGGACATAAAAGGATGCTTATTGCTTGTGGTTCAAGGTAACAGAATGTATGCATGAACACTGCTATGTCTCGGAACCATCTCATTTGATTGGATCTAGTGAACCCAGCTATGCATGGCACATATGGAGGCAGTGACACTTGACAAAAGTGCAGCCTTGTTCTCGTAGATACGGGGAGAAAAAGGCCATTTAGTAGTAAATCCACTTGAGAATTTGAGAACGATGGAAAATAACACTCCATAGCTCCCCTCTATCCAAGCCAGGAACACTGGCCTCGAGGTATATCCGCGAGCGTTCTTCGGCGCTATGTTTCAATGGGACTACCTCTGGATTAACACATTCGATGATGCGATTAGATTCTGCCTGGTGGAAACCCCTGGTCTTGGGACGATATAAAGCCATTGATGACAGTAGCGCCTGCCACGCCATCGCAGACTTGGAAGCAGCGAATCGCAAAGCTTTAAGTTGCGCGTTGGCCAACAGCATGGAATTGCCTCATAGGCTATAAGAGTTTATAAAAAATGAAACATCTATTATAAATTATGATCTATGAAACTAGACAACACAATGCATTTAAATGAGATAATGAGATAAAATGAAAATACTGATAAGAGAACTTATATTTCAATTATTAGGCAGAGCGGAGTGAAGTCTCTGAGAATCATATAAAGCCTGGGGGACTCAACAGTTGCTTCATTTTGTGGCTGAACTGATTGGATGTCAATGTGTTCAAAAATGAGGCTCAAATCTCAACAATTTTATTGATTTAGAAGTGATTTTGACACCTGTGATTGGTCTAACTGTTGAAAAAAATCTCCACTTTGATTTACGCTGGTATACCCCTTTATTTTCGTTAGTGGCACCCTAATATTTTAGTGCCCTACTAACCATCATTCTGGGGGGGCGTGTCCTCAAATATCCCCATACAAATCAAAGATTCAGCTTCTCATTCTTATTTTCTTCATACACAATATCTATACTCATTCTCTTGTTAAGATGGATTTACTTGCTGCTCTTGAAGCTTCTGCATCTCTAGAAGCTTCTATTACACCTCCTACAAAGCAATTAACTCATGATCAATGTTGAGATATCCTTCTTCTTCACAGTCTTGGATGGACCTATAAGAGAATATCCAATCATCTTGAGATAATCTATCAAGAAGTTCAATACACTTGTGAACTTCAAGTAGCTACTTCTAAAAGACATGCTGGCTGTCCTAGTCAACTCAGTGATGAGCAGTTGAATGAGATTGAACAGTTTATTACAGCTTCCAAAGTCAACCATCAAATGTCATATAAAAAGCTTGTTATTATTCTTCATCTTGAGATCAATGAGAAGTGTCTGAGCTGAGCATTACAGAGAAGAGGTTATTCTTGCAGAATAGCTCTACACAAGCCTTCTCTATCCATACAAGTTCAAGCTATTCAACTTCAGTGGGTATTGGATCATCAACATTGAACTTTTAAACAGTGGTCAATCATTCTTTGAACTGATGAGACTTGAGTTAAATCTGACCACTATACAAGAATCTGAGTGACTCACAAGGCAGAAGAATCACTGAATCCTATCTGTTTAATGAATAAGATTCAGAGAAAAAGAGGATGAATGTTCTGGGAGTCTTTTAATGATATTACAAAGAAGCCTTGTCTATTCTGGAAAAAGGATTGAGAAACAATCAATAAGGTTGGTTACAATATGACTATAATACTCAGTATAACAGTGCTAATCTATCATCTTTTTAATCAATCTAGACATCCTATTGCAAATGTATAGTCCCTCTCATTCATGGATGAATACAAATGAATCCTAGGTTGAAATTGATACAAGATGGAGCTCCAGAACATACTGCAGCAGAGACTTCTCAAGATCTTCAGAAACATGGAATCACTTCTATAGATTGACCATCATATTCTCCTGATCTGAACTCAATTGAAGCTGTATGGAACCTTATGAAGTAGTGAATACAGAAGAATCATGGAAATGAGAAAAATCTTTCTTATAATACACTACAAGAGGTGGTTAGAAATTCCTGAGACTCTATAACAAGAGAGCAGCTACAAGAGCTTATTGCAGAGATGCCTGCTCACTGTCAGACAGTTATAGAGACAGGGGGTGGCTATACAAGATATTAATATGATATTCATTCCATCTAAAGATTCTCTATGATGATGAAAAACACACTGAACACAAGAATGCCACATAAACCCCCAGAATGATCATTAGCAGAGCACTAAAATATTAGAATGGCTCTAACGAAAATACCGGGATCTACCAGCGTATATCTGTCTACTTTTATCCGTTGATTGCTAATAGAATAGAGAATTCTAACTATCTATCTACCAACCTGCTTAATATCCAATCAATTGATGATAAAATATAAAATGCTAGCTATTTATCTATCTCTCTATCTATCAATCAATTTGTCTGATCAATATTCAACCACTCTCTATAAAAATAAACATTCATTATCTAACTTTTCATTTATGATTTATGTGCTTATCTTTAGAAAAGAGGTTAGAGACAGACTGCTTCTAGTAATAATCACAATGATGATAATATTGATAATGAAAATGATATTGATAGTGATTAGTGTTGTTTTTTTCGCGGGTCGGGTTGAAAAAGTGGTTGGGGTTGCCCGATTAAACGGGTTCCGGGTTCACTTAACTAAACCCGTGAAACCCGACCCGGGTTTTTAGGGGCGCTTAGGCGCGCCTATAGTGGGTAACGTGCCTAAATTACTTAACTAGGTTTAGTTAAGCCTGGGCATGGCCCCCCTAAGCGCGAGCGTGTTATTTTCGCGGGTCGGGTCGGGTTCGAAACCCGCCGGGTTAGCCGGGTCGGGTTCACAACACTAATATTATTAGTGATAACAGTGATCACTGCTTAGAGGATTTATACTTAGATTTATAGATTTAATTAAATTTAGTTGAGTAATTTAGACACCATACTCACTATCTAGATCTTCAAATGCTTCTAAAAACCCAGGTTGAATTCATGAGATTAATTATCTAAATCTGAGATTCTGTTCTTTCAGATCACTTTTCCCACTTTTTCAATTTAATCTATAATAAAACACCATTAATACTAGCAGCTTAATATAAGGATTTAAAGTGTGGGAGCTTGAAACTCACAATATTATATTCAGAGTCAACATCTCAACTTTTTAAACAAAGTAATATACATCTATTTATCTTTAGATAAATTTCATATATGACTTTACTTATTTTTTCTCAGTTAAAAATCTGCATTGTATATATTAAATTCTATCTTTTATTAAATTTTCTATGTTTTTAGTATATTTATAGTTCTCACACTATGGCAACTGATAGTTGCATTGTATAGATGATGGAATGCTTGGCCACCAGCCACATCTGCTGTGATTAAGGTTAGATGTATATATCACTGGAAGCACAACCATGTAACATATGATTATGTTAGTTTTCTGCTGTAAATAGTCCAGTGATCGTACTGTTATTTATCACACAAGCTTTATAATAGAGAAGGCAGTTATAATACTTAGCGTCTGCTTATAAATATGTGATAATGTAGCACTCACTATAGCTACTAGGTTAATCAAGGTGAAAAGCCAATGTAATTATTTGTTAAATGGTTGCTCTTATGGTGATATTGTCAGAGATGATATCTCATATATCAAGAATCTTGTAACATCTCACTATTTGACACCTGCAACATTTCACTATATGAAACCAAGCACTGCCTCACTGAACCTCACTTAGCATTGCCCCTCTTATGTGATTGAGCATTCTCTTTCTTCTAAATACTGCCTAGTTATAATCTAATTATCGGAGTTAGAATAAGCAATTCAATTATCTATTGATATTCAGTATTTGGGTCAATATTCGAACATTAAACAGCTCCGACAGATATATATACCCGTAGGTGTGGCCTGGCCGACAGCGGCCATCCATCCCACCATCTATACAGCGCAACCACTTGCAGCATAGTATGGTAACCACAAATATAGATGTTAAATGTGCTTGATCATTACATTGACTAATAAAATTGAATAGTTGCTAATATTATTTCAATAAATTCAGCTAAAATTTATCCTCACAATGAGCCACATCATTTAAATCAGAGTAAACACAATTACCACATTTCCGAAGGTAGCATTCATGATGCCATTTACATGTAACTTCATGGCAATGAATAAACCGATTTTTTAGCAAGTTTAATATAAAAGAAGATTGTTGAATGTTATTATAATCATTTAAAGTATTAGAATGTACAAATTTATGAACATTCATATTTTGTTTATAAATAATCTTTGATAAATTGTTTATCTCCTTTTATGCAAGGCTTTAGTACTTATATATGCAATATAATTATAGAAAGTATTTGGTTATATAATAAATAAAAGAAAAAATGTGTTGATTTAATTTAAAATATTAAAATAAACTTACTGTTGCTAATGTCTGTGGTATCATTAAAGTAAAATTAAAAATAAAAGAAAAAAAAAGTAAAATAAGATGCATAATAAATATAATAATCAGCTTGATTATTTTTTGTAAATATTAGAATTTTTATATCAGTCTATTACAACTATATTGAAGCTACTATATAACATTTATATAAAATATATTTAATTATTAAACAAAGTTATATAAAGTTTTTTAATTTAAAATCCTTTTTAAAAGTGGCAATATTAGTTATTAAAATTGATATTAAAGTCCATATACTGTTAATTTCACCACAAACTTGAAGTATATTATATAATTAAATAGAGCGAAGCAGAGTTTAATTAAAATCATTTGTAATATTATAGTAAGTAAATTTTTCACCCATTAAAGTTTGATACTAACTGCTTCTTTTTTTCAATTATATTTATGAGCTACTGTCACTGTGAATGAATGTTATTAGATTGCATACAATGGAGAACTGATTTTCAACTAGATTACAATTGAATCAAATAAGCCT